AACCTCCTTTCCGTGCGATTTTTAAAACTATGCGCTCTACACTTCGCTGCGAATGAATTTCGATGAAATCGCTATTTTTTCTTCTTTTTTTTTGTTTGAGAGAGAAAGTTCGCTGCCAATTGTGGACAAGGGATTTGAGATCTTTTTATTAGACGCTTTAATTAAGATAAATACTTGTCGCAACTTTGCCACACTCGACCAACACTGATTTTTATACAATAGAATTCTTAATAATGGAATACATCTACGCTTCAGAAAATAATAGTTACTGTTATTAAATCATATTAGAAGTCTCTTGATTCATTTTAAAATATACAAAATATTATAAGAGAATCAGTTTTCTCGGTTATTTTTTGGCATTTTAAAGTTTGTCGAACAATAATTAAAATTTATTAATATTAATTAAATATTTTTATGCAAATAATATATCAATTTTCAGTTATACATATTTCAATTTTAATTATATAACAATATTAATATAATTTATAAAGCTAATAAATATTTAATAATATAACAAATGTAAATAAATAGTAATTTGTATTTATTTTACATTTAATATGTTGAATATATTTAATACATTAAATATATTTTATTTTAATAACTATAAATATAGATTATAAATATATAAATAAACATAATAAATATAAATAAGTATTAGTTTAAAAGTGTTATACATTACAAATTTTTAAATCCTTTCATCAATACAAATATATATGTTTATTATAGATTTATAAGTGTAGTTATACTATACTATAAACTATAGTATACTATTATATAATTAGTAGAATGTCAACTTAGTAAATATTGTTTATCATAGCGAATTAAAAAATAATACTTTTTTTTAATTGTATGTATAAATCTGTTTTTAAAATAATAAGTTAAACAGAATAATTTATGATCTTTGTTACTACAAAATATTGTATTTCATGTACAATATTCATATTATGATTGTCCTATATATAAAAATATGTATATCTATAATTTACTGCTATTTAGTAAAAGAGAAAAATTAATCAATAAATTATACTATTAAACCTATATTTTAAATATATTAATTTTAGATGTAATAAATATATGTATGATACTGAAACATAATTAAATTATCTATTCTTCAATTTATTAGGATTAATTATATGTAGTAAACTAATATATTCTTGATTATAGAAAAATATAGATGTTCAAATATATTCGATTTAATTTCGTTATTTTTTATTCAATTAGTACGTATTGTGGTTTTCGAAATGTAAATTATTCATTGTTTTTTCAATGGTATCTTTTTGTATATAAATTTTTTAGAGAATTTTCGTAATTGAACAAGAAATTACTGAATTTGTAGATATATAGTTAATTTGCCGAATTATTTACAAAGACATTATTGAAATATTTATTAAGAATTGTGCACGGTGATAGACATTTGTATTAAATTTTGCATTACAAAATAGTTTAGTTTTATGTAATTCTAAATTTTTATTATATTTCTATTAAATTAAAATATATTTTTTTAATTCAATGTAAAATTTTATGATGCGATATATACCACTCTTTTCTATAATAAATTACTTATAATTTTTAAACTAATTTCAATTAATATTAATAAAATTACAAAAATATGAACAATAAAATATATTATAAGCGCCTCGATTGATAAAAATAAACTTATGTATACATGTCTTTTATATATTTATAATAATATTTTAATATTATACTTGTACTGTTAAACGAAACACTAAAAATTATTACTAAATTTAATATTATTAAGGGTTTATATGTTGTTAAATTAACTGATTGAAGGAATGGTTTAAAAATTATTAGATTGATTATTTTTGTTTACTTTATCATATGTTCTTAATACATACTAAATTTCATTTTAAAACTTTTCTTAAATATTCAATTCTTATAAAAAGTATAAAATTTCCTTTTTAATATTAACTAAAGTTAAATGTACATATGAGAAATAGTGTTTATCTACAATTTTTATTGATGTAATTATATTAAAATATTATTAATTCATTGATTTGTTATTTTATAATACGATAAATTTTGTACTTAACTCCTGGAAAATATATTTATATAGTTATTTTCAAGAAATCTGTACCTGATGTTATTTTACCATTACAATAATTATAAATAACATTATACATATAAAAAAAGTATGTATACAAATACAATTATTTGAGTCATTATTAATTCTCGTGTGATTCCCCTCACGTAGAGATACGTAATTCGAGTAAATAAAATATTTATGTTGCAATCTAAATACATAACTATTGCAGATAAGCCCACAAATCATATTAAACATTATCTTATTATCCATTTAATGGCAATCATAAAAATCCTATAAAAAATAGAATCAACAAGAACACTTTATTTCGGCCAATTAATAATAAATAATTTGAAAACTATTTATTTATATAGGACTATTGAAGATGATTTTGAAGAATTTTTATTTGAGTTTTGTTTGAACACAAATTAATATTCGTAATAATTAAAATTTTTTAAGTTATAATTTTAATTACGTAGTTCTTAAATATGTAAACTTTCCATTAACTAATATTTAACTACTAATATGACATTTACGCTTATAAATATTAATGTTCTATCTATCGAGCATCATATTCGAATTTTAAGATAAAAACTGAGTTCCATATTCATAACAAATTTTTTATAATAATTAATATTCTTTAGGAAATAAGAAATGTTTGTAAAATTTATAAAAAAAAAATATATATTGGCAAATATATATGCATGTCATATAAAAGTAATTACATGTAAACTCATCAAAATAATTTCATATATCTTTAATGTTTTTAATTTAATTAAATGTACTTTTTCAATGAAATACACAGTATGAAACTTTCACATGATTATAAGTACATTAATTATTAATAAATTTATATAAATAATAACAACATGTAAAATTAATCATTAAAAAAATTCTAATCTTGTTAATTTAGTAATTATACAATAAGAATAATTATATAATATATATTCAATCTTTTAAATAAATTCGATCGCTTATCTGATTAATGAAAGCATTAGTTAAATTAAAAAAAAAATTTCCACTTTTGTTGTGTCAATAACGATGATTTTATAATGCAAATTGTATTAAAATTATTATAATTAATAATGAAGCTCACCCATTTGTAGCAGATAATTTAAACAATTATTGTAGTTTCCAAAAAATTTAATTGTCAATATTATATTTAATGATAATATATTTATATGAGCAATGATAAAAATTATGACCTGAGTATTAAAAGTAATAAATAAGATTTTTTATATTTTACAGTACTTAATTGGATAAAAAATAAATTTAAAAGTAATTTTGCAAAATTAATGTTTATATGTTGTAAAGTGTAATTAGCACAAAACCATTTTGACTCATTTGAATAATTGATATTGAAAAAATTATAACTTAATTTATTTTTTATATTTGACATTTTCTCTAGTTAAGAGTTTATTTTTATTTGAAGTATTTACAATTTCAAATCAATATTAAATTTTCAAATAATTTTTAAAAGAGGAATTTCATATGAAAAAATTTTAGTACCATATATTCGAATCAATAGTCTAGTAGATATATAGAATTTTTGTTTTACCGACGATTAGGTTTACGAAAAAAGTATCTTATTTTTAATGAAAAAAATTAATAAATTTTTTATTAATTTTTTAATTTATAAAAAATAATAGTGAATATAATAATATTAATATTACTATATATAATATTAATATAAAATATAGTAAATATAGTTATATAGTTACTAATGACATTGTATAAATCGAATAAATTTTGAAATAATATAAATTGGGATCCTTCTGTTATTGGTCAATAATAAAATATCTTTTGTAAATTAGATATTAATATAAATAAGGTCTTCTTTATCGCATTTTAAAACGAAGTGTATTACTATACTAATTGAAAAATTATTGACAAACTATAAAATGTTCTTTATTTTAAAAGATCGAACGTATGAATTTTACTTTTATTTTAATGTATTACATTTTTTAACGAAAATTATCATATTCTTGTGAATAGTTTACATTTATTTAAATTATTTAATTAGAAGGAAAGCTATACAAAATTAATCGTTTTATCATTAGAATTTTCTTTTAATTAACAAATAAATGCACGTATTATAATTTATCACAATTAATATATACAGCAATATTTATATTTTAAATAAGAATATTAAGATTGAAACAGGAATTTCAATTGGACACACAGCATTATATATATAATGGAGAGCGGCTTAAGACATCAGCTTTTAACTACCTTTTATATGTGTAATTAAAAAAGGTGTCTATTAATTGAAATGTAACGAAATATCTGATTTATGGACGAACAAATTAAAGGCTGATAACTTATTCATATCTTTTCAAGTTTGTCGTAAAAATCATAGGGAGACTTTTATTACAATCATATTAACTGTCTTGATGAGAATTATTAGCGATAGTCGTGCAAAATAAACAAGAAATGAGCGAAAATGATAGATAAATCGATTTCACAACTCGTTATTGAATTGCATGTTTCAATATGTAACGATTGTCTCAACTATAAGGATACTAACTCTAAGGATTGGCCAAAACTAAGGATACCTTATCTAATTATAATATTTTGATGACTGTTCCACCGCTATTCCTATATCTTGCATTCCGTATTGCATGGTGTACCTAAACATTTTCTTTTTTTAAATTACAACGCAATACTTATAAGAGTGTAAAATATAAGATAAGAGTTGGGCTACGATTATCTAAATGGTCAAAGTAAAAATCAAGTTGCACTCGCGAATATCGATTTCTAAAATATTTAACGTTCAATACTTTATATTCGCGAACGGTCAACCCCCAGCACTAACAAAAGCCGAGATATTGCGCGATTGCCAGCCCCGAAAACGCCCTTCGTCCGCGAGGCCGCGGATGATGATCTCGGCGGAGAGGGGGACCCACAAAGGAGTCGAGCTCGTGGTGAGAGGACGCGTTTGGTATAAAAGTTGATGGTAAACCGGCGAATAAGCGACAATAGCGCGGGAGTCCTCAGCTCGCATACGGTTTTTCCTCGTCGGGTGTTACAGCTAAGGAGTTCACCTTAGCTTCCGGAGTAGCCGCAATCTTTCTCAACGACATGAAGCTGGTACGAGCGGATCTGCCCTGTTGAATTTGCACGCACTTGCAAAATCAAGATTAACGAAACCGTCTTTGTTCGCTACGCGAGATCGGCACTTTATTTGAAAATGAGCGCTACAGCTTGGCACGAATATTCTTTGGCAACGGCAAAACCCTTATTATCAAATAATCTTTTACGACGGAAGCTGTTTTATTCATTTTTGCACGAAGCCATCCTTTATTATGAATATTCATTTTTATATTTGAATTAACCAGATACGGAAGTATTATTTTTATTTTATCGTTTCGTTTATTAAGAATATACGGCATTAAAAGATCTCGAATAATTAGAGTTACCAATGATATGGTTAACAATTTTTTCTTGTCTTTTCTACCGAGTGCACGTGCTTTTTCCTGTCCCGTTCTTTTTACATTCTTATTATAATTTCTGTCTTGAAGTGGAATAATAATATTTATTTCAATATCATAATAATTATATTTATTATATTATAATGTAAACAGACGTTTCAAATAATGTAAGACAATTCATATTATAAATTTCTAATAAATTCAATAAATTTAAAAATTATAAATACTTATCACGAATTATTGGCAATTAATTATTTAATAATATTTTTCGTAGTATTTTTTATTCATAATGGCTTGCAATTAAAAAATATTATTGTTCCTTTTGCATTTAAAATTAATTATTCCTTATTATTATTTAGTAATTGATTTTTATTTATTGTTATTTCATTATGTGCCAATAAAATTATTATGTTTGATCAATATTTTATTTTTAATATTTTCATAAACTTTTTTTAACTCGTATCTAATCATTAAACTGTAATTGACAACGTAAACTTAGACGCAAGTATAAAATTTCAGAATTAAATGTCCACCATTGAAAGTTAATAAAAGGCTTATTTATTTATATTGATAATGTGAAGTGACTGTAAATAATTTTAAAAAGTGTAAATAAATTTGTAAAAAAAAAGTTTGTGTATCAACAAGCCAAGCTGTTTAAAGTGCATAGAGGTGTTTAAATTGTGCATACGGATGCAATTGTGCTATTTTCGAAATAAGAGCGAGAGAGTGTATGTGTGTGTGAAAGAGAGAGAGAGAGAGAGAGAGAGAGCGAGAGAGAGAGAGAGAGAAAGAGCTCGCGCGTGTGTGTGTGTGTGTGTGTGTGTGAAAGAGAAGGAGAAAAATTTGTGCAGTAGGGTCATCCTTAAAAACATATTCCTCGTAATAAGTAGACATTGCTCGATTAAGCAGTAATGGCAAATTATTTTCGAATGTTTTCCTGCGCCTCCGTTTGCTTTTCTAAGTACAGTGCTAATCTAACGAAAGTCGGTTTAGCAATTGAATTAAGTACATTTGCCGCGCTTTTTTCAGCAGCTCACGTCAATACTCCTGGTCGTTTTCACGACGTGTCTCGCCGCGCGACTGGAGAACACGTACCTGCCACCCGGTAGCGCAAGTACAGCTGGCGGCTCTGGACTCCAAGCCCCCAGCCAGGGTTTTAGTCGCGGTGCTGGTGGAATTGTACCTGGTAAATTGTTTTTTATCCAATTTTTTATCTACTATTTTCATTGTTTGGTTGAATTTGTACCGTGTATAGATCAAGTTGAAGAACGAGCTGAGAATGTCATATAATGATTCTAATTTGAAATTTTAAAATAATATGGACTTAATATTTTAGTCTATTAAATAATATTCAATTATATGGAATTATTTTAAATTGCGGTTGGACAGCAAAGTGACTTGCATATATATATATAATATGTAATATGTACAATTTTTTACATATTACATATTACACAAGTTCGTGGGATTGAAATGTTTATATGTCTTTGTATTGAACTTTCATTTTCAGTGAATTCAACGGCATTAAAATGTTGAAGAATTTCTTTCTCTGTTATCAAAAAGCAAAGTGTTTATGTTTGGGTAGTATGAATATTCTAGCAGACATAACAAATAGATAATTTAAACTTTTCTGAATTTATTAATATTAATTAATTTATTGTATTGTATTACTACGTATCGAATTTTTAAACAATGCAACAATCTTATTATACATTACATCATTTATAAAACTGATGTACTCTATACATTTCCTTTTATTATTGTATGTTTTCAAATGCTTGCAAAAATAATATTTCCTTTTTGATAAAAGACAAGTGCATTTTGAAAAAGGTATGCATGAAAACATCTTAATAAAAAACATATAATTTAAATTGTAAATCATACGCTGGTTAGATGAAAGTTGAAAATAATCGTGTCTTATTATATTGCTCTTTCTTTTAACGGAATTACGTAAAATATTGAATAATTACTTATTATGCAATTACAAACGTCAGGATATGATGATATAAATCGTGAATTGTTTATAAGAAAGAAAAAGCATATTTCTAACATTTTCTAATAGTCATGTGTTTACACATTGATTATTGCAAAATTAAAAATTTATCAGTTTAGTATTTGTATAAATAAATAACGATTTTATTTATATTTGACTCGTGGAATTAGGATTTTCACGTTTAATTATCATTAAGCTATTATTTATATTTAAATAAAATCTATTAGCCTAAACATTTATATAAATCATTAAAGTAGCTGAAGTGTAGAAGTTGTAGTTCAAAGTAAGAAGTTGTATTTTAAAAACTACAATTTAATATAAACATTACTAAATATTATATGATTATAAACGATTAGTATGACTCAATTTATTATGATATATGAAAAAGACATATTTTATAAAACATATCTCTATATTTTCATATCCTTATTTTTACATTATAACGAAAAATTACTTTTATATAGTACAAGCTGGATATAATTTAGAAGTTTATCTATCAAGAAAGTTCAAGCTAATCTTATACATTCTAATTATTGAAAATGATAAATGATATTATTGTACCATTATGTAATAGAAATGTATCTATTATAATTCATAAATAACATTATGAGATATGAATAGATAGCATCAATAAAGCATAAAACTAAAATTGTAAAAGTCATGGTTTGATTTATCTACCAGCAAATGAATATAACTTGTATCATCTCATTATTAGAAAGCTTAATTATGATTAAAGGTGGTACTGGTGCATTTAATGGACGAGGATCGGGTTCTTTCGGCCCTGGTACTGGTGGACCTAGCGGATTCGGACCACGACCCGGAGGTGGACCTGGAGTCGGTGGTAGTAGTGGCTTTGGTTTGAGCAGTGGATCTCAAATTCCGATTGTTTCTTTTGACACACAAAATGGCGGTGACGGTAACTACCGATACAGTTATGAGACCGGAAATGGTATTCAAGTCCAGGAGCAAGGCCAAACACAAGGTAAGTTTAGGAAACTCTGGCGTTAAATTTTTTCTCACAAACTTTTTAAGAATGGATAGGTCACGCACACTGTTTCATTTTGAATGTAACACAATTTGCTTGCATTTGTTTGTACGAAACTGTTTATGTACATTCTCAATGTTTTAATCAATGATCAAAACATAATTATTTATTAATTTTTGTATATAAATTTTTATTTAAACAAAGATTTATTTACCCATATAACTATTTCTGATAAAAAATCTATATATAATATGTGGAATAACTTAAAGATAATATTTAAATTATTGTTCATTTATACATAGAATATTTAATGGAATTATTATTCTGAAAAAATACTTTTCAAAATCTAATTTGAAACGATTATCAATCTTTATCAGAATTTATTACTTCAAAAAGCTTTTGTTTAAAACAATTATCTTAGATTTCTTGTATTAATAATTAAAATATATCTCATCAATACTGAATCAATACTATCATTAACTACATTCATGTGAAAATAAATTCAATTTTAAATATTCTGAAAAAAATAATATATTTATACCTGTCACTTACTTTTTATTTTAGTTTTCTTACAATTATTTTCAATTAAAATCTTATATGTTTTCTCCATTATTTCAAATAATGAAAAAAATATATACACTAATAAATTGATTATTTTTAATTATAAAAGGTTTTGAATTTTTTGTCGTTATCAATTTAAATTTAAATGCAAAATTTTTAATCAATATTTTTATTAGAAATGTAAAATTATAATAAATTCCAAAAAAATTCCATGCTACTGTTAATATACCAAATGAGAGTTTGAAAAATGAATTAAAAAATTTAATTTTTATAATAATACTAATATCTGGAAACACCATTGGCAAAAATATAGTACATTTACAATATATAAAAGTAAATGTTAATTATATTCCCATTTATAACCTCACTTGAATGTGAAAATAAAACGCACGCGACGTATAGAGTTAGTATAAAAGACTCATTCAATTCATCGCAAATAAATCGAGGAAATGAAATAGAAAATATTGCGAGTGACCGTTGTATATTTCGGCAGATAGTGCTAAATTAAATACGAGATTAATGCCAAATGAAAAAATATAGGAGGGCATTAGGGGATTCGCATAATGCAAGCATTTAATATGTAATGGTAATTGTATCCGCCACTTTCCTAATGGGGTGTTCATCTAGACAGGTGCATAGGTGTACTGTACTATATTTTGGTAGACTTGAGCATGTAATGTTTGAAAAATGGACGAACTCGAATGCGGGAATAACGTCGACATTCTCAGATAAGATTTTGCCTTGAAAAATTTGAAAAGAAAAGAAACATTTGCTAATGCTGATGCTCCCCTCAGGTAACACGGAAGCGGTGAGTGGCTCGTACAGTTATACCGGCCCTGACGGTCAACTCTATAGTATCAGCTACACGGCCGACGAGTCTGGATTCCATGCCCAGGGTGCCCATATCCCTACTCCGCCTCCCATACCTCCAGAGATCCAGCGCGGTATCCAGGAGGCTTTGGCCGCAGAGGCACGTGGAGAGAATCAAGATGGTAGCTATAAGGGTGAAGGCTCCAGAGGAGGTAAAAGAGAAATATCTTACAAGATACTGGCTTTTAAAACTTTATTTTCTTAACACTTTTTATAATTTTTACATAATGCTTAAGTTGAACTTTTACTATGGTAGATACCGTTCATAAACGAGGCAAATTAAAAAGTTCTATTTAATTTATGAATAAAACCATTTTTAAATAACAGTCCTTACGCAATATTTAGATGTATAAACATATTTATATTTACATTTATATTAATATTTGCGTAAAGACTGGTATTTAAAAATTGTTGGATTCATCAATCAAATGAAACTTTTAAATTTATTTATAGATATTATTAATGATGGTTTTACCGATTTTATTTCATCCAGTTTATTTATAAATTTAATGAAAAAAATATTCTTTGCAAAATACATATTTTTTTACTATTCAACTATTTATAGTATATAGAAATATATTATTTATATTATAATATATTATACAATATACAATACATTAATTATCTTGTAATTAGATGTTTTTAAAATACATTTAACAATAAAAATAAAAAATCGACATTTTTAGAAAATTGTTTCAAATGTATAATATTAAATGCTTCAAATCATTGGTTTCAATTATTTTTATTTACTTTCATTTCATTATAACGAATTAAGTATTTATATTAAAAGATTTAAGAAATAATTAAGTTAATATTATTAATACGTTCAATAAATAATAAGGTTTTCAATTATTGAAATTTTGTAATAGATATAAAAAGTTTGTGTGTTGATATTTAAGAAGCATTTGAAATTAAATTTGTATTAATATGTATTCCGATCTTTGAAATGGTGTAGGTGGCGGGTACCAGAATGGAGCTGGCTTCCAAAGTGGAAGCGGGTATCGAGGTGTAAATTCATATCAAAGTTCTCAAGGTGGATACAAGTATTAATAAATATTCACGTACAATTGCAATTAAGCTTTACTAAACCGCGAGTAGAGTCACGCATCTCATTATGTTCGTCGAGCTGCCACTGAACTGCCACCGCTAATTACCAGTTTTATTATTGTAAATACTCAATCATCATTATTGCTTAAAAGACACAAAATTTTCCGTTTATCGAATGATAAACAAGCCATAACAATAAATAAATAAAAGTTGTGCTGTTTAACGAACCTTGTTAAGCAACTTAATTGTAAACACACGAGAAATATGCATTTGGTTATTGGAAAATGATGTGATAATATATAAGTATGTTTTGTATGAAATAAATAAATAAATATTATTTTATCATTACTTATTAGAATATTCCTTAACCTGTGAAAATTCGGCAATGAATATGAATTAAATTATTTTTTAATATATTTTTATTACAATAAGCATTTTCTTTAATTACAAATTAATTTTATAAGATACCTTGGCTGAAAATACGTTATTAGTTAAAGAAAAATAATATAATTTATAGGAATATAATACTTGTAGGTCATGTAAAAATTATGTTACATGTTACAAGTAATTCATAAATAAAATATTGGCCAGGCTAAATACTAATTCAAAAATTCATGTATATAAATATTTCTTGTGTATATTCAATTTACTAATGAAATTAAAAATCTTTATTGATGTGAGTAATTAAAATTAGAAAAAATTTTATTTTGCAAATATAATGTGCTTTTAAAATAAATATATACAATTTCTATATTCGTTGTTTATTTGTACTGCACATGATAATTGTCTTCTACAAATTAGAGACAATACAAAATACACAAAATTTAAAAAAGTATAAATATATTGTTTACAAGATATAATACTTTTTTGTTTTCTTTTTACAATTTCGTAGTATAGTACTTAGCTTAATATAGATAAGGTATGAATAAAGGAACAAATCAAATTATTTAAAAAGACATTGAAATACATAAGAGTTAATATTATAATCAGATTTTTCTAACAAATCGCTTATATTTAATATATGTAGATTCATTATAAATACTTACACAAACAACAAATATTATCTATTTAAAATATTAATTTATAAACATATTTTATTTATCATATTTTATAATACTTGTATTTTAGAAAACAATATAAATATATAAAACAAAGAGAACTAATTTTCAAAATTAAAATCTACAAAACTCCTATACAATTTAATTAAATATAAAGTAAGTTTGAACACTTATAATATTTATATATCTATATTTTGCATTAATCATAAGTATATACGATATTTCAATTCTTTTTACAACTTTTAGTTAATAGTACCATTTATAATTAAAAAGAAAGAAATAAATTTAGATATTGCAGCCTTATTCAATTTTTCAAGCTTTACTTGAGTTATCTTTGAGGTTCATCTTAAAGTACTAACAGACCTTTTGTATCTATTTTATAAATACTGCTGAATAAAAGATCATTTTCACGTTTTAATAATCCAATGTAATATGAAATATTTATAATAAGTATTTTAAGATAATTTTTTGTAATTAAAATTGTACATTTCTTTAAAATTTTTCATTGAATTCTGAACACATAGCATTCTTTTCTATATGAACTCTTCGTTTTTCTAGTTTAATACTTTTAAATTATTAATAACGATATAAGTTAAAGCTTATCGTAATTAATACGAAGAGTAAATTATTTAAATTATAATAATCGTTTTGGTAATTTTATAATTACGAGTTAATGAAAATGTTTATATTATATTAACTATATTGCAACAACTATATTATAATATTTTCAAACGATATTAGAATGATTATATTTTAACGACGTCAAGTACGCGCATAAACATTGAATTATAAAAAGTATGGTGTTAAGTTTCTGTTATTATACTTGTTAATTAACTTGTAAATAGGTAAACTGCGTTGTTTGTAATTTTATTATTAGTGTATTATTATTCTCTCTCTCTTTCATTCTCTGTTCTGGCAATATTATACTTCTACTCAAGTACACATTTGTCTTTACATTTGTATAATTCACCATGAAATAAAATTTACTTATCAGTATGGAACCAGATCTACAATTTGTATTTTGTGCAGTCAATATATAACGAAATAGTAATCAAAGGAAATATTAGAAATAAATAAATATTTTTAAATTAGAACTCTGTGTTCTGGATATAGTATAGATTTAGTATGGTTGTAATTATTATATTTTCCCCGTCATGTTTAAGTGAAAATTTCAAAACTATTTATGCTAAACAAGCTATTATTATTAGGAATATTCTAAAAAATAGTGTGTTTCACATGTTTTTAGATACAAAAATAAATCAAGTATCACTAAATGACGGCCCAATTGAAATATGAGTTTAAACATCATTATCGCGAACGTTGTTTAGAAAAAATTAAAGCTGCTAAATAAATAAAATAACTCAAATTTTGTTAATAAAAATGATATAAATTATATGTTATATGAAAACGGTTATCCATTGAAATCTAAAAACTGGTAAATTCAGTTTCCATAATCTTATAATATAATCTTATCTTTCTGTGAAATCCTCAAACATCTATAATACTACCTACAGGTATATTTATTGTATATCAATAATTTTTTAACATCATGTAAATTTGTAGCTCAATTTGTTAGCTATAAACTTTACCTTTATAACAAATAATAAGGACGAAATGAATCTGTAAAATTCCATTATAAAAATTTCTATTACCGTATGTCGTTTATATATAGTATATTTTAGTTTGGGTTGAAAACCCTAATGCCTGTTATCCTTATTGAAAGATTTTTATATGCATTCGCATCTTATTTTTCGTATTAACTTCTACAAATTAGTTTGTTAAAAGACTTTTAAAGTAAATTAAATACTCAATTTCAATATTTTCTTCATTAACTTGGGTATCAAAAAAACGACCACTATACCCAATCAATATTATTGACACACCTTTACAGACATATATTATTCTTATTTCAGGATAATCTACTGATTTTTTCCAAGATCGTGGAATAAACAATATCTTTCATAAATATATACTCAATCACTGATGAATACCACTATTCATATATCCTTTCTGACTTTTTAAACATTTTGTCATCAGAACTGACTGAACTAACACAATATGATGTACTATACTTGGCAATTTTTGGTAAACTATAGGAAATCTATTATTCAACGATACTCATTATCTACAATATATTCATCACGTATATTTAATACGATAATAGTATTATTGGCTGAAATTAATTAATACGCGAATTAAAATGTTTATGTTTCCCAACTATATATCTTTTCTGAAAGTATATTTCTTAGGATTTGTAATTAAGGGAACACCGGAAGATACATTTTTCAAATGTAAATTAAGAAGATAATGAACAATGTTAGTAATTTCACATCAATTGAAGAATACAACTTCATATCGGTATACATGCAAAGTACTTTATATGAAATGGATAAAGATCTGTTCCGGAAAGATGCAATATATATGGCACTAGTGCTTGTTATAAATCTGTCTAATATCAGTCACATCAGTCTGAATTTTAAAACTATATCCTAACAGACCACTGAATATGAAAATAATCTGACATGAATTTGGTTATTCAACAATTTCTTCAAAGTATTGTTTTTATGACTTGGATATAACATATTTCTGTATTCTCCATGTGCTCGGAATTAAATGCGCGAAGCTAAAATGTTATTGATATCGAATCAACACTCTTATTGGCTCATTATAATCTCAACATCACGAAGTAACGACATACCACAAATGACAATTTAAATATTTATAACAGTAATTCACAATTCTGTCAGTAGAACTTCTCATTCTGTTATAGGAGAGATATATAAAAAAATTTATTCAAAAACAAATTTGATGTAAATATAATGTCATAAATAAATTTTAGTAGAGTAGAACAAAAAAGTTCATAATACTTTGAGCATATATCCATATAAGATAAGTATATTGTGCCATCGGTAATATTAAATTTAAAATACTGTTATACATTTTAAAAGCATAATTCGATAAATAAAATACTTTTTGAATAATTTTTATTATTACTTCTCTCCTTAAAAAAATCTTATATTTATTAACTATTATTTCTTTTAACATTGCTTCGTTGAGTTTAATTTTCATACGTCACAGACGTAATTTGACTAATGTAAATATCGAAATAATATGAAATTATAATCTTTTTACCTGATTTACATAGATTTGAACAATATTTTTAAATATCGCATGTAAAAATGTGTTCTGTCTTTGAGACTTTAGTTGTTAGTAATATTGTTGTCAGATTTGATTATTTTCGTTTTATATTTTATTTCTATCCCTTATGATTGGATCGCTTAGCTGCCCTGGCAAACAGTAGAAACAGCTGCTCAAGGGTAGACGATAGAATAGAAAAATCGTCGATAGAGTTATATTTACTCTTTAATTCGTTCATAACGTTATACATTTTCCTCCATGTAGTTTGAGAAGTCACAACATGATACATAAGAAATCCCTAAAATTAAATTATGTTTCATTAACATTGTTATATTTTATTAGTATTTAACATATTATTATTATCATTATTATTATTATTATTATTATTATTATTTCTGATATTTTTATTAATTAGAATTATATGTAATTAACCAATTTTTAAAACATTTTTAATACTACAAAGGAACATGTAAATCAAATTAAATTATTTGATAAAAATTATGAAATGAGAATAAATTTCAATTACTTTAAACTTTGTATCCAAACATTAAACAACATCCTATATTAGATTTTCATATTTATATAAAAAAACATATAAATAAACCAATCAATAGTTATTCATATTAATTACAAAAATTGTTATTGATATTTTTATTTTTACATTAATAAATGTTAACATATTAAATTTGTTTGATATTTTCAATAAAATTTTCACAAAATTTGTATGTTGCTTACTGAATTTTCATCTACGAGTTCGCAATTTAATGCTTCTTGTATATCCTTCTTAATATTTTCTATTTCGCTGTTCGATTTCTCGGGATTCAATTTCATTTGAATATCGTATCCTGCGCCAAAACGCTGTTTCAGTTCTTGACATGGACCAATGCACACCAATTGTCCATCCACCATAATAACTAATCTATTACAAAGAGCCTCACATTCTTCCATACTGAACCAAATTGCATTTTAAATTAATATTTTTCTGATAATGTTACTGATGGTTATTACTTATAATAATTAATTTATTAAATTTGAAACTGTTATTTATAATATCTAGCAAATATTTCAGAATTTATTGTATTTTATCAATTATTTTATAAAGTTTAACCCAATGTTAGGATAATTTAGATAACTGACTGGCATAGTTAATTCTTTAAAATAAATTAATACATAAAATATTTTCCAATAAGTATTTGAAAACATGTTTACCAGTCGTCGTTTATTAGTTGGTTAGCAGTTTTAAAAATATAAATTTATTTATTTTTTGAATTTGTCATTAAGGATTTATTATTTGATTATGAACATTCAATTAATTTAGAATTTCTATGACGTAAACTATTATTATTTAATAAAATTAATTATCAATAATAAAATAATGCTTAATTTGTAGAAGTGCCGATTGTTTGCAGTTAAAAGTATACCTATGTGATGTTAAAATAATGGCCTGTCCAGTTGTTTTGCAGAAATCGATAACATTCCATAATGATCTTCTAGCAGCTGGATCAACACCTGTTGTGGGTTCGTCAAGTAGAATCAAATTGGGACTTCCAATAAGGGCCATCGCTATGTTAAGTCTTCTCTTATTTCCTCCACTATATGTTCCACTTGGCTGTGAAGCACAGACATTTAAATCTGAAAATGTTTATCAATTTTTTTAATAGCACTCAGAAATCTAAACCATGCAATTTTTATAAAGCAATAGATTTATACTGACTTAATCTGTTGATCCATTTTCTTACTTCTGCACCAACCTGCAGTTCTGGAATACCTCGTAAACGAGCGAATAATGTCAAATGATCGGTAGCGTTCAAACATCTTATTAAAGCATCATTTTGTGGACAATATCCCATCTGTGAGAGATACTATAATAGAAAGTAATAATACCCTTTGCTTTATATTGTTTTTAAATGATAGAGCATTAATTTTTCTTATAACAATATTATAAACGCTTTATTTAATCATATACTGTTATATATTTTAGCATTTTATTCTCTTTTCATTAAAGTAACATATTTTATTTTAAATATTTTTAGCATTACCACATTTGATATCAATTAACAGTTTCTTCATTATGAAATAATATATCAATACTAAATTGAAAACGTAATTCTTCTTTTTTTTTTTAATAAATATATTATTAATGTATAGTTTAGATAATCATATTTATAAAATATTTTTTTTTATTAAATTTTCAATTATAACAATGCTCAAATAAAATAACTTAAAAATATATTCAGTTAGAGAACTTACGTATTTCTCGTTGCTTTTATAGTCCTTATTGCCTAAATACATAACACCGCTATTAGGTACCGATTGTCCAGTCATTATTTTAAAGGTTGTACTCTTGCCAGCCCCATTGACTCCAAGTAAACCAAAACATTCATGCTGTTTAACTCCGAAGCTGACCTCTTCAACCGCCAAGAATTTTCCATAGCGCTTGCTTAGCTGATAAACCAGAAATAGGTAGTTGTTGGAGGTGTCATTGTTGGAAAGGGCGTTACTCTCTTCACTCGTCGCATTACCATTAGATTCTGCTTTTTTATTTTTTACGGCTTTTTTGTTCGTTTTCTTTGTATCTAAAAATCAAATGAAAACAGATTATGTTTACTTAAAACTGATTAAAATTATTATTATTTGTTTACGTATAATGCAAGGAATTAAAAATTTTCTTATTTAATTCAACTAAAATTTTATTTTAACAATTAACATTTTAAAAGTTTTTATTGCTTTATTACATTATTGCTAAATTACATTATTGCTCGATATAAAATATTTAAGATTATAGTTATATTTTTTATATTTTATATTCTAAATAGATTTATTTTGAAAAATATCAATTTACATACGGTTACAGTTGTATGAAACAAGTTAAGCGTAATAATAGCTTAAAAATAAATATTTAAAATAAATGTAAATATATAGGTGTAACATTAAATAATTTAAATATTTTTCATAATAAATTATTGTTTTAAAAAATAAATCAAGCAAATTCAAAACTTTGCATGTACAAATTATATAAAATCAAATGATTATGATCAATCATATAAATACTCACAATGATTTCTGGCTTTAGTTATTTCGAAAGAAACCGAATGTTTCTCTTTTTTTACTTGTTCGTCATATGGATCATCTAAAATTTCATACTTGCCATTGCGCATCTTTGCAAGCATTAGAGGTATAAATTTATATTCTAACAAAGCAAGAATTCCAAAATAAAGTATTGGTGTGAAGCACATGTATGTTATACTTTCTTCTAACGACATGTCATCTTTGAAATTATTGAAATAACTTAAACTTTTTTTACATTTTCCATCAAAGCATTCAAGATCTGTATAATAATTACAAATAAATATTAAAATCAATATTTTTGGCATTTTAATAATCGAGAAATATTTAAAAAACAATTTTGAAATTACTGTTTTTTTTATAAGCAATAATAATTACAATAAATTTGCTTAACGTTTACTATATAAAATGGTTTATTCGTACCACAACAGGTATCTTTCATAAGACACGCAACATCATGAAGTACATTTGGTAGCCTTCGACATCTAGCATTTTGAGTGGCAGTGGTAAAAAAGGAAAGTTCACCATGAAAGAAACTTAAATATGGTATTAAAAGAAATAGCTTCTTTTGAATTGATCGTAATACTCTTGCAGTCTTTAAGTGACTTAAACTTAGGGCGATAACGTGCATTATAAGTTCCAAGGAAACTAAAGTAAAATATTGTTAAACTTAATAAATGAAGACAAAATTATAATGCAAGTGTATACAGTAAATAAATTTTAAAGTATACTCTACATTTTTATAAACTTACCGAGGCCAAATGGTATAAGACTGAGTAATGTTATAACAGTGCTTGTAGATTTTTTCAAGAAACTAAATATATAAATCAATGGCAAAACATTGATTGCAAATAAAACTAATATGAGTATTGTTATGCCTGTAAAAAATTATTTTTTTTATATTCAATAACATATATACATTTAAATGCTTATGTACTAATCTTATTTTTGACAATTATTTTTTTAATGTTATATAATTTATAAACATATGTCACATACAATCTTTATCATTTCAAATTATATAATTGATACCAGTTATAATAAATAGTTGACTCTTTAAAATATTTTATATAATACATTTATGATTTTAATATGAATCTGATATTTGAAACTTTATTTTGTTCTTCATAAATTAATTTTCCAAAAAATGTTGATTTAATACAAGAATTACATCGAGCAATTTATGAAACATTTTCGTCATTAATTATTCGTAATTATTAAAAATAAGTATTTAAACTTTTAATTTAAAGTACAATCATAATATTCCTTATTATTTGTTAATAATTATTTGTTAAGCAGTGTAATGACTTATAAAAATACAAATTCCAGTTTAATTAATGACATTTTTCCTCCTATTGTTACAATCATGTAATCATTAATTTAGATTAATTGACTTACTAAATGTCATTTTAAAGAGCAGTTTAAAAGCACTCTTGAATCGTGCAAACTTACCAATTTCTGTCTCTTCATACATTCGAAGATCAATGGCATTATCCATACATAAGAATCCAACAACAACAAAGATAATTAGTATTAGAAAAACAAGAAAATCAAATATAAACATCGTGCCCCAGTAAGTAAAGCAAGAAACTCCAGCCATCCTTTGTAATTGTTTGACATTCGTGACTGATTCCCTAAGAGGATGAATGATGAAGAGAGCGATTGCCGGAAATAAGAAGAAGACAAATAGAAGTACGGTTCCATACACAGTTTCGTCGGGTATGAAATTAGATTGCAAAGAGTTTGGTAGCTGATGACTGAATATACTAATGGAGTGATCGTCTCCAGCCAGGGTCTTGATGATTGCATTTGACAGAAGATTAATGGATATAGGAATGCTGAACATAGCGTTATCTGAATAGAAAGCATTCGCCAAAGTATCGTTACCAGTTTCATTGAATTCAGCTGCAGCGATTAAACTACTGCTGTATGATGCTATGTCTTGATGCCCCAGATCCAGCATCGCTATTACGTAGAAATAGATTATTATTGTTTAATTTTTATACATTATTTTATCAACTAAAAGTATTTGTATTTGTAATAATTACCATCGGTGATACTAGGATAATTTAGAGTTTCAGTTGCTATGCCATTATATTCTTCTGTAGCCATTTTATATTTTTGTCCAAATAATTTGTTGTTGCTCTTATAGTAAGTTTGTGGTTTACTGTACATGTTTAGTCGCATTGATATTAAAGGTGTAGTATCACTAGACATATTATAGTCCATAGTCATAAACATAATGCAAATTATAGGCAGTAAAATCTATTGCAAGAAAAAATGTTTATCAAATTAAAAAATAATTTTATACAAGTACACTAACTTTTTTTTAAACAAATTAATTTCAATATAAATTCTATTTTTTATTTTATATTATATCACGCATGTTGATTCTACTTACTATAATACTAATTGTTGCCTTATTTTTAATAGAATATGTAACTTTTTTTTTTAATAATGCAAGTAAAGATTGAACAAAAAGAGCGTGTCCTTTTAATTTTTGAGTAGCATCTATAAATGGCTGACAAGAATCTGTGACATCATCATTATCTCGAGTAACCCTATTAACATTATAACTTTTATTAGTAAATCACTGAGAAATGCAAAATGACTACAATTATAATTGTAACAAGTAGTTTTATGACAATGATTGTAATAAAAATGATTTCATTACTAAATTTTATCCCCTGATATTTATAAAGAAGCTTCTTATATTAAAATGAATCGTTATCTTAAAAATTATTTTATTTTAAATGAAGATCAACTCAATTATAATATTAATATATTTTAGTTAATATATTTTACAATATAATATTTATAATTCAATTACATATAGAAAGTCATATATGTTGTTAAACATGTTTCAATAAAAAAGTCATTTTTTTTTACCAAATACCTATAAATAATTTTTTGAAGACATATTAATAAATAGTTGAACGTACTTTAAAAACACTTGCTCTAACGTAATTAAAGAAACGCTCATTCCTGTAACGCCAAATTCCTTTTTCTTTAATTCCATTTTATCCAAAGAATCTGGTAACTCGTGGGAATACGGAATGCTTAAGACTATCTTTCCACCATCAATATTAACAATTTGACCTCTTGCATCTAACTCTTTACACACTTTCTGTGATTCACACCATGGTTCAGTAGATAATGTTATTTCTATATTTCCTTGACCTTAAAGTATAATATTCTATATGTTAATAATAAATAATTGAATATTTAAAATATGATTAGATATTAATTTTTACCTAATAATTTTTTTAAAAACATAGATGTTCCATAGCTCTTTAAATGACCCATATGCATTATCGCAATTCTATCTCCAAGGATATCGGCTTCTTCCATATCGTGTGTACTAATTAAAATTGTTTTTTGTCCCCTCATTTTCTATTTATAAACAAATATTTTTTAAAAATAAAATAAAAATTAATTATTTATAAATAATAGAGTCGAATGATATGAATGAATATAAATATAATAATAATAATAAACAATCTATTATTAATAGTAATTTTTTTTATGTCAAAAAATAAACATTCGAAACAATTATAGATATAATAATTGAAAATATCTTACTAATATAATGTCCCAAGTATCACGTTTACTCTCTGGATCCATGCCAGATGTTGGTTCATCCAGTATTAAGGTCTGCAATACAAAATTATTTTAATTTTAATTTATTAAATAAAATAATAAATATTCAACTAATCAAAAATAAAATTAAAATATTTATTATTTAAATATATATTATATTTAAATATATATTAGATATATATTAAACTTACACTTGAATCTCCAATAACTGCCATTGCAAGACATAATCGTCTTTTTTGGCCACCAGATAATTGTTTAGGCAAAGCATTCCTTTTATCAAATAATTTGAGTTTTACAAGTAGAGCATTTACATTTTTCTTAATTATTACTTTTTCTTCATTTTTTCCTTTTAACTAATAAAAATATAAATTTTATTGTTGTTAATTAACATAACATAAAATACAAATAACTTTAATTTAATAAAATATAAAATTACTACCATGCCAAAAAACTCGATTTGTTCAGTAACCGAGAGATTTGGAAATAACATATTTTCTTGAGGGCAAAAACCCAAGTCATTTATTATTACATTTGACTCCTCTTTTACATTCTTTCCATTTATAAGTACTGTGCCAACTGTAGGACTAATCATACCTTATAAATAAAAATTAATTGAAGTTAATTATTATATTAAAGAGATTTATAACATGAATTATATATTTATTGTATAAATCGATCAAATTTAATGAAAATATTTTTAAAGTACTATAATTTTAATTGTTTTTAAATATAAACTATGATTCAATAAAACTATTAAAAAAGATAAGTACCTGTCAAAATGGACATCATTGTAGTTTTTCCAGCTCCATTATGCCCAAGTAGGGCAGTAATTTGTCCTTTATAAAAATCAACGGATACACCTCTGAGAGCTTGTACTTTCTAATAAACAAAATAATTGAAAAGGTAAATATATGTAATCTATAATTAATTTATAAAAACCAAAGTTTTTAATTTTACCGATTTACTAAATAAGTGTGTGGAATAATCTTTTTTTAAATTTCGTATTTGAATACCAGGTGTATAAGAATTTTTTGATACAGTTTCAAATGGTTTTCCATCTACATTGACAAATTCATAATCTTCAGTTTCATCATCAGAAGTTACTCTATTTTGACCCTTTCCAAACTAGTAACATAAAATGTAGAAAAATATAACTATGTAGATTAATTTATTTTATTTAATTATTTATATTATATATTATTCAATGTTATTATATATGTATTATTTCAAACTAAATGAAAAAAATTAAATAAAAATATTACCTTGAAAAAGTATAATGGATGTTTTTTAACGCCATATTTTCCGGGACGTACAGTATGAATGTAAATTGTCATGACAAAATGATACATCATTCCAATTATTGAAAAAACCATTATCATTCCCAAACTTCCTGCAGTTTTATACATTGGATCCGCGACCAAAAATAAATTATCCCATTGAATTCCTCTTACTGAAAATAATTACTATTTCATAAATATTGACACATAAAAAAATAACAAAATTAATTTGTTAAAAAAAACTTACACATGGTTTCATAATTATTTACTTCTTGGAATGCTCGAAATAGTAAAATATTAGGAAAAAATATTCCCAGATAAGGTACTACTGAATAAAAATCTCCTTTAATACTGTACTTTTGCATCATACTAGAGCCACCATAAAGTGCCAAAATTCCAGATATCATGAATAAAGCTATAAATAATTTAATGGCAAAATATAAAAATTATAGAAATAAATAAATGAAATATAATTGTATTATTTGATTTATCAAATGTTTTATTTTTATGCAATTGCTTTCAATATGAAAATTAGATGTGAATGCTTACGTTTCGAAAAATAAGCTGAAATATGCATGCCAAATGTTATTAAATGTCCAACGTGAAAAATGAGGACTATCCAAAAAATAAAACTATTTCCATAGTATAAATAAGGATGGACATTATTAGTAAAAGCAAAGTTAAATAAAATTATAAGAGCAGATATATAAGATATGCTGAAAATTAAGCCACTGACTAGCCAACTCAGCAAATTTAAATAAGTTGGGACACCATTCATTGCCATTAGAACCTGAAATTCAATATATAAATCATTAGAAATATAGGATTAAAAATATTCTTCAAAAATTATATTAATATAAGTCTAATTAATACTGCATAATTTTGTTAATAAAAACATTTGTGAATTATTCCTTAAATGATATATACTTAAAAGAAATGTTTTATGAAAATTTTGTTTAATAATTATAATTTTGCCATCCAACTTAATAGATTTTTAATTTTGATATTTTATATAATTTGTATAAGATGTATTAAAATTATCTGTATCTTTGATTAAATAACTTTTTTGTTAAATGATAACTTACATTGATTCCAATAAATTTTTCATCTGCTGCATAAGTTGCTTCTACACATAATGGAATTAAAAAAGCAATAACAGCAAATCCACAAAACAGTATCCTTGATATCATATCATTTTCATTCAATTTTATGTAAGGTGGATATGGCATCTTCTGTATCGATATCTAATAAATTTTAAAATAATAATTAATAAAATTTTTTCTCTAATTATTGCAAATAAATAATCACAAATTATATTTATACTATATAACATCTAAAAGTTTTTTAATACATAACAGTTTACACAAAAATAGCTATATATGTTACAATATTGTAATTAGTTTTAAAAGTAGAACTCAAGTATAATTATTAACTAGTTTAATATACAAGATACTATCAATGGAAATTCAAGGCTACATTCAAACATCTCCATGAATACTAATAACACTTTGAATTTAATTATTGCATTTGGAATGTATGATTAAATAATTGATTAATTTATTGAATTTAAACAATTGATTGACACAAATTAAATATTTAAAATAATTTTCAATAGAAATGTTTCTAGTACGATAATTATTTAATACAAACTTTTGATTTAAAGGCTGCATTTGGAGCTTTCATTTTTATAAATGATTCATCTAGGCACAACTGTAGTTGTATAAATGGTATCACATCAATGAAAGCATGCTCCAACGCTATTTTTATTGGCCCTTGATTTTCTATTTTATATAAAACATTTGGGATTGCATAGGAAGTTCGTATTGTATATTCTAAATGTTTTGTTGAAACATTGATATACTTGTCATCAAATACTACAGCTATAATATTATTTATTGGAGATTGACTTTGATACAATGCATACATTTTAAGCATTTCCTCTTTTGAATAAAATCCAGTTATTTCTGTTGGAAAAAAATATATTAATATTTTTGTTATGAAACAAAATTATTTATATTTTATAATAATAAAATACATAATTTAAGAATTTAAATATATGTAAATAATGTAAAGTATATTAGATTTTTCCTTTTCTGTCATATTATTAATTCATATGAATTATTAAATCAATCTATTATTATTACTTTTCTTAAACATTATTATTATTATTGCTTTATCAAAAATAATCTTAATTACAAGTTTTATTATAATTGTCATTAAAATTTATTATTCTAAAACTTAATAAAAACATATTAATTTATAATTAATAGACAATTTTATTATGTCTAAATTTATTTATTAATATAATTTTGTATTTTAAAATATGGTGACGTTGGTTATGTGTAGAGTCGACTTACTATCATTGGGAAATTTGAGACAACCCCTTGTTTTTTCCATAAGTGTTCTTGTAAATCTATTTTCAGGCACAAAATATATAATGTTCATATAATTAACCTTTGTTATTAATTCGGCTTTGGTCTTAATATCATAATAAGTATTGTTTTCATATTTTTCTGGTAGATTTGCAGAAAAATCTCTACATGCTTGAATGAGAATAAACAATAAGAAGGGTATTAAAATTTCAACAAATAATCCCATCTTCCAATGCCTCTTTCTAATAAGAAAGTTCTTGTAGAGCAAAAGCCTAAATATTCTCAACTTTTCCTTCATTTTTTCTTTGATCAATTAAACACTAAATAACAGACAGAGACGATAACACTTTTCTTATGTCTTACAAAAGTTGTCTACATACAGTGCTATTGAAACTTAGATTCATACCACCAAAGTGATCAATAATACCTTCATAATAGTCATATCCTGAACTTTTGACATGCACAGTAATCGCCTTTAAGAAGAAATGAAAGGCGAAAACAAAAGTTTAATTATAAAAAATTAGTTTCTTAATATTGTGATCATTTTTTTATTTTGGAATTAATGATATAAAAGATACTTAATATTTAAAAGTATACAAACGTACGTAAACAAATTATCATTCTAATATAATATAAATCAGCAAGCAAATATTTTTCAGAGCGCGCACAAACAAATGTCTTGAGATTATTCAATGAATCCTTCAACAGCCTCCAATAATCTTTGGTTTTTATTCGTGGGTTGTGCACTCAAACGATAAAAAAAAAACGCGCGTGCGAATACCCGTACACCTGGACACGCGACACACTTCGGTATTTACACTCCACCATACTTGGCCTTGTGATCACGAGAACAACGATGTTCCCCTTTTGCTTTTCAATTATGAATTGATGATAAACAGGAAAAATCGAAGAATTTTTCCTTACGAACTCGGCTACACTCCGTGGGAAAACAAGATACACTCAGTCATATGCTACGAAGGCGACTGCCTAGTTAACAACTGAAGAGGCAATAGGCATTAGCAGTCTGCCTCCCGTGGCTTAGGGTATAAACAAAACGTCGATCAGAAATCAGAATACATCGGATGTTCGGTGCACGTCATCGCGTGCCAGCCAATCCGAAGCTGATTTTCCCCTGTACCGTTACGGAATTTTCCAATGACGAAACCATGGCACGATTGCGCGCCAGGCCCTCCTGGTCGAGTTCTTCCTATACCTGTGTGCATGCATACATATACGCCCCCGCGCTTTTTGGCTGTCGCGTTTAATTCAATGATCGAGCCACCAGTAAAGAACGCAGCTCAATACCATAGCTTGCGTTGTGAAAAAGTCAAATTTTTAAAAAAAGTGCAGGCTTTTTTTTATTGTTATTGTTGCAGTTGTTGCTTTGAACGGAAGAGTTTTATCGAATCAGTGCTGCAATGTTCATAAAGCTTATTTATATGGATACGTACTTTTTTAATGCTAGGGAATCAAGTATTCGTCCTTAATTGTCTTAAATTTAATGCATTAATTAGTCGTGAGCAATCAAAAATATCTATATGCTTTCATTGTCATCTGAAATAAATTTTAAATCAAACAACGCATTAAAGTTGCTTTTATGTATAGTAAGAACATTCAGAATGTTGAAATGAGATCAAGGTTAAATTAAAATATCGAATATTTTGTACTACTTGCATTAATTTATGAACGTAAAGTTTTTTTATAGTTATACTATTTTTTTATTTAATATATTGACGGGAGATGAATTTCTTTAAAATTGATTTTGATTAATTTTATGCATTTTATTTGTTACTTTTAAACAAATTGAAAATATTTATTTCTACTTTATTGTTCAGATAATTAATAAATAAATAAAATTTTACAATCTACAGTAATTATTAGGTCACCGGTTAAAATGTAGCAATCAGGGTCACTAAGTAAACATTCCCGAATATTTAATAATGAAATATCTGTGTATAATAATATACGTAAAATGTAAAAGCAGTTACAATCATAACAACATTATAATATCACTACGAAAAATTATAGAAATATTGATTATGAAAATATAAATTATACAAAAATACAGCGGTAATTGTGTTATGAACGCATGGGTGTTGATGTATAGGCATACGCATGTATAACATCCCCTATATAAAATTATCAAAATTCTTTTTTTATATATACTTTTTACTATTTTTCTATGTTTACTGTTTTTACAGATACAAGTTTCTATTTTTATATAAATTAAAAAAAAAAATTAATTTATACTTGTTTGCGATGCACACAATAAAATTATAATTTATTTACAATTCATTCTATTCTATGAATACGCAAAAGTGATAATTTTATGATAATAAAATCCTATTAGAACATTATATTATAAATTTAGAAGTGGAAATTGAATGAAGCGATTTAGAGTCGATTTTTAACCAAACCGTTGAAAAATTTGTTTATATTTATTTACCCTTTTTTCATGTTTTGTCAAGATTTGAACTGATTTGCACTAAAACTTGCAATGATATACTAAAATAATTGAACTACAATTTATAATGTTTTTTTTATTAATTATAAATATATATTAGAAATTAATTAAAATTTAAAAATATATTATATTGAAACATAAGAAAATAACCATATTTTTTTCATTATTCATTAATGCCAATCAATTATAACGTCGATTACAGTATTAATACTTTAATTAGATTATTTTACAATAATTAAAAATAATTAAAAATTATGTAAGCTAAATATGATTTATAAAAAAAGTGTTACTTTATAGTTTACAGTATTGATTCAATAGGCTGATTAAAACATGTTTGTTCGTAAAATAATTGTAATAAGTCGTATCGTATCTAGCTCACAATACGAAATTTTAAAGTATAAATCTTCAGAATGTGAGAATTTTGATACAAATTTATGATAATTCAAGTTAGTTAATAAAAGTGGCAAAAAGCTATAGCAAAAAAATTATTTAAATGATGCCTTATGAACGAATACCAAGAGTATTATAACTTTTAAAAATATTTCTTAGATATATTCGAAATATTTTTTAATAATATAACGAATATCATATACACTTTTTATCAAAAGATAAATGAAAGGCTGTATTAAATATAATTTTTTTTTCATTTTTTGCCTTGGAAACTTATTTATGAGGCATGTAATGAATTAATTTATTAACATCCAATAAAATTTTACTTTTAACAATGTTTATATATTTAAAAATGTAACAATTAATCTTTTTAGATTTACAATTTCAATAAGTTAAGTTTAAATAATAATTTATGTTACAATCCACACAGAATAAATGCCCGAATATGTTTAATATAAGTTATATTTCAAATCTTCGTTCTATATATCATTTAATATCTAATATTCATTTTTAATTAATGATTATAAATCTTTTTACTTTGACAATATTTTTTGTATAGTGTTCTAATGAATCAAGCTCATTATTTTATATAAATTGAATCAAATTATGATTTTCCATGCATTTCTTTTCAGCGAAAAACTATAATAAAATTAGTGATATAACAAAAACCTGATTATGTAAAATATCTATATTAAAATATTTCTATTCTTTGAGTAATAAATTATTTTAATTCGTAATATTTTTTACTAAAAAAATTATGAGCTGTATTTAATGTAAATATTTAAGTTGATTTTATTACGATTTTAATTTCAATTATTAATTAAATTTCATAGATTCTTTACATGTATCTGATTAATTTACAGTCTACGTTCATAATGATATTTAATGATTATTATAGTGAATAACTGTCTTATGCAAAGTCGTAGTAAAGTCATAGACATGCATTTGAACAAATTTCATATTGGAAATTTTAATTAATAATACAGAAATACTCTACCATTGTTGTACTAGGTATTTATGAAATTTTGTAGAAAGAAATATACAAAATAATAATTATTTAAATATTTTTTTCAAGCATTTAGTAAGAAACTAGATTTTATCTCAGATAAATAATAATTTTCTTTAAATAAGGATAAAATTACTAACATTTACAAAACTATTATTATGTTAATGTAATGTTATTTGTTATTTGCTTTAGTATTATAGTTCATAGCTAAATTTTAGCGAAACTTTTCGAATTATTTTGTTGTTTAATTTTAAGTGTTTATAAAATTTTATAACTTTGAATAAAGTCTAAAATAAAAAGATTTTTTCATAGAATTTTTCTTCTAATTCATTGAATTCTAATATGTTAAATTTGTATATATTAAAAAAATACAATTACAGTGACTTAATATAAAGAGCAGATTTAATCATGATCTTTATAGAAAAATTCATAACTTAAATATACTACTATAATAATTGGAATAGTCTCATTACAACTGTAAAAATGAACGTTGTGCCCAGGGATTAAAATTTTGCTGTATAATAATATGCCGAAATTTAATTATAAAGCGGTCTTTAGTTATTTATTTTTTTTTTACATTATTTTTATAATATAATTTTAAATAAATAGATGCAGAATTACAAGAATAAGCACAGAGGTGTGCAAAATTAAGTTTGAATGCAAAAATCTGGTTAATGATATTGAAGTATATTAAAGTATGAACATGGACGAGTTACATATTATAGCAGTAACACTTGCTAATTGAAGGCTGTAAATCCAGCCAGTAAAATACTTGATGTATTTTACTTCACATACCCATAAAACTCGTGAATTACGAAGTTGAACAACAGTTATAACAGCAATAAACAGCGTATAATTTTTATCTGACACAGGTGCCTTTGCGAACTAAAGAATTAAACATATGAGAGTTCATTTTTTCAAGTCATCAGCTAATACTTGTTTTGGTATAAACAGAAAACAAAAATAATGACGAGCATTGAGAATTTGCAGCAACAAATAAAAATCTTAGAGCAGCAATTAGCAGAGGCAACACTGAATAATGTTGGAGTACCTGTAAGAGAGAAAATCAAACAGATGTCAAGCGAAGTTGTCGGAACAAACCCTTACAGGTGGTGACGACTATAATTAAATCAGAATTAATTTTTTTAAATTATTTTTGATAATTACTATTTTTACATTTATGCACATTTTGTGGCAATAATATTTTTAATACTTATGATTTATGACGTTTAAAATTATTAATTATTTTTAATTAAAAATGTTTAAATTATATAATAATTTGTATATATATTATATATACAAATATAATACATATTTATATATACAAATATATTATATATACGAATATAAATATTATAAATATTAATGTGTACGATTTATTTTACAATACAATTATATTTAGTTTAATTTTCTCCTATAAATTGTTAGAAGCATAAAAAATTATTTAAATTTCTTAAGTATACTTAAATTATGAAGATTACTTCATATGTTTTACATAATGAAAGAATGTTTATAAATTCATATTACCAACAATTTAAATAAAAATTTTTTATTTTAATCCGTTGAAGAACTGATAATTTCAATAATAAATATTTTTTCAGTCGCTTATTAGCTTTGCAACGAATGGGTATAGTTAAAAATTATCAGAATATACAAAGTATGACTGTAGCTGTTGTTGGTGTTGGCGGAGTTGGAAGTGTAACTGCTGAAATGCTTACAAGATGTGGCATTGGAAAGGTAAATAATAAAACAATCCTCTTGATTATTAATATTAAAAGAATTTGTTCAAACAAGATTCATATGATATATAATGATTAATAAATAAAAATATATAAAATAAATATAATCATTCTTAAATAAATATTTTATTTAGTTATTATGCTTGTTATTTATGACTGCATTCATTCTATCTTTATACTTATTCCACTGAATATATCTGGTTCAATTAATCATTGCTTTAATAGAACAGTTTACAAAAGATTATTTCTTTTTTTTCAGTTAGTGCTATTTGATTATGATAAAGTTGAATTGGCCAATATGAATAGGCTCTTCTTCCAGCCACATCAAGTGGGACAAAGTAAGGTCGAAGCTGCAGCAAAAACACTAAGGTTTATTAACCCAGATGTAGAAATAGAAATTTACAATTATAATATTACTACAGTAGATCATTTTGATGAATTTATTAATACAATTAAGTATGAACATTCAATATTTAAATATTTCAATTCTAAATATTTTAATTATTATTTTTTAATAATGTTTCAATATAAAATTTGACTTTAAATTATATTTCTATAAATGAACATTAATTAAACATACAATTCGAAATTAAATGAAATTTAATTAAAAATATTAAAGTATTAATATATATTTATTTATATTACTTAATATTATTTATAATTAAGTAAATATTTATTATTACGTTTGAACTTATCAAATTGGTTTCAGAACCTCTAGTATTAATAAAGGACCTGTGGATTTACTATTAAGTTGTGTTGACAACTTTGAAGCAAGAATGGCAATCAATACAGCTTGTAACGAATTAAATCAAATTTGGTTTGAAAGTGGAGTATCTGAAAATGCCATTTCTGGACATATACAATTTATTATTCCTGGAGTGACTGCATGTTTTGCAGTATGTTACATATAATTTAATGTTACTTGAAGTATTTTATTTTCAATTATACTTTTATTCATTTTTAATAAGCGTTTAAATATTTAACAATTCATATATATAATTTCTTATTAATATTTTTTATGTATATATTGAAAACAAAAAATAATTATATTTCATCTTGATTTTTGAAGATTTTCTTGAAAATTTAACTATCTGATATTTTCATATATAATTGTTAGATTCATAAAAGATACATATAAAAATTAAATAATTCCAACTTTATGCTTTGAACATATCAAAAGTAATGATTTATAATTTATAATTATTGATATAGTTATCCTTTTTAAAGAAATTGATTGATAATTAATAATCTTAAAATATTTAGTGTGCACCACCTTTAGTTGTCGCATCGAATATAGATGAAAAAACATTAAAGCGTGATGGTGTATGTGCTGCATCTTTACCTACAACAATGGGTATTGTTGCTGGATTCCTGGTACAAAACACTCTTAAGTATTTACTTGAATTTGGTACAGTATCTCATTATTTAGGCTACAATGCTATGCAAGATTTTTTTCCAACAATGAATCTGAAACCAAATACGAACTGCAATGATAGATTTTGTAGAAAACGACAAGAAGAATTTGCCAGTAAACCAAAACTTGAATATTGTGAAGAATGTATAGAAGAAAAACCTTTGCATGAAGATAATGAATGGGGTAAATATATATTTCAATCTTAAAATATTTATTTAATCTTTTATTTCATTTTATCCAATATACTTTAATTGAAAAAGATTATCAAATTTTTTGCGGGCATCTATCCACACATGCATATATAAATATAGATGTGTGCATATATGCATTAATTATAGTTTGTTAAAAATTGTAAATTTTACATTAAAATTGTAAAAATAATTTTCTTTTTATGCAAATATTTTAGATTATAGTTAAATGGGTACTATTCATTTTATTTAAAATTTATGAACAATATATTATTTCAGGAATATGTCTCATTGATGAATCAGTACCGGAAGATACTAACACAAAAAAATATGTTGCAGAAGGATTAGTGCAAGCTTATGACTTACCTAATAAAAATATTGATTTTGAATCTCATGCAATAGACACTTGTGATCAAAGTTTAGAAGAATTAATGTCAAAAATGAAATCTCTGTAATTTTATTTGTTCATAAAAACACATTACTTTCAAATAAGATTTTATATATAATCATAAGGACTTTATTATTAAAAAATTATTAAATATTTTACAAGTGCATGTATATTTTTCTATTTATTTTTTTATAAAAATATTCTATTGCAATTTAAATCTAAAATTAAAAAATTAAAACTATTTCTATATACAAATTTATAGGAAATCAACATTATCACTTAAACAAGTTGTTTCTCTGTTCAATATCTAATCTTAAAAAATTTAATTAAATAAAATATAATACTAATTTATATATCAAATTTGTCATAACATAAGGCATGGCCTTCCTCTTCATACTCTTCTCTTTTAACTATTAAATTAGAGTATCCTGGATCTTTAGATAATAATTTTCCACCTTCCCATGAATATGTTATTGGACTAATAAAAAAATAATATATAAATTTTCGAAAGTAAAAGATATTTGATAATTCTTAATACTACACTTTTATATTCTGTGATTTTAATACCAAATAATATTGTATATTATAATTTGATGTCAATATTTATCTATTGAAAAACATTAATTTAATTTGAATTTAGTTCTTATATAAAAGTGTAGTAAAATTCCTTTTAAATTGATATATTTTTAAAAACTTACTCTTCTGGTAAATGAACTTTAATGGTATAATCTATGGGAGCAAGACTTCTAACTTCATTTAGTACTCGATTTTGTAACCCTGGAAATTTACTACTTCCACCAATAAGAACAATGTTTGATAATAAATGTGGCCAGGTCTCTTCTTCGCAAGCTTTTAAACAGTCCATTATAGCTTCTGGAATACCCATTTGCCTAATACCAACATCAGAAGGATGAAAAAGTATTTCAGGTATTGAAAATCTCTCATTGTTCATACGTAAAACTTGCTGATCTAAAGTAGTTCCTGCATCTGTTAAATATCCTCTTCTTATTGTTGTAAAATCAGGTAATACATAGTCTTTAACAATAGTATTATCTTCTATTTTTAATTTTGCTGTTTCCATGTCATTATAAAAGTTTTGAGATACAAAACAAGAATCTTCCTTAACTTGATTAACAACATATGTTTCATCCATAACATGCAGTTGCCTATATGATAAAATTTCTTTTAAATGATTGGTCAACAATTTGCCACCAACATCTATTCGTCGAATTCCAGCTTTAATTTTCATGTCATTTACAAATGGTATAATATGACTAAAACTGTAACCAATATCTACTATTATACAACATTTAGAAGTAGGATTTTTATGTCTATAATTATAACAAGATAAAGTTGATGGATTAATTCTCAATAAGCTAGAAATTTCGTACTCTTCAAAAAATATTTCTGCCATTGCTTCTTGAACAGATGGAAAATTAAATGGTGGTTCTGTTATTATTAAAGAAGTATGACTTAAATTAATAGGACAACATTCTTTTGAAAAAATATAATCCCAAACTGTTTTTTGAACATCCCAATTAATTAAATAGCCTTTTTGTAATGGTAACATAAAATACAATCCAGATACATCTCTACATTCTTCAATTTGATTACCAATAAATGGTCTTCGTCGTTCACTCTTAGCTTTCATTATAGAATTTGGTACTGTACTGTAAAAACATTTGTATTTATATTATATTTATATAAGGTTACGTTACTTTGATTTTATTTACTTACATTGGAGAATCAGTTGATAATCCAACTTTTGCAGTCCAACCTCCATTATCTAAAACGAATACTGACGAGCTCATTCTCATTTTAAATTATTTAAAATTATATTTATTAAAATTTCGAACAGCTGTAATAAAAGTACATTGAGTGATAATTTTCTGAAAAGATATTTGGCTCTCTAGTATTCAAATTTCAAATTACACATCAAGCTTATTTAAACTATAAATTAAAATTATTAAGCATGTTTTGTACTGAAAACTTTATTATAGTGATTTGTCATTTTCATTATGAAAACAAGAATTAAAGAAAATAATTCTTAAAACTATATATTAAAATTATAAAACAACCCGTTTATACCATAATATATATATATATATATATGTATATATATATATATGCTCTATCCGTGAAGCAATAATTCTTTTACTTTATTTCAAGAAACTGAATATTTTTTAAAACAAAATATCAATGTATTCATATTAATTTTAAGCTTTTTGCTATAAATTAATTTTAATTTAGTTCTACATAATTATTATATATAAATGCAATATGCCATAGATGATATAAGAGTGGTAAGTTCAAAAATCATTAGTTTTCGTTATAAATTATTAGTTCATTCTAGTAATAATATTTCTTTTTCTATGTTAATAAAATATAATAATAACTAAAGAATTGTATAAATTATCCTTTATAATTTTATTTTTTCATAATTTATCCCTATTTTATATTTTATTTATTATTTTATTTAAATTTGTAATAATATAATGTATTTTTTTAAATTTTAAATAAGAATTTTTATACCACAAATTTAATTTAAACTTTTAATACACAAAAAACTTCTAAGAATTTTAATCAAATAATTTTTATAAATAATTATAAAGTAAAAATATATTAAGAAGCATTAATAAATGAATTTATCCATCAAGCAGAGTGAGTTTATTTTAACATTTTCACTACAACAAAACCCTCAAACCTTGTGTAATAAAAGGAAGATTCGTAACTAATTTTTTAATTATATATTTAAAAAAGTTAAAATGATTAAATAGTTTTATATTACAAATACTATTTTTTATTTATAATATTTATAAATGTTTTCGGAATTATTATTATGATTCTATTATTATTTATTTATTATTCTATTTATTATTTATTATTATTTATCATTTATTATTCAATCAAATGTAATTAAAAAATAAGGAATTTCCGTTAATAGATTTATCGATTAATAAATTATTAATTTTTTAAAGTCCAAGTAAACAAATAATGAAAACTAAATTTGTTGTCATCATTGAAAAATGATTTTTTATTTTTTATTATTAAGTAATATACAATCAATGACATTGTTTTTTTAATACTCTTTGAGAAAAGAGTAGATAATATTTAGCAACAATCATAGATTTACACAGATAAAGACTATATTATTAGACTATGTAAACTATTTTGCGGGATGAAATATTGAGAAAGACAGTGTACTTAGTTTTCTTTGAATTCTACTTTTCATTAAAGTCGATAAGTTAGTACATACATATATTAAATTGCGTTGTATTTATTATTTACAATTATTGTTTCTATTTAAGTATATTATTGAGAAAAAATAGTTTGAAACTAAAAATGAGCTAAAGTTTTTGAAAGGTCGTCAAATTTGACTAATTAATATTAGATATAAAAACTTTTTTACAATATTTTTATTTAAAACTAAAAGAATGATTAAGTGAATTGTTAATCATCATTATTAATTATAATCATTATTTAAAATAATCATTTAACATTTATTTAAGACAAAATGTAGATTGGGTTAAATTTATATTTCGATTGAACTGATATTAAACATTTTTCATTAAATTAAAAAATTTGCCTTATGTTTACAATCTTTATGTATAAATTAAAAATTCTGATTTATTAAAAAAAATATAATATAATTATTTTACAATATACCTGGAATTTTATAAAAAAAATCTAAATCATTTTCAATATTTCAAGAGCAAGAATTATAAAATATAGATGATTATTAAATGTATAATTACAAACTTTCAATCGTGGTTACACATTGTCTATTGTTAAATTAATTTTATTTAAAGAAAAAGAAAATTTTAATTTATTGAATTTCTTATCTAAATATTTATCGTTTAATTAAATATTGTTTTATTTAAATTCATAAAATGAATTATTTTTAATACACAAAATATTTTGTAAAGTTATCAATTGAAAAATTAATTTTACATGAGTTATTTTTATAGAAATTGATTCTTTTATTCAGTTGTTGAAGAAAAAATAAAAATTAACTTCTAGGTATCGGTTCAATTGAAGTATTATTTTTACATTATTTTTATATACCATAAAATTGATGTTTTATTCAAAATGTATGCTCTTAAATTAATTTATTTATTGATGTATATCGATGTAAGATTTTAATTTATTAAGTTAATTTCGAAAACATTTATACCTTACAACTTATCTTTTTTATTATATTAATATGTCAATATAATATTCACATATTAAAAATATAACTGAAATGATGGGTATATGTAGATTTGATTAAATGAATATTAAAGTTTGAAATTATATTTTTTTTTACCAATTTATGTTATTTTTTAACAATAATCTATTCATTTCATTAAAAAAAAAATATTAATAATTAAATTGAAATTTAATTAAACTGATTAAAATATTTCTATTGTTTTATAAATTCAGAAAAACATTGTAAGAGGTTATTCCATAAAAATATTATTTTTCGAAAATGTGTATAAATAATTTTGAATATATTTTATAATAGTCTTTTAATTTAAATTATAATAAAGGGTATCATATAAACAAAAGACAAACATAACAACTGAAAAATTGATTATATCTTTTTAAAGTTATTTTGCAATTCTCTCATTATTTTATGATTTTAACGATCATACTTTCATTTTCGTAATAAAATATTGATGCAGTTTTCATAAGTGCTTAACGATGGTGGTATATCTTCTAGCTGATTCAATAGTACTATTGCATGTGGTATATTTTTTTGTTTAACTAAATTTTCTATCAATAATTTTATATTATTTTCAATTTCCGGTAGACTACAATTTACAAAAACTTCTTCCAGTATTCTATAATACAAATCATGACTGACATTGAATAAACATGTGAGATTATTAAAAAAAATCTCTTGTAAAATTTCTGTATTTAAATCTAGTGTCTGAAAAAGAAATATTGTTCAAGTTAGTTAGAAATCAATTCATTTAATAAATATATTTTGGCACATGCCTTTTTTCTTACTTTATAATTTTTTTTAATATAATCAATTGCTTCCTGTTGTAATGATAATTCTTTAGAACACAGTTGCAAATAAATATATTGTTCACAAGAGAAAATATTCTTTTGCTCATGAAGAAGCTGGATAAAAATCTTTTAACAAAAGTACAATATAAGTTAATATAACAAACATAATATTCGTAATTTTCATAATAAACAATAATTTTCATACCTTCTGAGAAATTAATTTTTCTTGTAATAAATCCTTGATTATTTTTAATACTTTCTCATTATTATTATTATTATTTTTGCTTATATCAATTAATCTAATTATCATTTTTGAAGTTAAATTACTATATGTATTTTCAAAATCAACATTATTAATGTTTGACCACTGAATTAACATTTGTTTCATTTTTCTATAATCATCTATACTGTGTATTTTTGAAAGTTCTTCTTCAAAAGTTTCATAAAATTTTTCAATTGATAAATTGTCATTTGTAAAATGCAAAAAATTAGGGCAGTTATTAGTTTCAATAGTATTGCTCATTGAGTCACATGTTTCAATCCATTCATCACCCCAATTATTCCATTCATCTGCTTCTGCGGAAGCATGAATATATTCTAATGTTAATTTTTCTTTAATATTTAATTTATTATTACTAATATTCTCATTTATTGTAGTTATATTTTCATTGTTTTCATCTATTTCAGATTTCTTTTTATCGCTTGTGTCTTTTTTTATTTGAATTAAAGAATTTATTTGTTGTTTAAATTTGTGATTTGAATTATCAGTATCATTAATAATTTTAATAGTTGCCATTTGTTGAATTAATTCTATAGGATCATACAATAATGCTTTCTGAATTTCAGAATTTATTCGTGAATAAAGTTTGATTGAATAAAAATAGGCCAACATTTGATAATATAATTCAATTTGTGGAAAACTTTCAGAAATATTCTTATTGTTTATTAAAAAATCGTCATCTAAATTTAATAAATAACTAAGTCCCAACATACAATCTTCTGTAATGGTATATTCTACACATTCATGGAGTACTAGATAAATTATAAAATTATTATAAACGATTCTAATAAATGTAATTTCTTTAATAATATAAAATGTAATTTAATACATACAATGATTAATGTTACTAATTTCTGTACCATATGATGCAGTTTCACTTAATAATGAAATTCGTAATAAAATTTGACATAGTTTTAATTTAGAATTATCATCATTTTTAAAATATTTAGAATATTTTGTGTCAAGATTACTTATTCCACAATTTTCATGTAGAGTCTCATAAAAACAAGGAAATTTTTGTAATTGATTTTCTCTTTCCATTTCTATTATTTCATCTTCTGCAACGTTTTTTTGAAAATTGTCCATAAAAGTGAAATTTAATTTTGATTTCCAAAAATTTTTATTTCCAGCATTTTTTATTAAATCAAAAGTTGATTGCTTTACTATTTGTGCTGAACTTTTTACTAAATTTGTTGATGTTTGTACGATTTTTGGAACCAATTCGTTGTTTTCTACTTGGAGCTTTAAAAAAAAAGTATACATTAACACTACTAAACAATAGTCAATATTTTATAATGATAAATTTATATATCTTATACTAACTTCATCATTAAAATCTTTATTCAAATTGTGTACATCTGAATTTTCATTTTGAGTTGACAAACAGTTTTCTAAATCAGAATTTAAAATTTGAATCTGCAGTAAATTAGCGTACTTCATTAAATTTTCTATAATTTCACTTGGACCATTATTAATGGCAAACCATATACAATTATATCGAAATTTTAAATCGTCATATTCGTTACAGTAAGCCAAATCTAGAGCTATATTCCATGACAAATAGTAATTGCATACCATCATATTTTTAATTATTGAAGAACAGAAGTTATAATCTTTTATATCAAATGCTTTTTTTGCTATCAAGTTTAAAATTTTTCCTTCTCTTAAGTGAATATTTTTTGGTTCAATTCTCAAATACTTTGCTAAATTTATTAATTTTTGTATATTTTTATAACTATCATGTCGACTATTTAAACAATCTTCAATAAATTTCAGCCTTTCATGTGTCATTCTAACTTGCAATGGTAATACGTTGATTTGAAATTCATTTAAAATTTCTAATGCTTGTATTAAATCATATTCATCTTTAACTCGTTCATTATCTTCAGTTATTAAATCAAGACAGTCTCTGCAATTTATAAATTTAGTGCATTATAAAATTATTAATATTTAATTAATCTGTAAAATTAAATAACGTAAGATTGTAAGTACTTTGCTAAATTCATATATGGATCTCTAAGGCTTTTTGAATTATTAAAGTACTCGTTACTTGCTTGCAAAACTAATTCAGTTGCTTTTTCATAAGAGACTTTTAAATGGGTTCCTTCAGTTTTTTTCATTTCTATTAAACTAGTACATCCTTGAATAACAGTTTTTGATCCAGATTTTAATCTCATTATCATTGTTATTTCAAAACAAGTTTCAATATCTAAACACGAAAAAATTTGCTCTTTAAGATAAATCATGTCATTCAGTATTTGAGACCAATCTTTGTCATTTTGTAAAGAGGGTCTAAAAAAATGTGTTAGATATAAAATATATATGTTATAAACAATATTACAAATAATTCATAAAAACATACATCTTTATTAAATTATCTGCCATTTGAATAAAAAGTGCTTTAGCATCTGAAAAATTTTGTTTACTTTCTACAATGCGATATAAGGGAATTTTAATTTGATATTGATTTAATGTATGCAAACATTTTAATTCTTTCTCTAGTTCATCATATTTTTTACTACTGTCTTTCCTTCCATTTAGATGAATTACTGTATCATCAAAAATAACTTTCGCTTTTGTATACATTTCTACGTCAGTACATGCATAGATACAATCAATAGCTAATTCATTTATATTTTCTATTGAGTCAAGTATTTCGAAGTCATAAGAAGATTTTAAGTATTCAAAAAATTTAATTGGAAGTGTAAGATCGGTTGTACTTAGAAATACTAAATATTCACACAGTAAATCTTTTTTCAATGTATCATCCTGTTATAAATGAAAATATTATAATTATATTGTTCACTTACTACTTCTAAAAAAATGAAAATATTTACCAAATATCGTTTCCTTCTTCTTGAATATGGTAATAACATAGTTTTTATATTAAGAACAAAATTCTTTTCATTACATTTTGTCATCAACAACTTAACTTTTTCTAAATCATTTAATTTCTCTACCTCTGTTAGTGATAAATCTTCCAAATTAACTTTATACACAAGATCAGCTAACGTTTCCAACTCTAATAACAGATCTTCTAAACCAGTAATATTATGAGACTTGCCGATATTTATTAAAATTAACGCATTATCTACTAAACAACAATCACGTTCAATTTCATAAGCTCGAGTTTTATACCATTTTTGTAGCACTGCTTGAGTGAGTTCTTTATTTCTATATAAAATATAAAATACAAAACATTTAATTTTAAACTATCTATTATGTTATTAAAATATTAAAATAAGTAATACTCACGTTTTATGATTTTATTTAAAATTTTGAAAACTTTTAGTTTATAATTATATATAAATTACCTGTATATTGCTAAAGATCTTCTACTTTCATATATAAATTCTACATCATCATTGTTATCTAAAATAATATTGCAAAATGTACTTCTTTCAACCCAGTCTTTTTGACGTAATTCTTCTTGATATAGTAAAAATAAGCGTCCTTCAATATCACATTCAGGTAGAAGTTTTTGATATTTTTCAGGATTTAATGTTTCAGGAAAAAAACTAATTATTGCTAACCAATGAGGTATTAATTTGATTCCATAATATGTAAACATAATTTCTACTCCTTGACAATTATTTTTTTTAGCAAATCTGCAAAAATAATTTTAACTATTAATACAATGTTTTTGATAACTTTAAATGAATAAATTGTTCTACCTGATTGCATTTTCAACAGGTGATAGTTGTCGAAATTCTTCATAAAATTTCTTATCGAATTTGTTTGTTGATCCCAAAAGAATTTCATAAGTTTTTAATTTATCTAAATGATTGAGAAGTTGCATTCTATATTTAATTAGTTCTTTTTGCGATTCATTTAATTTATCCATAGTAATAGCATTAAGTGTTTCATTATTTTTTTGCATCTATAGAATATAAAATATTATATATAAAATATAATTATTAAAATAATAATTGTTAGGTAGTACATTAGTTTTACCTGATTTGATTCCAAATTACTTAAATGATTATCTACGTCATTATTTATCTCTGTAGAAACAAATTTTCCATCATCTTTTATACCTATTGAAATTAATGTTTCTAAATTAGCACCACGAAGTCCAAAGTTTATTAATTCCCTGGTGGCTTCTAAATTTTCAGGAACTCTTGATATACATTCATTTAGAACCCATGATCTTTTAGTAACTTTGCTTAAAAATTTTTGTATGGCATTAATAGAAAATTCAGATTTTCTCCATTGTGTTTGATAAACTAAATCTGGATCCAAATTATAATTTGTTGCTAAAGCTAATGCTTCTTCATATTCCTAAACATAATTAAAAAAATTGTTTTTATTTTAAATTCAATATAAGTAAACTATAAATATATTTTAATAATTTTAAATTTCACCTCTATTTCAATTTTACGAGAATAAAGTTCTTCTGGCGTTGTACTTTTCAACCCTAAAAGTCTATATGTTCGATGACATACTTTAGATTTTTTTCTTTTTGGTTGAAAATTTTCAATATCTGTTATTGAATATAAAACACTTTGCATTAAATTTGTAGTGTAACTTAAAATTGTAACAGGCTTAGATTCATCTTCATCTTTTTCACTATCAGATGATAATTCTATAATCATTAAACAATTTTAAGTATTATTTAAAATTATTTAATTATATACATTTAAAGCTAAATGTAACAAAAATAATAAATAGTTAATTATATAACTGTTATAATATAATATAATAATATATAAATATAAATATAAATATATAATTGTTTTAAATAATTACCTGATGCATACTCTTCATTATTTGATTCTCTGCTTCTTTTAGTACTAGTTACAAAAATTTCACAGTCTAAACATAAAAATCCTTTCTCTTGACTAAGTTCTGCTATTTGAGGATAATTATATAAAAATTCAGGACTAGTTCCTAGGAGATTTTGTAAGCTATTAATTGAGCATACAGAAACAGAACCTGAATATCTTGCAATTATTATAGTCTAAAGATAAATTAATAAACCAAGTTATTTAAATTAAAAAAATTTAATTATATTAATTTTAAAGAATGAACATAATAGACAGATATAAGCAGATACTTAAGATTGTATTTTAATAATTTTTAATAATTGTACACATATAGTTAGTTTATATATGTTAGATGACTTACATTGTCTGACCACCATCCAATATCTAAAGGTTGAAATTCTGTCACATCATTTAAGGACTTTTTACATTTAGTCATTTTTAAAGGGCTTTTTGCATTATAATTTGACTGTTCTAAAAGCTTCCATTGCTTTTGCAATTTTAATGTTGGTAAACTCCAAATAGAGATTGTACCATCCGTATGAAGGCATGATATAAGACAATTGTTTGGAGAAATACTAGTTTTAAATATTACTGATTGCGATCTATTTTTAATTATTGGAATAAAATTCCAAATCGAGAAAGGAGATTTATAAATTTCATAATCTTGCATGGAAATAGATAATTTGTAATATGGATGATCAATCAATGTTCTCCAACATGTCAAACCTATTTGTGAAGCTGTACACTAATTGAAAATTAATTATTAATAAAAAATAAATGAATGCATACTAAAATATTCATTTATACAATAATAAAATAAATATAAAATATTAAATCATTGACTAAATTACTATTAAAACAAATAAATTTGTTATAGTTTTTGAATTTTTCCACAAAAGTTTTTTAAGATATAATACATCAGCTTTTAAAGAGAATTTCAATTAAAAAAATTCTATAAACACATACATGATTAACTATAAATTTATATTTTTTTTTAAGATTTTTTTTATAAATACTTACAGTTAAATTCTGGCTAACACTGTTACCAGCAACAAAAAACATATTATGTTTATTACTATATGCTACACAATTTACACCATTTCTGTAAAAATTGCCAAATGAAAATTCATGATTTTCACTAAATTCATTACCGCAAATATAATATGATTTAAGTAAACCACTATAAGTAATTCTAATAAATTCATAATCACAATTTTCAATTTTAACATTTGGTTGTTTAAATATTATTGATGCTATAGCATCTCCTGCTTCTAATATTTGAGGATTTTGGGAGACTGATTTTGGGTTAATATTGAAAATGTTATTTCCAAATGAATTATAAAATGATAAATATCCATTACTAGAAGCTAAAACCAAAATCAAACCATCTGGGCTCCATGCAAGTTTTCGCCATTGTGGAAATGCATCTTTGGGCACTATAAAGATAATTAAAAAAATTATTAATATAGTTACTATTATAACTATAAGATATGTATAAAATAATAGCAAAATTGTTAATAAATATTACCAGATGCTTTTCCAAAAATAGATGAATATTCATCCTTTGATTTCCTAATTTCAATAATATTCTCTTGAACAATAGCAAGGATGTTCCCTTTATTTCCTATTGCAAATTTCCATGGTAATGTATAACTGATTTGTTGTGAAATACTTTCAGGTAAAGAATATCTGTTATTAAGATATCGCAATGCATTTTTTATATTTCCTGGTGTTGGTAAGATAACAGAGTCATTTTTATATTTCTAAAAATTTTAAATTAATATTAATTATAATAGCAATAAAAATAGCATTATAGTAAATAGCTTACTGTTATTTCTGGTTCTTGTTTTCGAATAAGGTACTCTATAACTTCATATAAAATTGAATCATTTGATGTATCATTATTTTCAATCATTTTTAAGCAATAAATATTTTATTTTTTTTTAAAAAATAATAATCATATTTGATTTTTCTATTATTTTAAGGTTAGAAAGGTGTTAACTTTTTTAACATTAAGATTTTATTACAAATTTTATTTGATTACAGAATATTATAATAAAATATTATCTTCAAGTATGACTGCAGAAATTATTTTCTAATTTGATGACGTTTGCAGAAATTACAGTCTTGTACAAATCATAGATTATCTTTACTTCATTATCATAAATTTAATACATGTAGTATGTTCCAAGTGGAAAATATATAAATTATTTAAAATCATTTATTTGATTACAAAAGATGTAAATATATATAAAAATTCATTAATCCATATCATACAAATTGATAAATAGAAAATAAAAAAAGGAAAAATTATGTATAATTAACGTACATAATTATTTTTACAATTAATTTAATTTTATTAAAAAATGAAATTCTTTAAATGTAACAATTTTCATTCCGATGTTATATCATTCCGGTCATATCGATACTGGTTTAATTTAAAAGTGGTAAATATTAGATTACAACAATTAATTTAATCTAATATTTTTGTTTTTAATTTTAATAATAAAACCCTTATAATTTGCAATAATCTTAAATGCCTACCGAATAATCTATTGTAGCATAGTGATTAATTTAATTGACGTTAAATGGAAACAAAATTCTGAAATTTCGAGAAATAAAAATAAGCAATTGGTCTATTAGTTTTATAGGTTTAATTGATTGACATTGTATCATAATTTTAATGCAAGTATATGATTGTAGTTATATACTAATTTAAAATATGTACTATATTAATTTTTAAAATTGGCATTCTTGTTAGCATAATTGTTAGACAATTGAAGATAAATAACATGTGTATAAAAAAAAAAAAATGAAAAAAATAGTTAATAAAAATTTGTTAGAAAAAAATTCATTATTTAATACTAATACGGTTATAAATTTAATGAATATGATTCTTTATATATATTAATTGTCATTTTAATTAATAATTATTTTTGATGAGTTGTAGACTGCGTTTATGCGCAAACGCACGTAGGAGATTGTGCGAAAGGAAATCATTATATCTTGCTTATTCATTGTACCTAGTTATACTGCTTATTTAAATAATATTTTTTATTTGATTTCAATTCAATAACACACTTTAATAGCTTCCAGTGAACAAATCAAATTCGACAAAAACGATAAAAAATTTTTCCTTTTTTCAAATTATTTTATTTGTTCTGTAGCATACAATGGTCACACTATCTTGCTCATTATCGGCTTGTTAATCATAACTTATTGTAATCTTACCATAATATATAATCAAATAGAGAAATAAAATTTTTACAACTACTTATCAATGTAAAATGTATTATTCATGTTGCTTCAAAATATTAGTGGCGAAAGAGACATTATAATACTGTATAACCTACATTTAAAAGTATTTTGGATTTAAGTTTCTTTAAAAAATACAATAGAATATAATGTAGGATAAAATAGAAAAAATCACAATATTGTAAGACAATAAAAAATAAGTAATGAGTTTTTACAAGTAGCTCAAAGAATTTGATACATATCACGGGAAATTGAAATGTTGTATTAAGTTTGAATTAAAGCATAAAAATTATTTCTAAAGATAACCAGTTTTTTTCATGATATATATTTTCATAATCGTAGTACATACTATATATACCATATAGTACATACTATAAATACAAGCGTTGTTTTAAAAAAGATAAGTATATAAAATAATATTTAAGTATTATTATAAATTTAAAGCTGTATTCGAACAATTTTAATTTTATTTTTATTCAATAATCTAAATATATTTTAAAATCTTATTAAATAGAAATATAATGAAAATTACCGATTCAACAAATGATATACTCGCACTATGTATTTTATCAGGGATTAAATATAAATATTTAATATAATATTAAATACTAGATTTATTATTAAATTTTATTAAAGATATAAAACAAATTTCCGTTGAAATTAAAAAATTATTGTTAAAAATTATGTATTTGTCTGCTATTATTTTGATTTACTTAATTGCGCTTCTAATATAACGCATAAATAAAAATTAAACAAATACCGATTAAATAGATATGAGTAATACAATATTAGTCAATAATTTTATGTGCAATAATAATTAATTGAATACAAATTTATAGATAAGTAAATAATAAGGATTAGTTCTTTTATAAACAACAATATAAAAAATAAATATGTCACTAAATAATATAGGTTAAAGTGATTTTGAATATGATTTGAAAATATTGGGAATACCTCAATTTGAATGTAATGATTTTTCATGTAAAATTCATATACATATTGCGCATAAAAAGAATTTAATTAATAAATATATTAATCGAATTGAGTCCTAATGGAACGGTCTTCAGTAATAGAAGATAAATATCATCAGTTAAATTACTATCATTTATTATAAAATTAAGAACAACATAATAAATAAATTTCACAACAATTTTTAATGTAATTGTATTATAAATGAAATAATTATTGGTATTTTCTCAATTAACTTTTTTAAATTTTTATTTTTTAGAATAATTAATATTATGATATTAGATTAAAATGTAATTAATTTATAGTTAATAAATTGGTTTATAGTTTTATATAAATATAAATTTATATAAATTTATAGTTAATGGCATTGGTTCATTACTTAATAGTATTCTATTACTGTTATAACCAAATAATTTATTTAAATTCTGCTTATATACTAGTCTTCAGGTTAGTACCTATGCATTTCTAAACGTTGTAAATAAATGTTTTTCGTATGTATATACATTATTTATATTTATATATCGATAACATTATTATTACTTTCGATAGTAATATTAAATTTTGCTGCATACATAAATAGATAATTGGGTTGTTATGTAGATTAACCTATCATTGCGCAAATAATCATTTCAATATAATCACCTAATTTAGTATGTCGGTTCTCACTTTCGTTCTTTCCCACTCTCCATTTTATTCTTTACGTATTATCTCAACCATTATATTCGTACGGACTCAATTTATCTTATTCGTTGGATTATTTCATCAGTAGTAGAATCACGTTGGCTGCAATAACTACACTGTGTTTTCTATTTTTAACGTGCTATTGAAATTATAATTCAATTACTGTTATTTCATTTAGAATAGTAGATCGGGAAATAGTTATATAAAAGTATTTCAAACAGTCATTTTTAATTTAATTGATAAATACATTATTAAACTAACTAAAAAGATTATGGCTTAATCTTTGATTTATCAAGTAATAGTAATACTGTATTACAAAGTCGTTTTTCATATCAGTTGCAACGCGATAAATATATTTGGTTAAAAATTAAAATGAGTCCAGCGAATAATACAATACTCGATCAATTGATCAAGCCCAATGTAAACGAAGAATATGCAAAATATCTTGTTGAGCAACGTTACGGATTGAAAGTGAAAAGCATTTCCAAGCTTAACGCTTATGATGACAGAAACTATCATGTACTCTGCGAGAATCGATTTCATAGCAGTAATCCTTACATAGCAATGATTGCTAAAGATGGGTACGTTTTGAAGATTATTAACAGTTTAGATTCTCGCAATACAGACTTCATTGAAGCACAGAACGAACTGTTGTTATTTCTTGATAAAATGGGCTTTATTTGCCCAGTTCCTGTAAGGCAAAAAGACGGTTCGTATTACTCAATGGAAATGTTTGATAAAGAAGGTGAGATTAATACGTATTTTTGTAACACATTATATCTATTTATATTATATTATTTATTATATTATAGATAAAAAAAAAAGGTATTACAATATAAAAGACTGATGAATAGAACATTTAATATATTAATATCAAAGAAATTTCTATGTTGAAATTTCTATTTTTAAAATTTATTCATTATAAAGTGAATGTTTTATAAATATTTCATGCGTTAATTAACTCCTTCTCAATTATATGAAATGTTGAGTCTTATTGAATTATCTTGTATAAGTTATGCAAAAACATATTGTATTATTGAAAATATAATTTTATTAATTGAACATTTAAAAATTGATTGCAATTTGTATTGGAATATAAATTTATTAAATGTTTATAAATGATAGTCTTCAAAATTTTAATTGGATCAAGTAAAACATATTCTACGTTATGTTTATGCCACTGAATGTGTAATAAAGTAGACATATTTATTTAAAATATATTTCTTATATAAAAGATATTAAAGTATGGAAAATAATATTATTAAGAACTTTAATTAATTTTTATCTAAAAGTTCTAGAAAGTATTAAATTATTTGTTTTTTTATGTATTTTTATTAGGGCCAATACATGCGTTGCGAGTTCTAGTTTTTCGTCAGGGTGTAATTTTAAACAACGTTTATGCTTCTGTTGAACTTTTAAAGCAAATTGGCTTATATGTTGCTCGTTTGGATAGAACAATGGAAAAGTTTTCACATCCGGCATATGAAAATCAAACATCTATATGGATTTTATCAGCTGTACCAAAGCTTAGAGACTTTTTATTTGTCTTAGATGATAAAAAAGACGTTAATCTAATCGAGAAGATTATAGTAGATTTTGAGACGAAAGTACTATCTATCATCAAAAATTTGGACGAAGGAATTGTACATGGTGATTTAAATGATGATAATATAATTGTAAATGCAGATGGAAATAATATAGAAGCTATCATAGACTTTGGAGATTCTCACAAAAGTTGTTTCATATTTGAATTGGCGATTTGTCTATGTTACATAATTATTTGGACTAATGATATCGATTTAGTTAAACACGTAATCGAGGGTTATCGAATAGTCAGACAGTTGGCACAGCAAGAAAGAGAAATATTAAAATTATGTATTTGTGCGAGATTTGCTCAAAGCTTAGTTCTTGGAATTTATTCGTGCCAGAGAGAGCCAAACAATAAATATTTGATACGATCTCATAAAGCTAAGTGGTTACTATTAAAAAAGCTTTGGGCAATGGATGATCTAGAAGTAATGAACATTTGGAGTATTAATAATTAATTGACAATATGCTATCCAATTAAAGGATAGACCAGTTAATCCTTGAAATTTTATAAGTATTAAATATTATTATTTTTATACATCAATTTATATCCACGATGCAATACTTAGAACTTATTGTAATATGATCTCAAATTCTTTAAGAAAGAGAGAAAAAGAAAAATAGTAAAAATATATCATTTCGTATAATAACTACTCAAATATAACAAATAATTTATAATTAAAAAGAAGTATAATAGTTAATTAAATAAATTTGGATAGTTTCAATTATTATAAAAATTTTGAATATGTAATAAATAAATTCCTTAATTTGAGTTAAAATTTCAAATTAAATAATTTTATTTTTAAAATTATTACTTAAAAGATGTTAATAATTTATGTTAGAAAATAAAAATATAGACCATTTTTTACATGTATGTAAACTTATAGATTACACACGATAATTAAGTTTTACTGAGTATAGTCTAAGCATAGCTTATTTAATTATTATTTAAAATCTATTTAATATAAAAGACTAGATTTATTTTAAAAAAATTCAACTTTATTATGAATTATACATAATTTAAGTTTGTATTTGATGTTTAGTATGAACTTATGAAGAAAATTGAATTGGAAACGTAAACAAAAGTTTCTTTAAATTTATAATAAAACATTTTATTTTTTCGAGGATAATGGGTTAGCATCAAGGAAAGATAAAAATAATTACTATTAGACATAATTTTTGGTTTTTATTTTTAAATAAATATACGTATATATACATCTTATATGTATGTATTCGTATATGAAGATGAGGCAGTTAGATATGTACATAGATGTAATTAACAGTAATAAGTACCCTTTTGTCTTAATTAATAATTATTCGCATATTATAATGCAAACATATGTAGTGGGCAAACACTTGTGAGTTATATTTGAGAAATTTATTTACTTTATTCTACCTAGCTTCAATATGTACAAAAGATAATTATTATTTTATGTAATGCATATAGGACTTTCAAATTTAGAAGCTTAAGAATTATAAAAATTTATAATATTTAAATTAATTTTAATTTAATTTTTCATTAATAAAAATTTTATGAAATAAAAATGTATTTTTATTAATTATGTACCCATATTGTAAATTTTGAATAAGAATATTTATTACTTTTTGCAATAATCTATTATAATTTTTAGAATTAAATAGAATATATCTTACGTAGTACTAAAATTAAATATTTTTTTTTTAATCAACTTTTTGTTATAGGCTAGAATTTTTTAAAAATATGTAAATAAATTATTTATAAAATTGTGCATCAGTTTGTGTGATTTTTGTTAAAATTTTAGAAATATTATTTACATCGTTTACTTTCTGTATTTTCAGCTTTTATTTCGATACAAGTATCGATGAAATATTATATTAATATTTATATTTTTCACCTATATTAAAATTCAATATTAATCATTTTATTTATTATTATTAAATTCGACTTTATTGAAAATCAGTTTATCGTCATATTTATTATAAATAATAAATAGTTAATTAATATAATAAAATATATACGAAATGTATCATTAAATGAATATTCGTATTTTAATACAAATATTTTCAATATAAAATTAACAAAATATAAGGTATTTTGAATAAAGTCAAATAGTTTATAAACAGTTTTTTAAAACTGTTTAGAACTGTTTAATAGAAATAGTCTTTCCAAATATTTTCATAAGATTATGAATTAATAATAATTTAATATTGAATATATATGTGTATTTGAATTTATAAGTAATGTTATTTTTTATTAATTATTTAAAATGAGAGTACAGAGAGCAATATATAGAGAGAAAAGAAAGCAAGTTGTTTGAAGAAAATCTTCCAAAATTGAATCAATAAATTATGCGTAATATTGTAAATCTCGGCTCTCTTTTTAAATATGTTTAAATTATAATAGTTATGATTTTTCTTGTTTCTTACTAGAGAAGCTCATTTAGCATATTTCTCTCTTTATTAATATATTTTGATGATTAATACTTTATCTTTTTTTCTTAATTTTTTAGTGATCATTTTACATTATTTCTTTGTTCAGCTTACTTTGGCAAATGTGACGCACGCATCTGTTTTATTGAGATAAATTTATAAGCTACTAATGTTCATTAATATAAAATTATTAATTTTAAAACTTTAGTTAGTTTAGTTATCAATCGATTTCTTTACTGTTTGTAAACATATTAATAATTCGATTATTAACGAACTTACGTCATACTTATTTTCATTTAATAAAATATCTTACAATTGTCTATATATATATATATATATATATATATATATATATGTATGCTTATTTATTGCTTAAAATCTACTGGCTTATGTTCGCATGTCGAAGATATTTTGTAGTAGGCATATTGTATGCGTGCGCATATATATGAGCATGACTACGATTACGTATATATATATTCGTATGCATGCATATTTTTTGCATAATCCACTTAGTGTGCTTGTTTAAAATTATTATATTTTGTTGTTATACTTAATTAATATCAGTTTAGTTATTAAGTTAAAAACGCATAGTTATAATACTGGATAATAATAATGCAATCTAATACAATAAAAATAAATATATCGCATATACAACAAAAAAGAAGTCTTATCTGCTATGTATAATTTAATAAGGATTTTTAAATGTATTGGGATTTTTTTTATTATTTACGCTGTAGACGTTTTCCATTTACAAGAGTATATACTTTATACAATACACTACCTTCTCAGTCTTGAAAAGTGATTTTTGTTTTCTATTGAATAAACTAGATATAAATAATGAAAAATACTGAAATTAGCTATTACGTGTTGTATTTTAATATTTTGTTCTATTATATTTTAATTATATATACATGTTAATTTAAATAATTTTTTTAGTTTATTCAAAATTTTAGCTTTATCCACGACTTCATTTGCTAAAATTCCATATTAAAAACATGTATTTTTTATTCTTTTAAATCTCGTCATTTATGAAACTAATTTAAATAAAAGATGAATAACTCATTTTTATAAACATATTTTATGATTATTATTATTTTTTAAAAAATTTTATTATAGAAATATTTTTGTAAAATATTAGATAGTCATAAATTTAAGAATATTTTATAGTTTATAATGTTAAACATAATTAATTTAACGAAACATCCATTTAATTTTTAAAGTATCTAATGTTTAGCTTCTATCTCTCATTTATAAAAATTTAAAAGCATTTGAAAGAATCATCAAACTATAAAATGTAATAAAATACAAAATATAATGCAATAAAATAAAAATCATAAAAGATACTTTCCAGTACTTTGAATTAAATATTTCAAAAATGTGATAAGCTTTGCCGTACATTTACTATTAGTGCATTAAGATTCGTGTCTTTATACCAGAATTCATAAAATTATCAGTAAACTTTTTAGACTCATTCTCTATACGATTAAATATTTCATAATATATTTACACTATCAGTTCCAAATTATAGAGAAAAGTAGATTAATTATTTAAACTTTTAATAACAAAGATGCGCATAAAATTAGTTTTGATGGCGGCAGATTATGTTTTTATTATATGTAAATAGACATATTCAAACTTCGTTTCATACAGAAAAATATTATAAAATTTCTTATTTTATTATTAATATAAACTATATTTTATTATGTAATTAAAAATTGATCTGTATTGGTAGAGGAATTTTTATAATTTTATTATTTTATGCACTACAGTTTATATTATACTGAAAATATTTTAATGGTAAAACTGAATTTTTATTTTATATATTATAATACTTTTCAGAAAAAATACTTTATATATATATTACATAAACATATATTAGTTTAAAACGAAAAATTAGTATTAATCAATATTACTCTATTAATTAATATTACTTTGGATTAACATTTTATAGGCGACTTGAGACACACAGTGCAAAATTGACCAACTTTAAAACTTAATAGAAGATAATATAATTTTAGCTTCTTTTCTATTTATATACGCAATCTATTAACAACTCCAATTTAATTATCATTCATAATTGAGAATACATTCAAAGCATATTTTAATGTTAAAGATGGTCATATTTTTTTTTTTAACTAAACGTAGAATATATTATAGTGTAGTCAATGGTATATATCAGAATGCCAAAAACTGTAAGTATTATTTCATATATAATGTTTTGATGAATTATATATATGTAGATGTATGATATTTTTTAACCATTTAATATATAATTCTTGTATATTCATCATAAAGTATTTTTCAATATTTTTATGAAGTTAAGAAAATTTTGGTTTGGTCAATTTTTACTATAGGATCTCCTTTTTCTTATATCGAATTGGATTTTTTTTAAGTTTATACATATCACTCTTGGTTACAAGATTTGCAGCATTGCTTTTTGTACAGAGACATGTGACACATTCCCAATAGTTTTACGCGTCCACATAACTGTGAATGGTCTTTGCAATCATCTAGAAAAATAAAATTAAAAATCGAAATTAATATAATCGTGAACATTATATTTTTCTTTTAATAGTATTTTAATTATTTTAACATATTATGTATAAGTTTATTATTTAATTAGAAAATTTAATTTTCTAATTCCAGTTGAACTTTTATATAATAAAGATCATTTATTAGTACATATTATTTTTTCTTATATAGAATTTGCAATCAAAATTATTCAAAAGTTTCTCGTACAAACAATTAAATTATCTTTGTTTTTACGCCCATGTAAATATACAATGTAAAATTCATGTAAAATTTGAAAAAAAAACAGTTGTCTATATATGAATGAAAAAAGCTTTGGAGATTTAATGTGCTATGAAGATGTCTGCATTATATAAAGATAAACATTGATAACTAAGTATTATTAAATATATTGATCTACTCTACCAGATGATTTGGAACATGGTGGTCCCCGACAAGTTTTCATAACAGGTGGTCGTGGTGTATCTCCACAAACATTACCAGCTGGTTTTTTAGTTCCGTACCAGACGCATTGTAAAATTCGATACTTAATTCCATCCTTTTCGCAAGAAGCTGTACACTGCGTAATATTTTATTGATTAAAAAATTATTTTGAAGTTTAAGGACATCATTGGTCATATTTTATATAAAATTAAGAAAAACTTAAATATAAATATTGAAATATATATATATATATATATATATATATATATATATACACATATATATAGTGTCTGGAATAATAAGTTTGGAAACAAGTGCATTGAAATATTTTATATTTATAATTGGAAAAAAATTTATATTTTTTAATTCTTCCATTCATATCTGAGTTTCTGCTTACTTCTGACCATTCTCCAACTCGCCAAACACCTTTGCATGCATCATTGTAACATTCTTGCCTTTGTGGTGGTCTCATTGCTTCGTTACATTTGTTTACATCTATGATGGTTGAATTTTCTATTTTGTCTTCTGACTCAATCAAGCGGCAACTAATTTCTCTTCTCTGCATTGCTATGAAAATATAATGATGTACGTAAATTAATCAAATGTATTATTTTTAAATAAGTTTTAATACGACATTTATTATAATTAATTATCCCTATTTATTCAGTATGTGATTTACGATTTACGTTCTTTTTAATTTTTTATTTTTTTTTATTTTCAAAGGCCAAAACGATATCCATATTTAATATATTTTAAAAAATATTAATTTATTTATATTTTCATTAAGTAAAATTGAATTTCAATTTATGTATTCTCATAATATATATATATATATATATATATATATATATATAATTATGTTATATAATTCTCATAATATAATATAATTATGGAAATTAAATATTATATGTACCTTTAATTAGGTAAATCAGTATAATGGATATAACATTAGATTTTATTTATTTAAAAACAATCATTTTATAAGTTTTATAATTGAAAATTTAATTGTATCGAATAATTTTGGTAATACTAATGATTTTTAAAACAACTATTTTTTCATTTTGAGATATACTTATTTCAGTTTTAACAGTTTTTATAATTATGACAGAAATATTATATAGAAATATAAGTCAATTGTACAATAGTTTTATTTTATTTAAACTATTATAGTTGAAGTTTCATTTAAATAGTAATTGTTTGGGTTGGAAATATGTAATGTTACCTGTTTTCCAGTCAAAGCAGCGAGAAGTTTCACAAGGGGTCCATGAGCCGCTATGCCATTGTGGACACTTACCCTCACCACAAGCTCGTACTTTTTCAGGCATGGGATAGTTTGCATCCTCGCACAATGACGTACCTATAATCGTTCGACGTGCAATTTGTGTCGTGTTTGAATCGCTTTTTGCCGCACGTACTGTACATTGAGCTCCACGCATCTAAAATAAAATATAATTTTATACGTTAAAAGTCTAATTACTAATATAGATATTACTAATATAGAGATACGTATAGGTATCGTGAAAAAGAAAATATATTAGTAATTAATATCTTGTAATATCTTTTTCTATTCGTTTATTATATTATAGAATTATACTTCACAATAAAATAGAACATACTTTACTTCTCCAATATAATAATTATTATTATATAAAAGAATATATAAGAAAATATTCGCTCATGTAAATGCATTTTGTAGTTTGTATCATGATGTATAAGAGTATTAGTTCACTTTTTTTGCCTCAATAATAAAATATTTACCAAGATAATAATAATAGGTATAATACTGAAAATCATTAGTACTAATAAGATATATATAATGACATTCAATATTTAATAAAGGTGGACTGTTAATCTCTAAACATGGCATCTTTGGATCTTTAATTCCGGTTATTAAACTTTAATTATATAAAAGATGCTCAATATCTATTTTAAGTTATGTTTTATGATTACGATTTAAAAACATATTTATCAGATTAATATGAATTTCTAAAGAGTTCAATATTTAATATAGCTTCTTTATATTAACAATTTATACAAAACTTCCAAGAATTTATATCGATATTCATTATATTCTAAATTTATATATTAATGAATCTTTTAATTAATAGTATTTTTCAGCATATATTTTAGAATTATTAAAATATCACGTGTACTTTTACCTGAAAGCCACCACCGCCACAAGTTTGTGAACATCCAGACCAGTCTGTTGTAACCCATTCAAATATCAAATCATCTTTAGCTATAAAAAAAATTCCCTCATATAGAAATTTTTCATTTTTTATCTATCATTTTTATTTGTAGAGGATTAATTCAACGTTACTATTGACTACTTAAAAATCAATATCTAACTTAATATAAATAAAAGTTTTTTCAATATAAATATCATTTTTGTTTAATATACTAGTTAAATTAAATATAAATTACATTAAATTAAGTAATAAGTAAATTAAATATTTAAGTCACAAATATAATTATTTTCTGTTAAGTATAAATTTATTTTAAATATTTTGTAAAAATATAAATAAAAATCTAATTGATTATGCAGATATTTTATTTATTGTATAAATAAGAATTATTTTTATATATATCTCGTACCTTTATTGAATACTGAAATTGAACCAATAGTAGGTGTGTGATCCTTCCTTTCATTACCGAGTATAATAGGTGTTACGTTCTGGTTGTCCATTTCAAAGATTCCAATAGTTCTTTCCATTTTTTTTCCTACACGAAAAATTTCTAAATCTATACGGTGTTTTTGTCTTTCTTTATTCTCTTCTATTCTTAATGAATCTGTATCATTTATTGTTGATATTGTTGTTATTATGCTCGTAGTCATCATTTCTTTGTTTAACGTATCATTTGATGTTTCATTTAATATTATTGCAATCGCTGTAGTTTCATATTCTTCTGAAATTGATTCCAATGAATGCGATGAATTATTCGTAATAAAGTAAATTGGTGTAACCGTAACGTCTTGATCTTCTATATCAAAATTCTCCAGAATCTTTTTATTCGTTGTCTCGGGTTGTAAGGTTGGGGAGTTTTTTCCCTTTGTTTTATTTAATTCTTCGGCTTCATACAATTTGTTTTGTATTTGTTCTTCATCTTGAGTGCCTCTCTGATTTCTGTCAAGATGAACCTCAATATTATTGTATTGTTGTTGAATATGTGTTGGCTGAGTTTTAAAATTTAGCATAGTGACACTAGGCATATGTTGTACTGGTATATCTTGGTGTTCAATCGAAAGAAATTTCTCCTCTACTTCGAAGGGATCATCGTCTATGAAAATGCGTTCTTCGTCCGGACCAAAAACATTATCCGGAATAGCTATATTGTCACTTTGGAATAAGTTATAACGTTCGCGGATAGATTTGAATGGACTAGCTTTTTCAAGATGATCGATATCAGATAAAGGAAGTCGGTTATCTATTGCCAACGTTGAGCTTAATTCGTGTTGCGCATAGTTTCCAGGATGAGTGATGATGTTTGCACGTTTGGAATTTAATAATGTAGGATCGTGGAATGACCAATAGTTCTAAAAATGATTTTTTTCCATTGAATATTTTAATACATAATTCATAAAATCACATCATAAAATTACACCAGAATATTCCAATAAATATTTGATTACTCATTTATATGTTAAAAATGTTAAGAGCATAATTTTGAAACAATTTTGAAACAATTTAAAAAATTTAAAGTATTAACTATTACTTATTATATTGTGATATTATACATTATTGTTATATTATACATTATTGTTATATTATACATTATTGTTATATTATATATTATTGTTATATTATACATTATTGTTATATTATAACTATATTTCAAAAGATCCTTTAAATTAATAATTCGTATTTATATGGAAAAATCTTTATGTAAATAGAGAATAATTAGATTGAACTTGGTATTTATATAAATATGCACCGAATAAAGAAATGTTATTTTATTATTTCTTTTCAAATTAGATTTAATAGAAACTGAAGATTTGAAAGTGTTTCGAATGGAAGATTGTATATATATATTTGCTTATAATATTTTTATACAAAACAACATATAGTAATATGAGAATAAGTCATAAAAACGTATTATATATAGGTATTAAATTGTATATTACAGATACCATACGTTTTATATTATAAACGTTAAATATTTATAAGTACTGAAATTAATATTTTGTAAATTTACTGAATATTAAATTATTTTTGAGACATACAAAGAAATTTTATCAAATAAAATTATTATATATTAAATTTCAATAAAATTACATTATATAAAATTATGAAAAGTATATTAAAAATTTAAAAATGCAAACTCCAAGATTGTATCTTTATACATTATTACACATCGAAATATATTTCAAATTATTCACAAAAATCAATGATTACTCCCACCTTAAAAGTTGTCATAATTTGACTGAAATGAGGCATCAATGTGGAGGCACCAGAAGAAGCTGTGGACGCTATCGGCTAGTAAATTTTTTTCATCCAAATCCATTTAATTTATTAATGTCCATCACCAGTTAGTAAAAAGTAAAGCAGACAAGATAGTGATAAAAAATAAATGTTAGTTTTTAACTAATTTGAGGAAAGAAGAATGCAAATAAAAGAAATTTAAAGAACGTGATAACAACAATTATTATTTAAATTAAAAAAACATTACTTGATGTAGTGGTGTGACAGAGTACTCGTATTTTTCAGTAGATTCAACAGGCAAAGGACTCCCTACTTGTTTCTGTTTTTTTCTTCGGGGTTTTTCTGTTGTTTTTGGTGATTTTTGACTTTCATGATGAGTTTCTTGATTGTCCTCGCCATATATACCATAGAATGGCTCTGCGATAAGAGATGTTCCTAGATTTATTCAAGTATTGCTTGTAATTTCAATATTTTTCGTTTTTTCAATATTTTTAGTGAGTTTGCAAATTATTTATAAAGAATTTAGTGTTTTATAAATTAAAAAATAATATTTCCAAAATATTATGAAAATAAATTACATAATAAAAAAAATCTGTATACATCGGTGATTATTTAAATTGTTTGAACTTATTTGTATATGATTAAATGTTGCATCGGATACAATACATTTTTTAAGTTAATTCCTCTATTTTTTGTAATAAAAATATTCAAACTTTTATTTTTAATTAATTCATTAATTTATTATTATATAACAGTAATTACTATATTCCGATTATAATAATATATTAGAATAATGGGAAAAATGTTATTTAATATTATTATTTAATTTTTGTTTCAAGTGGAATTCTTGTAAATCATTTTAAGTAGCTTAAAAATAAATCCCATAGTAAACAAATATAGTTTTAGATATATTAAGCACGTTACATTAGCCCAGAATAGTTATATTAATAAAATAAAATTTTTTTTTATTTCTTCCACAGAATTTCTTCCACATAAAATTATATATTATATATATAATTTATATTAAAATTATATATTATATATATTTTTTATATTAAAATTATATATCATTTGAAATTTTTTTAGAATTTTAAATAAAGTATATATTTTATTATACCACTGCAGTACGTGACGGTTTTTTTCTGCTTATGATTTGCATGGAAGTATGAGACATACTATGTACACATACATACATAGGCATAGAATAAAGGCACTTACATGTGAGATAAATAAATATATCAAAGATGTTTTTTTTTTGTTTAGTATTATAATTTTAGTCGTTTATAAATAATTTTTAGTACATTTGTAGCGTATAATAAATTTGTATATGTTATAATCCAATTGTTTTCATTTACAATTAAATTTTAAAAAATCATTGACAATGGAAGATAAAAAATATAAAAATAATTCGAAATCGTTTTTGCTTGTATTTGAATTTCATAAATTATGCATCTTCTATTGTATTTATACACGTTATACAGACTGTAGTTCTTATGCTCTGGAAACATATGTATATATAATTGAAAATGCGACAGGTTAGGGTCGACCTTAGGCAACTGAAACATTTATAAAGTTATAAGTTTCTTACCGGGATTAATTGGAGCAGAACTAAGATGAGTGCCTTGGCGTTGGTGTACCGCATTTCCCGAACGTAAAACTTCTTCGTTACTCATTAGATCACGAGACTTTAGTTTTACTGTGAGATGTATTGCAGCGTTTGTCTGCCCAGCTAGAAATTTATATTTTAGTAACTTTATGAAGAGTTTTTTTAAACAAAAACTAATGAGTCTACTGACATTTATATAAACATATAGTGGAGTATTACGGAAATATTGTTAATTACTTTTTCGGAACAATGAATTCGATGTAAATGTATTTGTTTATCCTTTTATTCTTATTCGTTATTCTTATTATACTAAGAACAATAATTACACGTCTTTTCGATTTTAGTTAATTTTTTTATTAAATGTATACGATACATTAACATAATTTTTTTATAATTTATTTATCTTTTAAATATCTATAACGTTAGTGAAAAAAAAAGAATAAATATCTTATTAGTTGAATTTTATAGAACTTTCACAAACTTAGTTTTCTATCTGTAAACTATCTTTTGCATGGCATTATAATTACTACAACTTTAGAATAATGTTATTATATAGTATATTTAAATTGAAAATTGTATAAATGAATCAATTTTCAGTTCTAGAGTTATATTTATGTTTTAAATTTAGGCACTACTATTATTGATTTTGTAAAATATAAATAATTTACAATTTACTATACGTACCCCAACATGAATATATACCACTATCAGAAAAATTGATGTTCACAATTTTTAAAGCTCCCTTTTTGTTGATCTTGTGCTTTCTTGATTTTCGTAGCTCTTCATCATCTTTTCTCCAAATAATGTGTGTTCTGTGTAAATAAAGAAAGTTTATTTACTTCACATTGACTATTGTGAAGTATATTCTAGTTGAAGCTTTTATATTATAGAACAATGAAATTTTATAAATGGTAATTGATACGAATATAATGATAATGTTCTATACCTTTTCTGTTTGATTATTATGAATTATAAAAACATTTAGTTTATGAGAAGTTTAATTACAGCTAATTTAGAATTAAGAAAGTACAAAGAAAACTTAAGATTTAACATTTAGCTGTAATTATAATAATAGTTACTTAACATTTTAAAATTTAATTAGAATCAAACTATCTACTTAACATTTAAAAATGTTAATTAGATATTGTTCAAATTATTGCTTATAAAATATTTTTATTTATAAATGCACTTATAAGAATTTATAAAAGAGATGAACTAAAAAAATCATTTTTATATCTATTTCTTATGTCGTATTAGATTCATCAGCATTTTCAAAAGTATTACAATAAAATTTAATAATAATTAATACAAACTTAATTCTTCACTTTTTTTTTCATGCATTTATTTATACAAGTTTAGAAAAGCTTACCGTTCCAAAGTACGAAAAATTTGAAAAATCTTACTTATCAAACTTTTTAACAGGACAGCGGATTTTGATGACGGGTGTGCCTTGAAAAATTGTTGCTTGACCCCCTATGTCGAGATTAACTTTCTTGTTAGGATCGTCTTGAATATACGTTGTATTTTTAATAGTTATAATTGGCTGAATGCCTGCATTCAATTGATCGCAAGGTCGATTATTGCATTCTTTTTCTGATCGGGGTTTTGGTGAAGGACAATCGCGTTCCGGACGCGACTGTTTACGGCCCTGTGCCATCACCTGTTCGCACGTAACTTTACGCTTCTTTATACCTCCACTACACGTCTTTGAACACTGAAATTTCATGAATATTTTTAAAATTAAAGATTGAATGCAAAGTTGGTAATTATTATTCACTTTGTCAATTGTTGAGATTTTAATACATGAATATATTATATCTCTCAGATGCTATTATAAGATAAATCACATGAAGAAGTTTTAAATTGAATGGAAAATGTATATGTTTTGAAAGCAAATAAATGCCGTAGGCCACTTCACTACTGATACCCGATGAAAGCCGCACCGCCTATCCCGTGCGATAACATATTACTGCAGAGCCATACGAGCAACGTATTAATTAAACTTTACCCTAATAGCCAAGATCGCACCCTCGAAGTCCTGTTACAGTTCAATTATACTTCCCTCTTGTTGTATAAATGCGTTTTATATAAATAATTATAGTAAACTGTATTTTTTGTCCAGTGTTAACGGAGTAAGTCCTTTACTAGAAGGGGACATATCATTTGACTGTTCAAGTATTTCCCGGGGCCTCCTTCAAGCAATACTCTCGTTATTTATCGAGGCAAGAACGGAATCTGTATGTGCTTGACATCAGAGACAAGATTATGCTGTTTGAGTGTTCAACCTTCAGACTGTTATTCCTCTTATTATTATATTTGTTATATTATATCTGTATATTTCCATCATACACTCATCTGCTTGCCAAAGTTGTTAATCCTTTTTTTCCATTTGACTACTTTTAGACGTCAGCATCACATTAGTTTACAAGGTGAACTTACCTATTTATCTTAAAATTTTTCTTTATCGACTATTTCATATTTAAGTCTCGACCGTTTCTTTTATTAATTAAGTCTTTTTCGCTAATTGATTGCTGTTGTTGCGGCAAATAGATATTATTTTTATTGTTGTTTTATAGTCTGTAACGCACTAGGCTAAATAAGTCCAACTTCATCTTAACGACTAAGTCGCAATATTTATAGAAATTTTAATATACTCCTAATAATTTCAAAAAAATTATTTTATTTTTTGTTTTTGCTAAATATTAAAAAACTGTATCCACATGCGCAATGTTTATCTTTCCGTAACGATTTTTATCATTGTCTGTCTCAATCATTTATGCCACCATACAGTGCGTATTTTATCATTTCTGGACTAACGGATGTATAAGAGAAAATCTCGGTAATCGGGAAATTGTGCGATGTCCCAAACAATGTCCCACAACGTATCACAATAACTTTATAATTACATTATTTTCTTCCAATCCATTTTAAATTCCATATATAATTTCGTTTGACAAATTCGTCATTCATACACACACACACACACACACACGCACACGCACACACGCACACACACACACACATATATATATATATATTTGTTTTTTAATCATTATATGATAAATCACAAAAAAGAGTACAATAATATTTTCAATAAAAGAAACTCTTAATGATCTTAAAATTTATGAATTCGAAATTTCCGTATCGACTCAACTACATTTAAGGATATCGATACTTATAAATACATACGACTTATACATTAAACTTAAGAATTATTTGTTATTTATCATTGTTGTTTAATAATAATAATCGCGCGCGCGCGCATGTTTAGATTAAAAAGTAGATATTCTATCTCATATACTTCTCAGAATTTTAACAAGTATATTTGTAAATAATTACACAAGTATTATATTTTCCTCATAATTTTTTAAATCTCTTAAATTTTAGAAAAAACTTATTGTAGTTTAGTGTGAAATAAGATATATTATAAGTGAAAACTCTTCAAATACGTTGATCATTTGCTTTGTATTTATAAGATAATTGTTAGGATTTAAGATTTGCAATAAATGTATTGTACTTAAAGTAGAGATCTATTATTGGTGTAAATAAACGGCAAAACAATTGCCAAGTATATTACATCTTTTCTAATTATTTACAGAAATGCATATTAAAAATAACAAAGTTTTTTTTGTCTTATTCATCACAATGTTACTATTAAATTAATTTTACCTTAATTATATAAAAATGTAAATTAACTTTAATCTTTATTATAATTATTATTTATTTTCCATTCAGCTAAATAAATTAGTTTATTAATTTCTTATTGACAAAAAGTTATCAATTTGGCATTTGAATGAAGTTGAACTTTCTCTAACATGCTTAAAATAGGAAATTTGTTTGTCACTCGAGTTTTAATTTTTTTTTACATTAATATTAAGCTTTTGCGTTAATATTAAGATAAAATGTCATTGGACATAAAAATCACAATTTTATAATCGATAATTAATAGGCAAGTTCTTACTTTACTCCACTCGGCTACGTGCCACTCAACTGGACAGTCCCAGACATTACAATATTGCCTGTCGACGGGCGGAGGCTGCGGGCACATGTGATTTGGCACGGCTACCGTATTTCCGGTACCGCGTGTTACCTCATGGATGCAGCTGACTTCCCGCGTTTGAATGCCAAGGCCGCACGGACTCATACACGATGAAAACTCACTAGTGTTCCATCTATAAAGATTTATGCATTTATTATGTTGCAACATCGATTCTTTTATACTTCCAAGAATTAAATGTCGATTAACTTTTTTTTAAATTTACAATCTTGAAGGAAAATTCAGATTATTTAACTGTTATATACTAAATAATCAAGTAGCAATCGCTTTGAAAATGTATGGCATGATAAATTATTAAAATATTTTATTTATGATGTTGAAATGTACTATATGTGTTATATAATTTCGTTTCATTTATCCATTTTCTCAAGCTGAGATAATTTTCTTTTCTTTGCAAAAGAATCTTCGGTATTTTTTGATGAATGTATATAATTTTTTTCTGTAATTCATTTATATTTTATAGAAAGAAATCAGATTATAGTTGATATAAATTTTTTAACAAAAGAAATATTTTTTAGCTTGTGTATATTGAAAATATTTTAGATAACGCGACAGAAATTATTTGATTCTACAAATTATTCGTAAGTATTTATTTCAGTTAAAAATAAATTTGATAGTTCAATAAATAATATTTAATACAAAGTTTCAATAATACAATCATACTTCGGCATTTATCCATTCAAAGTATTTTGTGTAACATGAAAAAATAATTATATTTTTAGATAAACTATGCGTAAGCACTTATTTACAATTTAATAACATTGTTTTATATTAAAATAAATGGTATTTTATATTTATAATTTAAAATATTATGTAACTGTAATAGATAAGATTTAGTTTGAATATAAAATATAAAACATTTAAAATTTTCTCGTCTTTTTCATTTAATATATTGGCGGATAGCAGTGTGAAATAACAGTGAATGTTAATTAGTCGAAAATATTGATAAATTTTTGTTAATTAAATGTTATGAAATTTAATTATAGAATTTGCTATAATTGAAAATATTTTATTTTAATATCATAAAGGAGGCAAGTGTAAAAACATTTAACAGTAATATGAAATTTTGCAATGATAGCGCTAATAATAATTTATTATATAAAATATTTAAAAGACCTTTTAATTATATATATATATATATATATATATATATTATAATAAACATTTATATATATATATATATATATATATATATATATATTATTGATATAAATGTTTAAATAGAGAGTATACACATATATGTTATTTTAAAGGATAATTAAAAAGTACTCTTTGAAATCAAATGTGTGAGAAGAAATTTAATATTTCTTATGATATTTATAAAATCGAAATTTCAATGAATAAACGATTACCTTGGTGGGCAGGGATGATCATTACAAACTCTTATTCTTGATTCGGGCTTGGTCTCTGCTGTGCATAGTAAAGGCATTACAGTTTTTCCAGTATCATCTTGAATGCAGGTTATTATTAGGTCTTGAACACCTAGAATATAAAAACGAAATGAAACCACTTATGTCAATATATTTATGTCAACTTATGTCAATATCAATTAGTATACAATTTAATATTTCTAAATATAAAATGAACTTAATCTATTGTTTGTTTAAATTTACTGTTAGTTAAATTTGATAATATTGTTTATAACTTTAAAACAAACTTTTTAAATCAATTATCAAGTTGAAAATATTAACTAAAATAATATTCTCATAATGTAAAATGTGATGAGAAATAATATTATTATTGTATTTTATGTACGAAAGGTTTACTTTTACAAAAGAGCAGAATGTATAATTTTGATAGAAACGTGAAGTAGTAATTAACTCTTAAATAGATTAAGATAACGATGGAAAGACAATATTAAATTGAAAATAAGTTTGAAAGAAGTTTGTTGTAACGATGTTTCTGAAGATGGATTTGGGACAAAATAAGACAGATCAGTATTTTGTACGCAGATGACAATCAGTTTTCCAATTTTTATAATTAACTAAGCAATAATAGTAAGCAAAACATTAGTATAAAAAAATTAAATATAAATAAAGTGATGTAAAATTTGATTATATAATTATTGAGAATTTAACAAATATCAACTTCCGACTTTTTACTTATTTTGAGATTTCATAGTCTCATATGTTCTTGCGTATATAGGAGAAGAATAAACTACATTAATGCATAAAATTATGTTTGAAATTCTCATACTCCTTCCGAAAATATATTTAATATTAAAACATAAACCGATGCATCAAACACGTGAGTATATTTCGATTACTTTTAATAATAATGAAGCATCGGTAAATGTCTTGACAGTATTTTCAATATTATTTTTTATCTAAATTTATATACTTATAATAATACTCTAAATATATATACTTTTAACTTTTTGTTCTTCAAAAAATATAGACTATATCAATCTAGTTTTAGCAGCGACGCTATAGTGTTTACGATTTACTAATTAGATTCTCAATATCTATTAGTCAGTGTTGCATTTGTACATATAGATCTTGAGGAGTTAATGATCTAACCTCCTAGACATGTGGCGCTGCAGGCGGTATACCCTAACTCCTTCCACGAGTAAGATGTTCTAACGGGACTGCCGGGAGCGACTTTGACGTTGCTTTCATAACCGCCACTAATCCCACCGCCTGAGACAGCCGAAGAGGATGATTTGAACGAGTCGGTTAAACTGGACTCGGCGTAGCTGCTGTCTCCGACTGTATCGATTCTATAGGCTAAGCTATTCTCTGCGAGTCCGCATGGCTCCATTAAACACCTCTCGGTTTCTATAGGCTTGGGACCCGTGCATTGATGGTCTGGCAGTTTAGCTATCGTGCGACTGAATTCGAGAAATATTTTGCAGTGCACTGCTCTGTGTCGAACTCCTTCACCACAAGTAACACTGCACGTAGACCATTCGTCTGCTACGAATCTGTTGACGCAAATGCAATAAAACATGTATATGTTATATATATTACAAGTATGAAAGCTTCCAATAGTATTCATAGAGCTTTAAGAAAATATGATTATACTTTTAATTTCTGTTTATATTATTTAACTGTAATTTGTATACGAGTTAATTAATTGTATACTTAGGTAATTTTTCCATATTCTTTTTATATTTCATAAAAAATTATATCTATATTATATAGAATATTTATTATATAGAAGCCAAAAGTATTTTTCTATATTTCTATATATCTATTTAATTTAAATAAACAAAGAAATTTGATTAAAGTTAAGAATTATACGTAGAGAATTTACTAATATAAAATAAATTTAACTTATAAAATTTTACGATATTATATTAGTAAGATGATGATTAAAGATAAAAGATGAAGATAACAATTTAATAAGCATAGTCTAAATGTTTGATTTTGTTTTTTTACTGATAACAAAGACTTTCATTTACATCCAATGAATGTTCTTTATGTTTAATAAAATAAATAATATATTATATCACATTATGTCCGCCTATAAACAGTACAAATTTATAGTTAAAAATTATTATTGCATATTGAATTGGTACAATTTCATTTTTATTTACTATTTTCAAATAATTTCTTTAAATTTTAATATTAATAAATAATTGCATCAAAGGTAATTATAAATAAAGTAGTATTCCATTATTTTTTTCCATTATCAATATTTTATTTCTAGTGGTTAATAAAATGAAATCCAAATATAAATATTATCAACTTTTCATGTATTGAAATTTCAATTACCGTTTTATCCTTCATCTTTATTAATAACATTTTTAATACTGCGATAAAATGATCAATACATAAATAGATTCGCCGCTATACTTTTAAACTTCTTGAAAGTTTCTTTGAAGAGGCGATATGATTGAACTGTACACAAGATATCCCAGAATAGCTAAGAATGAAAACGATTCGGCAGTTTGCTCTCATACGAGAAACGCTAGTTGAACGCTTCACACGCACGAGTTATTTGATTCATTCCATTTATACTTATTCAATGCCAGCCGGCGATCGATCTCATTGAAATTTATTCCTAGTAGACTGAAGTTTCCTTCGCTCCCCTTCTGTATATTTCTTTTTTTCGCCACCTTCTCTTATTGTGCTGCTTTTCGTTTATAGGCTCAACCATCTTTTTTTCTCAGAAACTTTATTCTATCTTTCGCAATTCTACAGACCATTATATCAATTTCCCAAAAAGCTATCAATTTTTTTTTTCGCGATAATTTCATATATATATTATTATGTATGAATAAGTTCGGAAATTTTAACCGTATATAGAGTATATAGTATAAGTGTATATGCAATTTATGAAATTTATTAATTGATTTATTATTAATTTATTAGTAATAATTGATGAAACTTTGATACACTTTTGATACACTTCGATAGAACATACATTTATTATATTTTTAAAAGCAAAATTTTCCATTTGTACTCATTGCTATGTACTGATATAAAATATTTGCAAAACAATTTCAAATTCATCATGTATTATATACTCAATTCGTTTCAGACATTATATATGTAATAATTTGCAGAATTTGATTATTGATAAATCAATAAGATAAAGTAATTGTAATATTTATTATGAAAACAAATATTATAAAAAGATATATTCATTTTTGATATTGCATAATGCAAAATTTTTCACAAAAAAATTATTAGTTTTGCAAATTATACTAATTATTTAAATACTTTTTCTTCATCCTGCACAATAAAAAATAAGAAAATCAATACCGAGCTATAAATAATAATAACTATAGGAATAAAGTTATTATTGTTGGTAATATACATTGTTAACTTATAATATCATAAACATTTTATTATTTAATTTTAAATTATTATATATAAATATTATTATATTATTATTATATATTGAATGGTTCGTATCAATTAAAAAATTAGAAATCAATTATTTGTACTATATTGAAAATTGTACGTACATATTAATATATTGTATTTCAATATAATTATTATAATATAAACAATATAAAATAATAATAGTACTATAGTTTCTATATTTACTATATATATGTATAGAGAAAGGGAGACACAGAGACACAGAGACACAGAGGTACAGAGAGAGAGAGAGAGAGAGAGAGAGAGAGAGAGAGAGAAAGAGAGAGATTGAGAATGACAAAACAGTAAAATCAGAAGGACTAAGGAATAACACTTTATATACTACGGACAAGTACATATAATAGGAATCTACTGTTTTAAGCTTACGTTGATTGAGATGGCACAGGTTGATCTATAAGTTTTTCAGGTATCGGTGCCGGTGGATATGGCTGCCTTAAAGATTCCTTTATTTCATCTATAATATGAAAAGTTGCTTACGCTTTATTTTTATATAATATAAATATTATACATCATGTTATACATCAAATGAGTTTATTAAAACTAGATCTGGCATAATAGATATCGATATTATTAAAAATTTAATGGAAAATGTTTTATTAATTTCCAGTACTATGACAAAATTATATATATAGAGTTTGTTTTTTTTTTTAAATACGTATTTCATCCATTGTGATTCCTATATTATATTTGATATTTAAAAACGATTACTGTTTAATTTTTTTTTGTTAATGTTTAAATACTTCCATATTTCGAATTAGCTATTTCAATTATAAATTCTCTCGTTATTTCATTCGTAGATTACTTTTTATAAATAAGAACTTGAATTATGTTTAATTATATTTACTTATTATATTATATTAACTCTAATGTTATATAATTATTTTTAGATAAAATAATATATAAAATATGATTAGAAATAAATCTTATCTTCGGAATTAATTAGATTTAACCTAATGTTCATTTTAACCTAATGTTACAATAGATCGAAATAGTTTCTAAATGATATATTTTCTTTTATTTGAAGAGGATTACACATTTAAATTGTAAAATATATAAGTATTAATGTGAATTATAATAAATAATTGTTGGATAAATAATTTTATTTTACTTTTTACTGTAAGTTTTTATTTATTATATAAGTTGATATTATTATATTAAGTTTATAGGTATTATAGGTATTACTATATGTAGTTATATATGTTAGTAAATACATTCATAAACTATTTTTCTGCAAATTTCCAATTTTATTAAATATTAATTTCAGTTAAATATTTAATCTTTTTATAAATATTTAATATATAGAAAAAGTAGAAATTTTATTAACAATTTTTATCTAAAAATACTTTAAATTTAACAAATCAATGTTAATTACATTAAATATTAAATATTATAAGATTTCTTTAAACATATTTAAATTATTAATATCAAAATCGTATTATATCTGAATATTAACATAATAGTGATCGGTACTTTAAAATATTTTATTATAAATTGATGCATCTGTTTAATTATTAAAAATGCTTAAAATGAAAATCATTATCTTTTTACAGTGCAATAAAGTAAGTAGAAACTGATGTTTGAAGAAAAATAGTTTTAATGACTTATAAGAAATAACGTATGTTCGATAAATGTAAATAGAATTAAATTATTTATAGAATTATATTTAATATGATTCAATCTATATTTTAATGCAATTTTTAAATTTTATTTCTAACTACGATACATAATTAATTATCTTTCTAAAATCATTCGAATTTTATTTTTTTCTGAATATACATGAACTATGCCGTAGAAAAATTGTAGATAATTGCCATAAATACGAAATTTTTTCATTTCAATTCGATAATATTTTCATTAAAAATGAGCTTACAATTTGAACAATCAATGTTTATTGTTCTACACTCTTGCTCAGCTTGAGGCATTTGGAGTGGATTGCAATCGTTAGAAAGCTGGCCATTGCCATGTCGACATTCAACTGTACGTCTTTTTGAGCCCAAACCACAGGACACGGAACACTGCAAAATTATTTGAATTATATTAAGTTTGTTTTATATACATATTGTATACTACAAGCTATATCATAACAAATATGAAGAATATTCAATTATCAATTAATGTATCTATTTCGATAATACAGAAATTCTTATTATTTTTTGTTTATATTCAGTTTCTCTTCTTTTTTCTCCTTTATTTAAAGTCAGATCATTTAGTCTAAGTAAAGGTTACTTTCAGAAATATTTATTTACAGTCAAATTATACAAAGTACACAGTATATGTACAAATTAATTAAATTCGAATTCAAATGAATTTTTTTATAGAGACATTTTATATATTTTTCAATTACTTCATTCACTGATAATTATTGATCAATGATAATTTATTCAGTCAAGATTTCGTTTATCAAAAAAGTTTAATAATATTAAAAAACTTTTATATAACAGTTTGGATAATATATTCATTTTAATGAAGTTTATTTTCTATTCCAATAATTTCTTTGATCTGTTGCTTCATAAAAACTTCTGAGATATATTTACAAGATGAGCAAGCGAATTATAGCATTTTTAGATAACTAAAAGCTCGTTTGCGAAGAACGTTCTCGAATTTTCACATTTTTTATATTGATATTGATATGTGTGATATTTCTGATTTAAATTTACACGCTATGCACGAGAAGCAGTTACTCGTCTAGAATAAGGAGTAGAAATAATATTTATTGATATAAATATATATCGTATGAGCAAGAAAAAAGTTTAGGTATAAAATAGAAAAGAATATTAGCCGTTGTATTCATAGAAGAATTGATAGTCAGTTTATAGAGCGTTTTTCAAACTTTCATGATCTAAATGATATATTAGTTTTATTCAGGATAAAAATCTATATAGAATCTGCGAGGTATTTGTATGCGATATATTGCAGTGAACGGTAATATATTTTCTAATAGACAGTTATTCAAGAATTATATTAATTTTTAATGAAAATTTATTTTAATTTTTTTCGATCATAAGTATTAATATTTTAAAATGAAAATTTTTTATTACATAAGATGTTTATAATAAATTGATAAAAATTGATAAAAAACTATGGGTTTTTTATTATTTTTTACTTATGTTTATAATTCATATATATATAAATACATATAATAAAATGTTTAAACATTGGTTAATATATTTTAATACTATAAAGTTTCAGCTAATTTAAAAATTGTTTAAAATTAAAATTAACCCAAACGTTTAACGTTCTTATTGAAAAATGATCTTTTATTATGTAGTAGATCTTTTATTATCAACTTTGAAACGCCGTACGTTTCAATACTATTGTGAAAAAAAATTAATATTTAAAATATAAAACAATGATATAGAATTTATAAAGATAAAAGCTATACTTTCGACTGAAGTATTACGAGGGATGAAATAGTAAGGGAAACACAAATAGAGTTCATAAAAAGTCAGTGAATGGGTAGGTGTAACAGAGTGAAAGCGAGAGGGTACGGGAAGAAAGAGAGAGAGAGAGAGAGAGAGAGAGAGAGAGAGAGAGAGAGAGAGAGAGAGAAAGGGATAGAGTGAGGGAAAAAGGGAAGAAGGTAGTAAGAATATAAGATCTGAAGTGTTTTTGAAAGAAAAGCGAAGCTTCTAGTTCAATATTTGCTCGAGGTCGAGAAGACAAAAGTCTATCAATTTCTGTCTTCTATGGCTTATGCAGTCTTTCGACCGTCGTAATCATTAACTTGTACTCCCTGTTTTTTCTTTAGCAATCTAAAGTTACATAATAAGATACTTTGTTTACGACATTAACAATTATGAAAATTAAATGTATTTTCAGTTTCTGTTCACGAGTATAAAAGAAAACATTTTTCATGAAATATTGATTTAAAGACGTATATGCATCAAGTAAATCGATACTCCTTATTATTTGAATGCTTCCAGGAGTTATTGTAATCATTGTAAGATATTTTATGAATTCATAAACGAATAATTAATTCTTTTCAGTTCACTTAAAATAAAAATAAATTAATTTAATTAATTAATATTTACTTGCATTAATACTAAAAATTTAACTACGACTATTATATATTTATTTGTTGATTTATAATTAGCTTATTTACTAACAAATTCTAGAAACAATTTTGGTTTATCATTATTATGCAATCCCAATAATTGATATTGCTTATTATACAGATTAGAAAAAGTTACTTAAAGCTCGTGATGGAAGCAACTGAACTGAATTGAAAATTATAACGCAATTTCTTATTAGAAGCATTGAGGCCTTAAACTTAAACTTTGTGTTCTTTATAATACCAATTTACATTATAAAATTTGATGAAAGTAAAAGATATAGAGTAGATCTTAGATGTTAATGACGTTTCTAGCGATATGGTTATCTTAAACTGACATATTATATCTATCTTTTTAGATGAAATGTCTGCGGATTAGAGATTTATACTTAAATGATTTGAGATTCCAGCATTGAACAGTAATAGGTATTTAACTGAGAAAACAAGGATAATTTTACTCAGTATATATAAAAATTGTTGTATATTTTATTTCTAAATAATCTTCTACAAGTAATAAACAGGTATAAAATAAACCATCAGGTATGAAGAATATTTGGAATTTTTTTATCAATTTTAGTAAGAATGAGTAATAATATATTATTGTGATTAGATATTATAATTGATTGATTTTTTGTTATAGTGTTTCAGTAAAAGTAAAGACTATCGTGAAAATATAAGATTGATTAGTCAAAGCAAAGTTTTGGCTATACTATTTTATGTTATGTCAGTTATGTTCTTCTTTGTTCACGGATAATGATAACTGCTATTAAGTATAATGATTCAAGATTAGAAGCTAGTTGTTATAATGGCGTGGTTTGGTATAGTTACTTTGCTAGAAATGTCAATATGTAAAGAGATATAAGATATCGAGAAGAATATGTTTAGGCTTACAAAACAGTATACACTCAGTGAAAAATTGTACCAGACTTGGTAAGACCATTTCAATAGGATTAAGTTGTCATAAAATGATTAATAATACGTCCTATTTTTTTACAATGCATAGATTTTAGAATTATAAAAATTTTCATTGGCTCTTTCTTTCACCAAAAGGGGAACTAACGCGTAGCTTAAAAGAATGATTTATTTTCATGATAGTTGATCAAGTATTGTTTTTTTTTTAAGTTTGATTTCTATAGCAATTGCAGGTTCAATATTTTTAAGACATAAACTGTGGATTATTCTATACTGTGTTATAAAATGTGTAATAAAGAACGTGGGTAAATCTTCGTTAACTATTCAAACAACTAATTAATACTATTTGAATAACGACAAATTTCAAAGTTTATGTCGATATGTACAGCGAATATAGGTAGTCAAATCTTAGTTGTATTCTATTTATCAAGAGACAATTATAGTAAAAATTTTTATTAAAGAAGATTAGTTCGAATATCATATTTTTAATAACATTTATTAAGCAATATAACATAATAATGTATAGAAATATATGTAAATATTATATATGTATTTTCCGATATTACATGTGTAATTTATTTTAAGAAATTTATATTTTATATATTTTTGATTTTATATATTTAGGATAAAATTAGTGCACTTTAGTCGGATATACAGTCAATTAATTTTAGAAGTATAATTTTTCTGTTCTTGTCTTTTTCAATATACAAAATAAATAACAATAATTTAAAAAGTTGATCGTGGCTTAATATGGATTAGATATTTATGTATATTAAGTATATAAACTTTTGTTTAATTGTACAAAAGTTCTTTTGAAATCACATCTGTCACTTAACAAGCTTATAATATATTTAAAATTGTTTGTAAAATTTCTTCTTACTTTTTTAAAATACTTTTTGCAAACAATCAATTATATAAAAGAAAATGCATTTCGTTTGACATTTAATATTATTATACTTTTATTATTCATATTGAACAAACAATATATTCTATCAAAAATGTTTAGATTTTAAGCAAATAATCACCTTTTTTATGAATTTATTTTTCAAGACTAGTAAACAGATTTAGAATGTATAAACCAATATTGTTATTGCTTAAATGAATACAAACATTTTTAAATATATGAAAGGAGTATATATAACATGTGGTATTATAGCAATAATCTTTTCACTATTTAAGGATAGTTTAGTACGATGAAGATTTCATAAATGTAAATCATTGAACCGTATTGAAAATATTTAAAAACTTAAAAGTAAATAAAAATTGAAAATTTTAAAAATCAGAATTTTTATGATCTTTAAAATAATCTTTTCGTACAAGAATTTATATTATTATTTAAGAAAATTAATACTAGAGAAATCTATTGTAAATACGAAATATATAAATAATAAATTTATGAACTTTTAGTCCTAATGAATTTTACACTTTATATTTTTGTAATATAAACATATATATCATATATTATAATTTGGTTTCTATAGGAAAAATAAAATAAATAAAATATAACAAAAAGACTTTTAAGATTCCAGAAATTTATTTGTTTTCGGATAATTTATCTCTAATCAATTCCATCTAGTGTAGTAAGCATAAGGAAGAAAAATATTATTTTATTCAAAATACGAATTGTGAGTATTTTATATGAGTGTTTTAGCACACAGTCATATTAAAAATTAAAATTTGTTAGTAAGAAACTAATGAATTTCATGTAGTCATCATTTGTTTCTAAAATTTATTATCCTACAAAAATATGTGTTCGTAATTTTTTATATTTTTATAAAACAATAGTACAGCTTTAAGAATATTAGAAAGACTCAAATACTTTATATTCTCGTGTATAATTTTGATTTTTATAGAATGGCATTACAAAATTAGAATAAAAATTCTTTTAATATAATTCGTATATAATAAGAGTTTAATATATGCATTAAAAATGCTCTTATTTTTGTTTAAAAAATTATAAATTTATATAAAATAAAATGTAGAATAACAATATCTCATTAAATGTAAAGTAATAAAATAGTATGCCTATTTTTATAATTTTAAAATTAATTTAAAATTTAAAACTAAATAAAGAAACTAATGGAAATTAAGGTAAACGATTTTCATATGGTATTAAAAGTTTTTAAATATTGAATTAAATTTTTTTCTACATTTTTTAAGATCCTGTAGTTAATTAAGTAGTACTTTATAAATATAAAGTTTTAAGAAAGTTTTAGAATATTAATAATTTTAAAATAAATACATTATAAATAATTTGATTTTAAACATAAAACTTTAAAAGCAAATAATTTGAAGAGAAAATAATACTGCATAAGTAGTTAAATTGTGAAAGAAGTATAAAAAGTAATTTTAAATAGTATCTTTTAAATTATCTTACAGTAAAATTAAACATACAAAAATTCTTTTATACTAAGAAATAACAAGTAAAAATAAGTATTAAAATTGCTATAATAGATTGTTTTTCTACTTTTAACATCTCAAACGAAAATCATACAGAATGTCCTATTTATAACGTTCTACTATCAGTTCGCAACTGTAAGCCCTACAAAATGTAGGTAAAAAAACAAGTAGAAATGGCAAATTAAATTTCTTATATAAGAAAATATCTGAAAAATAACATATATTTATTTTGACTTTACACCTCTCATTTTATTCTCAAACAAACAGCAAACTACATTCGTCTTCTATTTTGATGTCTGAATAATCTTTTTGCACGCAATATTTTTTATCACCAAGATTTCATTATTATTTCAATATTATTATTATTAAAGATTTACTTACATCACTCCATACTCCGGTTTCCCACATAGGACATGAAAATGTATTGCAGATTTCCTCATATTTTGGCTTATGATTAATACTGCACTTATAATCTGGAACCTATTTATAAAACAATATTTTTATTTAGATATACAATTAATTTAGATATACTATAGAATAAAAAATTCATTTTTTATGACATTCTAAATACTGTGGCCTATTAAATGAACATATGATAATTCTATTTAATCATGGATAAAATGTATTTTTTAAGTTTTTGTTAATATTCCTATAACGTATTTATTTTAGTAATTAATTTTATAATACGTTTTAAATACTAGAAATTTTTTTTGTAAAATTCAATACTTTAATAAATATTTATATAAAATTTTTAAAAGTATTAATTCTTTTATAAAATTAAAAACTGTATTAGTACGTTTATATATACGAATAATTTTTGTTAAATGAATTTTATACAATTTTGAAAGCTATTTGATTTATGTAACTTCAATGTAAAAAGGAAAATTTTTTAATAAAAACTCCTTATTTTTCTAAACATTTCTTTAAGTACTTCAATTTTTTCTTTAAAATACAATAAGAGAATGGGTTTCTAGTTGTATTGATTGATATAAATAAGATTTTTTCTTAAAGCAGGAAACACTTTTCAATAAGTATTGCTAAATGTTTACCTTCCTAGTGGCGTTTCCATTTTCCTCTATACAGAAAACTGCACGATTTCTCGAACCACTGCCACAAGAGATGCTGCATTCACTCCACTTGCCAGTCAACCATCTAAAATTATGTTAAATAAAAGAGAATTATATTTATGAGTATTGTAATAATATTGAGATATAATGAAATAGGAGTTTGAATATGTATATAAAGGCTACGTGAAGATTTTGTTCCTTGTCTTTTACCTAAATTTTGTAAGTGATAATTTTTATAATTAATTAAATGCAAGCTATATTAAATAAAATGTTTACATTTAATGTATTTAAATTTTTTTATTATATAACAATTTTATTATCAAGATTTATTTACGTGGCTTTTCTCATTACAAATATCATTAAATATAAATAAATATAGTCTTGGAACTTATAAAATTGTAAGTATATAAACATACAAAAAATATGTAATATTGTATTGCAAAATTAGTTTTTTTTTTATAATAATTAAAATTTAAATATATAACTTACAACCATAATGTTGAACCTACTATATTCATGGAATTTTAAGAATATATTTGTATTTTTATACACTACTTTTCATTATATTTATTCTTCCACTATTCGATTATTCGTTAGATATTAAAATATTCTTAGTGCATAATGAAACTTTTACTATTTAATATATGACATTTACTTTACATAAAAAAATTCTTTAGTAAATTTAAATGATTACATTCTACATAATTTGAAAATTTGTAAATAGTTTTATACACGCTAAATATTATATTTATGTTTGTTTAATTTATTTTAGAATGATAAAAATAACTGAAAGTACTTAAGACATTTAATTTTCAGACTTTACTTTTTCATAAATTATAATTAATACTAAAAGTAAGTATTTTATTTTTATACAAAATAAAATTATATCAATTAAAATAAAACTTTATTGCAATGTTAATAGAGAAGATTCGGTAAAAAAAATAAAATCTACGTAAAGGATATTGAAAATGACATAAATTAATAAAAATTTTGTAATTTTACAATAATGCAATTACTTAAAATTTATTCAATAAAAAATTGACATTTGTTCAAATTAATTGAAATTACGTATATTTTCGTTAAGCTTATAATTTTATATTAAGGTAAAGAATGGTATCCATAAAATAGTAATCCGTAGTAAAAATATATAAATATGGAAAATTCTGTTACTAAACGTTTTAAGTTCGGAATAAAACATTCATTTACATCAAGTGTTATTCAAAATTTTATATAGATTATTTTTAATTAATAGTTTTATTATATTATGTTATTAGTATCGTTTATCGTTAATTCACTAACTTAATAATTATTGATAAAGTATTAATTTTTGCATTCGATTACAATTGATTATATTACAATTGTACATTATATTATATATAATATTACATTATAAAAGAGGAAATAGATTTAAAATATATGTAATTCAGTATATTTTTTGTTTTTCTTATTCTATCATTAAAACATTTATAAATGTAACAAATAGGTTTCTATCTAAAGGCATAAAATATTTTTGTAGCTTACTTTATTGCTTATATATCAAATTATATATTTTTACTATATCACGAGAATATTAGAATGAATAAGAATATTTTTAAATTTTATAAATTTTTAATGGAATTTGAATCTAAATGTGTTACTAATATTGAAAATAAATAAAAATCTATTTTCCTTAGATGTTTTAATAGATAATTAGATTTTTTATAAATATTTAAAATTAAATTGTAAAACAAATTAGGTAAAAATAATTAATCAATTGTGTTAATTGTATTTTGATAATATGTCATTTCGTTGTAGTAATAGATTGAGTAAGTGAATTCGAATTGAAGATAAATAAAAAATTGACGTTTAAAAATGAAGAGGATACGGTGTTAATAAGTAATACGATAAAATTAAAAAAGTGAATATATTAATCATTTATGATTAATCAAATTTAGTGATCAAGTCATAATTGAAGTAATAATTGCAATTTACTTTTCTACTGTTCAATTTATCTCCACATCATTGTTCTTACTTTTTTTGAGTTACGTTTTTTTTTCATTAAAGTTTGATGATGAACTTGAATAAGTTTTATCATTTTCTTATTATGTTTTATCATTTAATTTTTGAATTTCTCTAAATTTTGAAATATTATACGAATGAGCTTACGATCTTTTTATGTTTTTTTCTATTAATATAATTATGATTTTACTTTTTAGTCCGTAATGTTAGAAATTCGTTTCTAATCTTATAAGAAAAATAATAATAAATGTTCATGTGTATCGGTATGTAATAAAGTGGCAAGGTACCATTTGATGTAGCAACTAACATTACACTTTAATGAAGATTTACGTAGTGTTAAAAGAATTATGAATGTTGTAGGCATTTATATTAGATTATGGTGCTGTGATTATTGCGTAAAGTCTGATGAATTGTAAATAAAGCTGTAGAGTGAGCCTTCATGTATATCAAGCAAGAATTGGTCCTGCTGTTTACATCGCTTTTAAAAGACAGAAAGGATGAATATAGCAAACCAGTATATTCATTTTTAAAAGTTGAAAAATTTATTATTAATTTCATTTATTACACGATTCTTAAAATTGTGATTTTTTTTTAGCCAAATTATGTTCTAATAAAATTTTTTTAAATATCATACATTTAAAGTGTAAGATATCTTAAATGAATTAAAGTTCATTCAATTTATAAAATTGTACAAGTTTTGAAACTAAAATATCATTTATATTATATCAGATTATTAATTATTTCACATAACAATTTCGTCAAAAAAAAAATGTCAAAGATTTTATACATTATGTTTCTTTACCGAAATACTAAACCAGTTAAATTAAAAATATTGTGTTGTAATAAACGCTTCATAAGGTATATTTGTGTAAAAAAAATGCTAACTAAAAATTATTACAACTGCATTTTTGGTCATTTATGATTACAAAAAAAAATTTAAAATTTTTTGAAATCTACTAAATCTGAAGAATGCATGATTTCATTTTCAAATTAATTATTATTTTATTAATATTAATATTTTGTAACTAATATGAATTTAAAATTAAATTTAATACACCGTTACTATTAATAAGATCCGAAAATTTATCAACATCGACTTTTGTTGTATGCTCAAATTGGTAGCTTATTATAAATAAGTATTTGCGAATAATGTAAACATATAAATTAACTGAATAGAATAAATATTTATTTATCTGAAACCAAGTTAAAATATAAGTAATAATTACCTAAATATGAAGATACATCAAAATTTTTATTATAATGTCGTTGTTATTATAAAATTTATCTTTAGGCTTTATAAATAATGAATTTAAAAATATATTTCTAATATTCTAATTTTTTATAAGGCTTTAAAATAGATGGATTATTTAATTACAAGTATGGGTGATAAAAAAGAAAGTATTTTTTTGAATTTAAAAATATTGGATTGCGTTGAAAGTGTTTTGATGTGAAATCTTCAATTAATGAAATTCGTAATAGTAAAACTTTCAATCAAATAGTTTACAAAGCTAACTTTCCAATATGAACAATAAATGTAAAAATATTCGTTTATTTAAATGATATTTTATGACGTTTATTTAAATATTTTCAATGATAGATTTGTACATTGCGGTTCGAACATTAAAAAGATTATCCTGAAAAAATTTGCTACATAGATAAATAGGAGTAATAAATCCATATAATAAACGGCCTGTTCGGAAAAGATAATTTTGTTAATAAAAATCATTAATTTTGATGATACCAATGCAAAATGCAAAGGTTTCCGAAATCATATGAGCCTAAAGTATAAGATTCACTGTAAAAAAAAGATTATGTTTTAATTAAATTTTCTATGATATTATTAACTTTTTTTAACTTCACATTTATAAATATCCTGCATTATTTTCAAAGATTATTTAATCAATCAATTGAAAATTTTATATATTTTTTTAAATATAAAACCATAGCTTGTTAATGAATATTTTATAATTTTTGTAATTTTATTTCAAAATATGGACCATTTTATTATTAAAATTACAAAACAAATTCTGAATACTAATAATTTGTTTTAAATAAATTTTTTCTTCCAACATTTATTAAAAGATAAGACAAACTTAGAAAAACTTAATAATGTTAGTATTATTTAGTTTTATCAACTTCAAATACTTTAATTGTTTATGAGAATGATTACTGTAAAAAATTTGTGTACATAGTATAATGAATTTTTACAACATTTAAGGTATTTATATAACATTAGATAAGAAATATTGTATTTATTGAAACATTGTAAGGTATAAAATCTAATTCAAATAAAAATGTCAATTATCATATAAAAATGTGTTCATGCTTGAATAAAAATTTTATACAAATTCAAAGTTATAATTATTATAAATAAAGCAATATTAAGTACTATACTTGTTATATATTGCTGTAATTTAAATATGTAAAAGAATTTTCAATGTATTAAAATTCAAGTAAAATGCAACATCAAAAATATATTTGCCTATAAAGTATTAGGAGGTAATAGATAATATTAAAATCTTTTTATATACAAATTTTATATATTTACCTATGTACCAGTGATATTTATATTTTATCATTTAGTTTATTATATTATTTGCCTATTTATATGCCTATTATATTCTATGATGGAATTTTTCAGTCTTAATTATAATTTATTTTGTTTTAAATATACATAAAATTGTGAAATTTTGTTTTGCTTTGCTATATGTATATACATTTATTTTATAATGTTAAAAATAATAGAATTAAGATGAAATAAAATTGTATCGTTTGTTTTACAATATTTTTATGTATTATAAAATATATTTTATAACAAGTTAATGATCTCAATATAATTTATGAATTTATACTTTATTCTATATGTGATTAATAGAAATATTCATTACTTGGGGTAAAATATGAAATTTTAAATTGAAGATAATTTTATACTTTATTTTATTAATATAATTAAATGATCATGATTTATTTTTTTAATAAATTTAATTGTCAATAGTATTATTCTATAATGTTTAATAATTTATTTCAATAAATAATTGAATGTATGAATTAAATTTTCATATATTAAAAACGGATTTAATTGCATTTCAATAATAATTAGCGTCAAATGTAATTTTTAATTTAAATACATTAATTTTAGATATTAAAGCATTAATATCTAAAACATTAATTGTAGATATTAATGCTTTAACGTAGTTTATAATTATTAATTAAGTAATATATTACATTATAAAAGTAAGACATAAATATAGTTTCTACTTTATTCATAAAACATTTAATAATTGGCATAGTATAATTTTTTTATTTTCATAATAGAAATGAATATAAAAAGATTAGATAGAAATAATCGATATTTTGTATTGAATAATTACACAAATAAATATTTACAATAAAAATTATAAATCAGAATTGAAAAATTGATATGTAGTTATTTACAATATATTTACTTTAATTAAAATTTTATTTTGCTATATAAGAAATTAAAAACATAAGCAACCTTAAAAAAATTAAACGATGGATGTCTAGTGTACATGGATATAGTATGAACTTTCCATGTAAAACGAGTTTAATGTATTTGTCGTATTTTATTTATTGATAAACAATCCTTTGTTAAAACAATCGTTTGATGAAAATTTATTACAAAATATTTTAGTTTGTTATATTAAATATTCTAATATACTAAACATTACAAATATTGTAATAAACATTGTTTTTTAATAAATATCATAAATATTTTATTATTATAATAAATATACAATATACTTAATTGGTTAAAAATGATTGATTGATTAATTAGTGTACTTTTTATTAGTGTACTAATGCAAAATATTAGGATATAATGGTGATAGTAGTATCAGATAAAAATTATTACTTACTTCGTCGAACATGGATGAGTATTACATGGTAAAAGAACTTTATCTGGTTTAAGGTCCAAGACACATTTCGAATTGTCTACAATTTTTTCTTCTACCCCACTGGATTTGCACACAGATGTTGCAATTTTAAATCCTTAATTATAAGAAAAATAGTGATAGGATTAATGAACAAGTGATTTTATCATTTACTTTTAAGTTTGGTTATAGTTTTATTTTTATACATAATTTATACTGAGAATTTTATTCATTTGTAACTTGAATTGAAATAATTTATTAGAAAAACTATTTATTTAATTGAAAAAACTTGAAAACATAAGTATAAAATATTTGTCATACTTACCTCCTCCACACGATTCAGAACAATCAGCTGTAGATTCTAGCGTCCAAGTATATTTAATGTTGCAAGTTGATCCGTCACCTCCACAAATGCCGCATACATCTTGATTTTTATTACTGCCGATTCTCATATCACAACCAACTCTCTGTAAATATTGAAATATTTTTATCCATTCTACATTCTTGTATTTACTTCGTATATAGCAATGTATTAAGTTAATTAATACAAGGTTAAAAATGATCATTTTCTGAAATATTTTTATTTGAATTTAAAACTCTTTTATTAGATTTTGTTCATTTTATATGTTTCTATTAAATAGATTAAATAAATAAATAAATAAATAAAAAAAAAATATATATATATATATATATATATACATTACTTGATTGAACCTATAATATATTATAGACAGTATGTACTAGAAACATTCTGTTATTACTAAAAAAAATTTATCACTTCTTAATAATTGAAAATATTCTTCCAAAATACTTTATAGTTTGTGTGCTATTGATTAAACAAGGATCGACTATTTTTATTTTTCATTCAATAATTAATTAAATATATATCAAAATAATATATTAATAGTTACGAACAATATAATCCATTAGATATATTTAAAAATTGTCATATATATAATTTGATATCATAATATGCATATTATACGATTATGAGTTGAATTCTCAAATTGAGAACTTAAACATATTTTACAATGAAACATAAGAAATTTATAGAAAATTTCTGTGAATACTGCATATTGTATATGAGTATCATATATGAATATTGCATTTGTATATTTGTATATGGGCAAAGGTAGTAAGATACAAGGTCCTTAAAAATAAATGGTATAAATAATATATTAATTATAAGTTTACATTACTACAATATCACATTATATTATTTTTTAATAAATGATTAATTATTAAAAAAATTAATTAATACAATTATATATACACATATAATATATTATATATATATATTCACTTTACAGAGTTTCGTTATTACGTATAGTAATAATATTTGTTGTCATCACATTATTAATTATATACATTTTCTTAAATTTTAAACAATATTTAAGATAAAAATATGAGGTAATATAATTGTTACAAAAATTAATTTAAAAGATTATTAATCTTTCAGAAAAAATAACCATGTTTATTATGAAATTATTTATATCATTGAGAGTACTCAATTTTTACAAATTTTGTATCATTTCTAGAAATGAAAAATTCATTAAGAGTTAACTTCAAAAGTCACTGAACATTTCGAAGTTTAGGCTATACTATTCCATGAGGTTTCTGATATATGTTTAATTTTAAGTCAACATTACAGATTCTCATCTTGAATAATTAGAGCGGATTTGCGTCGCTAGCAAAATGATTGACGTAACCATTGTGCATATACATTGAATATGACGTGCCCACTTTGATAAGGACGGATAGGAATGTGATTATGAAAGTAGACTCGTCTCGTGGTAATAAATGTCTATCAATATTACATTTAATATTGGCGTAAGTGTCAATAAATATTAAAACACTTTTCACTATTACAATTCAATACAATGGAACGAAAAGAAAATTATATTAATTATTTAATTAAATTTTAAAAATATTTCTGCATGAAAATTATGTTTGCTTTGTCTTTCCATAACACTTTTGATGCAATAGAATAGAAATATGTTCATTTTTCTTTTAATATATAAAGTTTTTATTTTTAAACAAAGTATAGTTATCTGTGATTTGTAAGAAGAAACTTAAGTTATTTATTTACAACTTGAAATAGTTTAATTATTTGTTGTAATTCTTATAATATGCATATTTATAATAAGTTTTTGAAGGGTTGATTTATGTTTGTAAATAGAAGACATATTTTTAGTTTTTATTATTACAGCTTATTATCATGCTTATTATTTTTCAATATTATTTTTATCATTATTCTTATCTGATCATTCGTCATTGCATGATATTTTATATGACGCTCGATAACAATTAAAAAAGAAATATTTTTAGAGAGTATTACTAAATAATAAATCCATTTTAATGTTAATATTTATTTTCATTTTGAACCTTTTCATTTTTATTATCAGATGTTTAGATGCTATATTTAACAATGCTTTTATAAACATTCAATTTTATTTCTCTAATAAAATTTGATATAATCATAAACTTAAGGTATTAATAAATTTATTGCTCGGTTTTACTCTGGATTGTTTTAATTTGATCGAATATATTAAGTTAATATCCAAATATTAATTATAATCACAAAGGTTGATTCACGTGATATTCAATAATTTCTGCTTACTGTTATGTCAATGACATGTTACCTTTATATAAACTAAACATATTTTTTAATCTTTTTATGTAAAGTATTAAAACGATATATAAAAAAAATAAAACCATTATATTATTCAATTATGTATATTAATATATATTCTTTGTAATTTAAGAATAATTTTAAAGTAGTATTTAGTTCTTTCGTAATCGAGAGTATTAAAATTTTTAATAAAAATTTGTGTAAAAAGAATATGATAAAAAAATTTAAATGGTTTTTAAAAATCATCAAATTTTTTAAAAATAAACATCTATATCTTATTAAATTTGCATAACTAAATTAATCAACTATTAATATTTATTAACATTATTATATAATGAAGTTTATTTTAATTAAGTGAAGGAGAATTTTTGTATACGAGACCTGGAGTGCATTGAAAAATGTATTTGAAGAAACGTTCTCTTATTAGCATTTATATATTATAGATAGATAAAAAAATTTAAAAATAAGAAACAAAATTGTACAGAAACAAATGAATAAAATTTAAAATATTATCTAACGTATTAGTTAATAAGAAGTACTTTCACTTACCATACACTCGCCATTAATACAAACGCCTTCGGCCTCGGGGTAGCAGTTTGTGCCATCATGCACTTTATCTGCTAACTGCACGATGATCGATGATTCATCCACATCATATTCCTGGACGTTTGTCAGCAGCTTTTCCTTCACCGTATATTTTCGTGCAGTCGCTGGATTGCTCAATGACGAGATGGCCATGTTATTGTTTCCAATGCTGCGGCTGTTGTTATCTTTATTATATTTGTTATTGTTAAATTGCTCACCCCGACATATAAGGGAACAAGGTCGCGAAGAATCGTAGTACGGATACCATTTAAGTAGTTGATCATTGTAGGGTACGTTGTCATAATTTGAGCATTGGTTCGACCGAAAATCGAAAGGCGTAGCGCAAGGCTGAAGCAAACAAGTACAAATTATTATATCATTTTATAAATAAGAAGTTATATATTCATAAAAAATAATGATCTAGTCATATTCATAACAAAAATATTGACGAGATCTTTGTAATTTACTTAATTACACAAGTGAAAAAAATGATAAAGAATCAGTTTCTTGTTCCTATTTTTCATAATTTTTTATCTATCATAAAGAGCTTGTTCAATTTTCAAAAACTAATAAATTTTATTAAATTATTTAAATTGAAGTAATGATATACTATTTGTTTTATGGTATAAATATTATTAAAAGTATTAAAATCTTAATTTACTTCATTAAAATATAATTAATAAGTCTTAATAATTCATTGTTTAAGTGTTGTTAATATTTACATATCGTTTACAATTTTCTACTGGTCTTTTATTCATTTATTTATATAATAATATATTGATGTATTGAATAATTAAAATAATTACAATAATAAATATCGAGATTATACATGCACTGAAAAATAAATACACGTTTTGATTAAAACTATTCCTTACGTATTGTTCTTGTATTTTAATACTCATATTGAAAGTCTATCATTGGGTAAGTGATGAAAAAATTTTAAATTTATGTATTAACTGCTTAGCTAATAAACAGAATTTCCTGTATGATACTCCTTAATTTATACAGTCAAAGTGATTGAAATATTTCATATTAGTATTTGTAAAAGTCAATTACAATATAACGAAGTTCATTTTTTAAGGATTTGAAATTCAAGAACTTATACACGTTATAAAACATAAAGAAAAAGTGTTTAAATTATGATTTTTTAAAATAATGACATTGCAATTACTGTTTCAAAGTAATTGGACTTATGACTTTACGTTCTAATTTAATTAAGAATAATAAAAGTAATTATATTTATCATTATATTTATCAGTACAAGATAATTATTTTCTGTATTTATATAACTTTCATAATGTCTAAAGCTTACAAATATAATCAATTATCTATGTTTTATGTTTTTTAAATTTTATTAACAATATTTTTTAATAAATGTTTAAAAAATTAAAACACACTTATATGATATTTATAATTATAATTTTATCTAGTTTGTTCGATGATGCTATCTTATTGTTATCTAGATATAATCAAATTATATTTAAGTTTTTTATGAATATGAATTTTGTCATCTTGAAGTTTAATTAAAATCAATAATTATAATATAGTTTTAAACAATTAGTAATAAAAATAAAGGATTAAACTAAATAGGAAACGCAATTACTGTTTTTTTATGTACAAAAGACATTTGCATGCTTGCGAATTAGTGGAAATAGAGAACTAGAGATAATTTTCATTATCAATTGTATAAAAAATAGATTTCCATTTGAGATAAAATTCATCTTAAAGTATTTGACTTTATTTAACTTCCGACTACACGTCAACTTTTCTTTTCGTGCTCGCGCACACAAATTTACAGCGGCCACGGGTCACGTTTCCTTCACTATTGGCGATTTGGCGATGCGACCTGGTGGTCAGACTTCCTTGTTCTCGTTCTTCTTTCACCGAAAATACGATAGCTACTTTATTTTTCTTACTCTCCTCTCTGTCTCCATGGTTTCTTTTTTATCCTATATTTAAAATGCGTTCAACGCGCGTATGCTTTCTGTTCGTTTCCACTTATTCGCTCACATTCTGTTCTCGGCTTTTCCAGGACAGCACGTTACATGGCAACACTTTACTCATTGAGAATGACATAACTTTCCCATTGCTCATAAGGATATTTTACTTCCATTTTATAAGTAAAGTTTTGAAATTCAATATTTTCAATAAAGAATTACAGAACCATAAAATCATAAGTGAAGTAAAATTTTCTTTATTTATAATAAAAAATAACAACACGTTTTAACAAGATATTACTATTTCAATTACATTGAAAGTACACACTTTACAAAATATTCAATCATCAGCTAAGTTCATATTTCTCTATAAATACTATAATTAATATACAAAAAAATAAATTATATCTTAATGGGTTCATAAATCTTACCAAAATTTCAAACGATTTTATTACGTAAGAAATACTCAGTATATACATACATATGAATATAATGTTTTTTAAATTCATTTTAAATTAAATCAAAATTTTATTTCACTAAAATAATTATTAATATGAATTTTTAATATGTTTCTTTTTCTTATTCAGACTTTTATTTAAAGCGCAAGATTATGGTCTAAACTTGTGGAGATCATTTAATCTTTCGAATTGTTTATGTATTTTTATATTAAATTTACTTTATTAATGTTAATATTTAATTAACTTTTATACATTAATTATCTATAAATTTAAGATTTGTCTTATATAAATTTATTTAAAATATTATTACAGTCAAGAATTAGTAGAACTATATATTGTGTAAACGTAAGCTTAAAAAGTTGTTGGACTGAATGTACAAACGCTGTAATAGTAGTATACACGACTTAACAGGAAAGTAGTGTGGGCATAACAACTAGGTGGATACATTTCCGAGTAGTATATTATTAGCCACTCCCGAAAATGGATAAAAAAGGGGTAGTTAGTATATAATGATAAATCTGTTCTCTTATTGCGTCTAAAAGCCCTATTGACGAGTTCCATATGGTAACCGGGAATGAAATAAGTTTGTACCTTTTTATGTAAAATCTCTTGTGCAAATTTCCTAATTAACATAACATTGTAAATATAAAATCGCATGAGCTTAGTATTAGAAATGTAATAAGTATTGAAATTATCATATACATATAAAGATGCGTTATAAGTTAAATTCGGTTACAAGAAATAATTTCTTTTAACTTATGAAAGATCTGTTTATGAAGGGAAAGCTTTATTAGTCAATAGCGAAAACAACAGCATTAGTACTATTTTAAAATTAAGAGAATTTTATCTCGAATATCGAAAATAAATGTATAAAACTTTTAGTTAGTTCTTATATATCAAAATTACTGTATGCTATTGTAAATGAAATTTTTATACGTTTCTAATTTAATAAGAATTAACAAGCAGCAACGTATCGTTTATATTACATCGAGTATGAAAAGTTTTAGATCCCATTTGTTGAGATTAGATATAAAAAAGGAATTGAAGAAAATATCTTCATAGTTGATTATAGCTAGAATTTTTTTATATAATTCTATCGAACTCAACCGCCTTATCAAGCGTAGCAATTAAGCCAAGGAATTCTTTATTAACATTAAAAATTATAACCAAATAACTTTAATCATATTGAAAAACCTTCTTTATATATAATATAATAAAAATTTGTAATTAATATATAGAAGCTAAATCGTTTTAAAAATGTAATTGATTTATCCAGTGTGTGTAAATATAGTATTGTAATGAGAAAAAATGATAAATTTTGTGAATGCTTTACTATTTATTTTGAATTTGATACTTTAGTCAGTCAATATGAAGTTTTAGTTTTCTATTATATTATTTTATTAGTTTTATTTTGTATATAAGTTTTGAACTTATATTTATATAACTTCATAGCTTAAAATTTTTTAGATTTGTTTTTTTATATTTTCGTAATATTTCATTAATCGAATAAATTATATAACTATAGGTTATTTTCTGAAATATTTAATTTTATTTGACATTTGTTAAAACCTTTAATTATATTTCATAATTAAGATAAAATGAATGTTATGGTCAAATTAAAGTTAACAATTACATAAAACTGATATAAATGAACTGAATATCCAATTGACAATATTTATAAAATAGTTTTAGGTTAATGTATTTAACATATTATTAATTGGTTCATTATTTATTAAAATAAAAATATTATTTTTTAGAGTACATGTGATATTAATATATTATTGGAAGAGAAAGATTTTAATTTTCCCTTTTGTCGATATACGAATTTCTATTTGTCTTCCGTATATTCAGTGTGTAAGGTACTAGATTCGTTTTATCATTCATTACGTGTACAGTACAAGAAAGACTGAAAAATATATTAGAAAAGAGAAAAACTGCTTGCGGCAAGTATTACTGGTCTGCGTGTAAGGTAAATCCTTTCCGGTTGGATTTTCACTTGGAAATTATCGTGCCAACTGCTAAATTATTGTTCTCGCGTGACTTCTGCACAGCTTAAAAATCGACTTTGCACCGATTTTATATATAACATAAGCTAGAATATTCTTCTTTAACTTTTATTTTTATTTTTTAAAGCTTCACTAATTGATAAAATTAGAATATTCTTTATTTAGTACTTTATTACAATACACAATTCGATAAAATAAGAATATAGATAAATCGAATAATATTATAAAATTATAAATACTGAATAAAAGTATTTATCTTCTTATTATTAAGAATCAGTTAAGTAAAATATTTACATACTTCATATAAATTAAAAATAAATGTGAATTTATTTTTCAGTTATTATTTAATACGAATATAAATTTATAAAATTAATTATATCATTATTGATTTTGATTATATTTCTATTGAAAAATATTATCTTTTAATTGAAAAATTAATATAATTTATGTTAGTTTTAAAAATTGAAATTTTGATACTAGTTGTTTATAATATTTTTGTATTCGAATTTCGAAAATTACATGTCAATATCTGTATTCGATATAACTTTATTATATATTATGAGTAATTACTTTTTATATATTTACTCATAATAGATTTTTTACATACACTATTCTAATAGTATTATAAATAAATAATAGCATTATTTTATTCTAATATAAAATAAAGTTGAAGTTACTTCAATTTAAATTATGAATTTTTAATTGTTGCGATGAAAATAAATTTTGTTACTTTTATCGTGTTATTACATTTCAACTATTTTAAGTTACAATTGGTAATATTTTAAGATGACAAAAAATGAAAAGAATTTATAAATTGCAATAAATTTAAATTAACACCAGATAGAGATGAATTGGACAATTCATAATAACTTTTCGTTTATGGTGTTATAAAATAGTAATTATATTTTTATAAAATATATATGCTTTATTAATTGATTATCTTTATGCTTAATTTAATAATATTTTAAATATACGAATATTATTTTAATATAAGAATTCTAAATCCAAAATATACCTGCGATTGAATTTTTAATAAGTTTGATAGAAATAGAGAATAAATGTTACAAAATACATAATGATAAAATGATATAATTTAGAAATAAGAAATTGATTAATATGCACTTTTTTATTTAATTCATCCTCATATCATGAATATAATTATTGAATTTTTGAATTAAGTTACGTATATAATATCAGTTTACTTTAAAATTAATTTATTATTAAATTAAATATACAGTTTATTATATATATATGAGAAATTTAGATGAGTGATTCACAGGAAAAAATTATTTAAAAATTGTAAAATTATGAATTAACATTATAGAATAAATGTAACATACATAAGTTATAAATAAATTTCTGTGTTTGAATAAATCTATAAATTAAAAATATGCATATTATATAAATATGTTTGTACTGTTTCAAGTTAAATATTCAAGTAAAATAACATTCATAATATTGGTTATTAATAAATACGCTATTTGATTAAGAATATGTAAAATACATTTAATTTACATAGATTTAATTTTCTTAGACTCTGAGCGAAATATTTTAATACAATACAATAAAAGATAAAACTACATATATACTGTTAATAGAGAGAGAAAGAGGGGAGTTGGTAATATTTTGATCCTGTAATAATTTTATAAAATTTTTAACATTTATTAAAAAGAATTAAATATACTATATGACAAAATTTTAGATTGATACTAAAAAATGAATTGATTCCCATATTTTCTTGCTTATAAAAAATTAATCAATAAGTCAAACAAATCTGAAGTAAATCCGATGATATATATTAGGATGAGTATATGATCTTGAAAGGCGTGGAATTATAGCTAATAATTATGTTACGCTTGATTTTTGTAAGATTTCGTTAATGGTAATAAGATATTAAGTATGAAATATTTTAATTAATTAGTCAAACGAATTAGTCAAGCTAAGTATTTTAATTTACATAATTTATCTAAAATTAATAATCGTTAATATTAAAATCTTCATTGTAATTGCTTCTGTAATCTATATTAATATATGTATTTCTTTTTTCAATTATATTTATTCATCTATTTGTTTATGTTTTTGTCTCTTAAATGTATATTTATTCATGAATTATAAATTCATATATTTTATGACAAGCAATATTTCTTTTTATTACCTTTATATTATTTCTCTTTCACTATCGAGCCATTACTGGGATTTTATAAATACTGTTCGTACAATTTATGTTCATTATACATAGATTGTTATTAAATCATAAATTTAATTTAATAATGAAAAATGGAATATTAATATAGATATTTGTGTTTGAACGGGTATGGTAAAGTACTATCGCAAAATATGCTCTGTATTTATCTATGTTATTTTTCTATTTTGTAATTAATATCAGAAATTTTGAAATTATACACAATTTGTAAAATCAATAGATGGATATTATTTATTTGAATTTGTAGATATTTTTATTAATATCTTGTAATTTAAGACTAAAGCAAACACATATATTTAAGTATAAATTATTTTTTAATTTAATTCCATTATATAATATTATTGTGCTACATATATTATACTATTATATCTAAAGTATATTATATATATTCATATATTTATTTTTGAACTGTCGTTCAATAAATAAGATTTGTTAATGAATTCAACCGGACAAGTCAAACAACATTTGACCACGATCTATATGAGATAATTGCTTATTCTACTTAGTGGTTGAAAACTATAGCAATTAGTATAAGCGTACAGATGTTGATGCTACATATATATTTCTAATACAAGTTCGACAAATTCAGTTGGCAGATATTCGAATGGGGTCAAAACACAGCTAGCTTACTCTCTTTCCCAAGTATACAGAGATGTTTTACGTACTCGAGAGTTACTTCAACTACTGTCAAAGAAATGAATGATCATCCTACGCGTTACGTCTATATACAGCCCAAATTTTCGACCCAAATGTATTATTGTACATACCATTACAGAGAGAGAGAGAGAGAGAGAGAGAGAGAGACAGACAGACAGACAGACAGACAAACATAAAGAGACAGATACAAAGAGGATATATCGACACATATTCATGTACATAAATACATATGGAGAAAGAGACATTACATATACGCACTGACATGTGCACATTGTCGCCGTGATGTGGGAGGATTCTGAGAAAATGAGGGTTGGGTTACCTGTATCGTACACTATATCCCAGTGGGTCGCCTCACCGATATTTAACTACAGGCTTGGATTTATTCGTTCTCATTGTAGGTAGTTCAAATATGTATATTTATACATGCTCATGTATACAAGGTATCTGCTTGATTGCAGTGCTTCAGGATAAGCCATCCAAAAAGCTTCGATAATAGCAGCCGGATTGCATACGAAATATATGGACTATTTGATTTATTAATAAATTGTTTGATATTTCGAATATTTAATATCTATAAAAAATTTTATTAGAAAATATAAATTTTGTAATTCAATATTTTTGTCAATGAAAGTTAGAATAAATTCAAAAAATTATTCATTAAAGAAAAGTATGTATATGTTGTAGAATTTAAAGTAATATGAAATAAAATAAAATTATATGATTTATATTTGCAGAATTACAAAAATGAGCAGTCGAACTTGAATTAGTATATAAAATTTTATAATTTATATTGATTTTTTTTTCGTAGATTCAAGTTTTGTTTAATTTGCAAACTTCATAATTAAATATTGTAAATTGTCAATACTCTTTGCATATAAGTAGATGGAATTTAATATTATAATCATTTTTTGGAACATTTTATATATTAATACTTATATTTTATACCTATATTAAATAATAATTGTAAAATATATTTTATAATTGAGAAAAAAAATATATTTACTGTTTTAATAATCATTAATTATTTATGTATAGCACGTATATTTTTAAACACAATAATAAAGGTAAATATTGATTTTACGTTTTATTAACTGTATGCATAAAAATGTTTATGATTATATCATTTATTATTTAATAAATCTTAATACGTGAATTTTAAACAACCGCAAATACATTGCAGATGATATTGTTAATTTTATTAGATTATTTATTTTATTGTATCGAAAACTTATAAATAAATATAAAAAATTATACACATATCGTAAATATGTTTGTAATTTGAAATTGATATAAATTATATAATTATACAATAACTCTTAAAAAATAATGTAGAAAATATTAATCCCAAATAAATAATATATATAATTATTACCGTACACTATTTGAACTATAATATGATTAAACTTTTATTTATAAATAATACTGATTTTAATTTTATATTGAAGATATTAAATTATAATTCTCACTTTATTTTAGATTATTTTACAATATTACTAAATAAATCTATTACATTATTATTAATATAATAGTAAATAGTAAATAACAGTTTTTGTAAATCTCTTTTAAGATTCTATTTTAGAAAATATATTTTTCATATTTTATTTATCATATTTGCTATATTATTTGCTATATGATTGTTATATATAAATGGCACATTTAAAATTGTCAAATATAATGCCATAATATTTCTTCATTATCTTTAATATAATGGCATATGTTATATTTAATTATAAAATAAATTTAAATGATTTTGTATACATATTAAATTACGTTTCGTATAATCTTAGATTTTTATATAGTTTTACTATCACATAATTTAGAATGAACCATTTTTATAATAGAAATACGTTCAACAATATTTTAAATTGGTATTTAGAATTAGTTGACTCTAAGAATCTTCAATAGTGTAACGATACGTGAACATATAAGTCAAATACGAAGTTGAAATTTATATAGCTGTTATAAACCGCAAGAAGTTGAATTTAGTTTGTTCACTGTAGAGCTACTATTTCTCCAGTACTGGGAAGTAGCACTTGTTAATAATTATTATCATGCGTAAATTCTAAAAATATAAGTCTTATTTGTACCTGTATATTACAAACTTTGTACTTGATGTTCCATGGTCTGCTTTTGCATGGCTTTCTACGACATCGTTTCTGTTGCCTTGAAATACCTCCTCCGCAACTTCTGTTTATTAAGAAATTATATCACTCGTTAGTAGTTTCAGTCACAATTGCATAATATCATAAAGTACTCCTTATTTATAATAACGATATTTATATATATACACAATTTTTTTAATTTCATAAGATTATTACATTTGTATATTTTTTAATACTTTTTCTCATTTTTTTGTTAATTTTTTAATAATTTGTTTATAAATTGAAATACTTTAAGAACGAAACATTATTAGTAATCGGAATTATTAATTTATATTTTTAGAATGCTTCATTTGATCTTTATTTATGACACAATTTAAGTCCGACAATAGTCTTTCAAATTATTTGCGACATTTATAAATCGCTTTACTTTTATTCAATTATTTGATTAAAATTTATTGAGTTTTCCAGCATTGAAAGACTGAATGAAATAAGTATATTTTCTTATTAAATTAATTTGTGATTATTGGTTGTGATGATTCTACAAATATTCTTATTTAATCATTAACAATATTTTCACATTTATTAATAATCTCATCAATTTTATTAACATTTTAATTGACTTTAGTTTTTTTTCTTCAAATTAATAACTACTATCTTCAATATTAATTTATGACGAACACGTTTTACTGTGTTGATAACTAAAAACTAATATTTAATAAGTATAAGAATCTCCTATTAGGTTCTAGGAGTATACGTTACACGTAAAGCGTAAAATTGATTAGTTTATCTAAGCTAATCCGTAAAAGACACATTAATTTCTGAATACTGTAATTTAAAAAATCAAGTAAAATTAAGTTTTATATTACAAAATGATAATAAAAGCATAAAATAAAATAGTAAGGATTAAAATCAGGAATACATAATTATTAAAAATAATTGATTTTATTTAAGTCTCTTCTAAGTATAAATCGAATTTATTTTTTCAAAAAATTTGTGTTCCAAATTATTTTCTAGATAGATATATCAATTTTTTATATTCTGTAAAAGAATCAACAAAATTTCAATTTTAATATGTAAGTATGAAATTCCGAAAGAATTTAACATAATTAATATGTTCTGTTATTGCTAGAAATATAATTTTATATATGTGAACAGATTTTTTAAAATGACTAAAATAAATTATAATAAATTTTATGTCTCTACAAAAAACTCATTACTTGTTTGTTATTGCATTAATTTTTATATTTTCTATATTTAATAAGAATTTGATGCTGATCATATATTCTATCTTTACTTAAATAAAATTAATATTTAATTAGTTAATAATAATTTTATTCATTCTTTTTAAAAAGAAATTCGAAAAATAGATTAGGATTGTTGAATATTATATCCTTCGATTGATATATTTATAATGAAAAGATATTTTTTCAAAATTATTCTTTTATATTATTGTTCTTTGTAATATTGCAATATATATATAACCCTCTATACACACACACACACACACACACACACATATATATATATATATATATATATCTATATATATATCTATATATATATCTATATATATATCTATATATATATCTATATATATATATCTATATAATCTATATATCTATATATATATATATATATATATCTATATATATATATCTATATAATCTATATATCTATATATATATATATATCTATATATATATATATATATATATATATATATATATAGAGGGTTATATATTAAAATATTATAAACTATAAAAATACGATTAATAGAAAAAAATAACTATGTTGTATATATTTATAATTTGCATTAGTATTATTTGCATTAGTAATGATTATTAATAATAGAATATATTCTTGTATAAAATCAGAAAATGAATAAAATTTTTAAAAAGTATGCAGATATGAGTACAGAGAACTGATGAAAAAGGTTATAGATGTAATTTTAAAGGATTTGTAGTGATTCACGCAAGTACGCTACGTAACATGTTCCCCGCTATCATGCAGAATCTACGAGGAATATATAACCCTCATGGATCTAAAAACTTGTAGAAAATAGAGCATTATGAGAAGATGAGTGGTACAAAGCGTAGAAGAGAAATAAGTGTTGGGTTACCATAGCTTGAGAGATCGATGGAGATATAAGGCGGCAGTAAGATCGTAAAATAGGCGTTTCCGACTTGCTAGGGTCCGAACTTATAAAACTCATAAATTATCCCCAGGCCTTGCTAGGAGGCAGAGTTAGAGTGAGCAGAAACGACAGACAGATAGATAGATAGATAGAAACACACAGAGAGAGAGAGAGAGAGAGAGAGAGAGAGAGAGAATTATATTCGCAACTTCTGAGGGAAAATGCGACTACAGACATTTCAGACGATGAAAGTTACGGCTGCCAAACTATTGTCAAATATTTTTGATCAAAAATTAGGTTTTCAAAGTAAGAAAAAGAGTATATGGCTAATATATTATAAAAATGATGGAAAGATAAGATGAAAAATTAAAAATAATTACATATAACTTAATATACTTATACGAATAGTTATTTGAATGATGGAAACAGGTAAATTAGTATTCACTCGGTGTGCACGGTTGTGAAGTGCAGGAAAAAAAATTTGGCCATTTCTCGTATAAAAATTAAAACTAATTGAGACAATAGTTTATACAAGAAAATTTGGTATTTACTATACTGTCTTTCTACATTTTTCATAGCTTTACTTTTTTCAATGGCAGTTATCATTTATTGTCATTTGTTGGTATCTTTTATTTTCTCGGCTTACTATTTGTTTCTCACTTTCATTGTACAACGGAACTGCAGAATTCAAAGTCGATGAATAATAATGAGAGGTACAATAGTCTAACAACATTCAATAGTTTGATGTATATATGTATATTATGGGAATCTGAATTAACGCTAATTAAGATTATCGCGAATGAATTTCATTAGTATCAAACTATTATTGACGTATATACAAATTAATGAATGTACGTAATAACATATATGTTCAGCATATTTTGTTTTAAAAATGTTTACATTGTTTATTGATTATTGTACAAATTTTGAATTCATTTTAATTTCATTGCTTATTAAAATAATTATTTATTCACATCAAATATGATTTATCACAGCTTCAACATGAATAGGTATTTTAAATAAATTATATAAATATTTTTTAGACTATATATGCTTTTTTTAACATCTATATTTTTATAAACTATATTTAAAATAAGCAGATATTTAAAAACTTTATTTATTTAAAAATTAATTCAGTAGAAATAAAATTTTATGCGATTGTTTTTTTGTTTTTGATAAAAATAAAATTTTTTAAATTTATGTTAACGTGTATTATAATACACATTACAAAATTTATAAATTTAAAAAAATAAATTGATTTATATATAAACAAAATGTAAACTCAGAAATATATATAATATAAATATATCAGATATATGAATTATTCACAAGTAAGTAGATATTTAATTATTAGTTTCTTTATTAATGGGATTAGATCAAAATTTGATTACTTACCTAGAACATGGTGACCAATCGCTCCAAGTGATTTCCTGTAAAAGACAAAAATAATATCTTGAAATTAAATTCACTCTATGTTTCTAAAATCCATTGGATTATAATAATAATGAAAAGATAATTTTATAAGCATTAATATATTTAGTATATTGTATTAAATATTAATTTAAAAAAAGCATATTCATCACATTTTTTCAAATATTTTTATTTTTAACTTTGTTTTTAACCATAATTGGATAGAATGATAATATGATTATTTGTTTTAAAATTACTGTGTTAAGTATTGATTATAAATTATATGCTTTGTGTTATTATTATATATAGAAAAAATATATTTATGTTTATTCTTTTTCATAAAACCTTGTTTTTAAATATTTCAAGTAAAGCATTAGATAATTTCATTTTCATAAAAAATAAGACTAAATTTCTTTTTCATTCGTAATTAGCAAAAATTTTTCTTAAAATTAATATCAATCATTAAAATTATAGAATAATTCTTTATAGGTTTTTATTAATTTGTTATAAAAATGTTTTTTTCAATGAAGCAACAATTATATTTTGCTAATGATAGCAAATTATGTCGGAAATTAAGCATTCAAATTTTTTTAATACTGGTTTCTAATGGACTTTAATAACATATTTTTATAAAATGTATAGTATTATTCATGTTGCTTTTAATAGATGCAAATAATGATGGTTCTATGATTGCCTAATATGTTGCTTGTATAATTTTGAGAAAACATCAACATTTCAGATATTGCATGTTAACACAGCTATAAAAACACGTATTCAAATATTTTTGCTTGCTTTATAAATATATACTGTAAATTCTAAAGTCTAAGACATATATATTATTATATTAAATTAGAGAATAAACTTTTATTTTGTTTAATACGTTCTATTTATTTCCAATTGTACTTGTGTAATTACTATAAATCTTTGTAAAACATATTATTGACTATATACTTATGTATTTCTAGTTATTGTTTAAAATATAAGACAGAATAGAGATTATAATTCTACCTTTTTTCTTTTATATTATTTTTAATTATACCATGTCTTATATTATATCAATAATAAAGACAATTCAGCAACTTAAATAACTTAAGTGTAATACTAATGATATTATGAGAATTAATTACAAATTATTAATACTTTTTCTTCAATTTATTTTAATTTATAGCATTTTTAATACTGGATATGTAAATATTTATTTAGTTGCTACATTGATATTTACAAAAAACAGTGCAATTGTAATCTCTTGTATTATATTTATTTATATTTTGTATTTGTAATAAAAATTATTTGTAAATTATAAATACTAGGAGATTGAGAGTATGTATATTTTGTATGTAATAATAAAAATAATCAGTGGATAATGATTATTTATTCTAATAAAGTACTTCAGCTATTGTGAAGGAATAATATGTTTCTTAAAATATTGTTTCGTAAGTACTTAATTAAAGATATGATAAATAAGCACAGTGATACAATTTTTTTAATCGAAATTTGATATCACACTCAATAAAATTTATACAATAGATTAATTCCAATTTTGTTCTATACTATATGCTTACGATTATGTTTATACATAAAACAATTTTGATAAATAAGTTTAATTACGCAGAAAACGTTTTCTCTTTTCAAGATGTTATGGTTGCATAAAATTTTTCTACTGTTAACTTATTATCTAGTGATAAATATGGAAAGGGCTAATCTTAATTTATTTACTGAGTTAAGTATTTCTCCTATTTTCACACTTAAACATTCAATTATAAATATCAATATCATGAAAGAAATTGTTCTTATATGTACATTCTTGTAATTCACTTTATTTTATTTGCTTGTACAGTAATAATAACTCAAATTATATATTTAGAAAATTATACTGTATCACAAATTTTTACTAAAATATTTATTTATTTGAGCAAATATATAGCCATTAGTAATTTTAGAATTATCTCAATTATTAAAGCAAAAAAGATATTTTCAATCGAAGTTTTAAATTGAAACCAATATTTAAAATTTTGTTTTAAAAATAATGTATTTATTTTGGGTCCAAAAAATAACACTTATTATAAATTTATATTTAAATGAACAGGCAAAATTCTTTTCATATAATTTAATCTTATGGATTTTTTCAATTTTTTATAATTATAAAATACTATGATAATAAAATTGTATTTGAAACTTTTATTAAATTCATAAACTATTTATTAGTATATTTATAAATATTGTTAAGCTTTAAGAAGTTTTAATTAAATAATAATAATTTTGATTTTTAGTATGAAAATAAAATACTACCTTTAATTAGATTTAACAATGTTTAATTAGTTATAAAAAATAATTAACATTAAAAATAATCAAATTTAATTATTGTTTTACATTGACATAGTTTTAACGAGATAGTATAGTTTACATTTATTATGAAAATTACTTATTATTAGTATAAAATATTATTGTAATCTGTAAGCAATGTACTTATTATCATATATTCGTATACATTTAATTGTTATTACTCGCATTATAACATAATTAAAATTAATTATATTATTAGTTATTTTTTAAAATAAATAAATTAATGAATTATAAATGGTGAATACAAATAATTAGCTTTAGTAATTAATTCGTTCGATTTTTTGAGACGCTTGGCATTTAATTTTTGTCTTTATATTCATCAATGTACTAAATGTATATACCAATATAAATAATAAAAATACTTAAAAAATTTAAACTTTTAAACAAAACTAATTTATTTAAATTTTAAATACTTTGTTTGTTATGATTTTTAAATTTTTGAATAATTTAAAATGAATTTAAAATGAACTTATGAAGAATGCTTCAAATTCTACAATATTATAGTGAAACAAATAGTGTAAGTTAATTAAAATTTTTAACTTTATCTTAAACGATATCTTAAACGGTTAATAAAAATCTTTGTATATAAAATTCCGAATTGACTTTAGAATTAAATTTTTAACATAATAAAGAAGACATCTCAAATATAATAGTGTTATAATATATAGAATTATTTTATATTTTATATTTTATATTTTATATTTTATAGATATTTGATATCCGTTTAAGCATATATTCTTTATATCAAAATTTTGTTATTTTCTATTATGAACCTGTATTAGATGAGGAGTTTTTATTTCAAACAATGTTTTAAAGTTTTTATATTATTCTCTGAAAAATTGGGAACCTTATAAAATATTGGAATACAATATTTCAACAATATCAAAATTGAGTTTTTGAAGAAAGTTTTAAGATGCTTCATCAGTTATTTTTAAAAAAGATTTAGTTTTCTCTCAGAGCTCGTATAAATACCTACATTTGTAAATTGATTTATTCTAAATTACGTTAAATCGATTTATAGTGATAGGATATATATACATCAAGATACAGAGCACGAGGCAGAAAGAGAAAAATGTTAAAGGTATTTTCAATTCTATCCAATCTAAAATCAATCTTAGTCCATTTCTAGTCTTCCTGAAGAAGAGAAAGTTCATGTTCGTGTGCGAAAGAGAGCTAATGTGCAACTTTCGGTAGAAAGAAGTGGAAAGGACTATTTGGAAAATGAGACGTAGTTCGAGCGACGAGAAACCAATGGATTTTAAGCAGACTTGTAAGCTTGCATTATTCAAAATCCAGGTGAAGAAATTCCTTTGCAGCGTCACTTGCAATTTTCCGTGGCTGCTCTTTCTCTGAAAATCTGCAATCGAATACATTATCTACCCTTTCATGCGTTTTCCCTTCCTTCTGCTTGTAATGAAACTTACTCTAAAATCATTTTATATTAACAGCCCTAAAGTACCAAACGTTGTCTTACCCCAAGCAATACGCTAGTAATTTTCTGAAACGTTTCATAAAATCTTTTGAAGATGCTAAGATTAAAGCTAATATGAGATTAAAAACATTGATGGGGAACAAATTTTTGTACTTTAAAAACATAAATTTATTGTGATTTTTACATCAATTAATTTTCATAAAAGTTTCAAAAACATTTTTTAAATTATTATTGTAATAAACTTAGTTATGAACTTACTTATTGCAATACAGTTTTTATATATAATTATGTCTTTTCTTACCTAAAGTACTTATCTTAAATTTGATGATCATTTTGGTTGATCTATTATATGAATACATGAAGGTTGATCTATTATATTGAAGTATAAATTATTCAATCATATTATAAAATCGTACATATGAAATAAATTTTGGACAGAAATTGAAATAAATATTTCTTTAAAATGTATAATCAACTTTTTTTTATTATTAATTTTTTTACTTCAATTTAATTCTATATTATGCATTGCATATATATTTATAACGAATATATTTTTACGATAATGCAATTCTTAAAAAGTCTAAAATATTAGGTATATAATAAATTGAATAAAAAATTATATTTTTAATTATATGAAAGCTTTATAATGTATTTCTCGAATTCATTTTAACATATATAAGTATAGAACATAATCTTTATAATTCAAAATATCTTTATAAATGTATTAACAATTATAGTCTTTGCCTTGTAACAAATTTTTCCTTAATTATGTTTAATAAATTAATAGAATATAATATAATTGTGCATTAAATTTGATGAGTTCTAGCGATTTATACTTTGTTCCTATAATATATTAACCGATAAATAATTTAATACCAATACAAATATGTATTTATATTAATAAATTGACCGTTTTGATAAATTTTCAATTATAAATTATATTTCCTCGAAATTTTTTACTAATATTTAAAATATATGATGAACAAAATATTATAATAATGTTTTCTGACTTCAGCAAATAATTTATTCTAATAATAAATTTTTCACTCGACCCAATCTAAATGAATGTATTTTATGAATCTATTACGTAAATAGGAAATTTTTTAGTTAAAATTTTAAGTGCTTAAAACTTCTTACTTTAAATTTTACATTAAATTTTATTTATCATTGTCTTTTATTTAAATTTGATATTTTTATCGCGAAGATGCATGTATTTAAATATTCGCGTATTTGACACATCACGCA